ACAGGAGGATAGCACAGATCTTAATTAAGTTTCTCAGTCATGGCAGTGACCTGGAGTTGTCTTGCTTTAATCCAAATCAGGGACTAATTTTGTTACAAAGTTGTATAACGAGGTGCGGCTCCAACTAGAAAACAATGTTTTGATGCATTGGATGTGCTGAATGTGCATATTAAGGCAGTGCAGGAGAAGGTGCACATTAATAATCCTCCAGGACTGTAACATGCTCATGTTTAACCCAAACAATGTGTCATGTGACTGCAGTTGGTTCAGATCCAGGTCGGAACACGTTCTCACCACAAACGAACTGCACCTGAGTTCGTTTGTAACCAGACTGAGACCACCTCTTCAAGAAGGTCTCGGTGTGGTTGTTTTGTTGCACACCTGTGTGTGATTGCTGTGTTCACACCTGCCCAAACAAACCGCACTGAAAGGGCAAACGAACTTGAGTTAGAGTGAACCGAACCAAACAGCCACCAAATTCCATTTATATAATCGGTAATTTTACTATCATAAAACACACTTAATTCAAAGTCGACGGAAACAACATCAAACTCACAAAAGCGGACTTGGGTTGTCTTGCAACTGCTCAAACATTTCTTAACTCTGGTTTGGTTGAAATAAACCCCTATTTTCAGCAGTTAGATGTGAATCTATGCAGGCTCTGTACACCCTAAAATGACTGTTTTTTTTAAATGGAGTCTGGTGGGTTTTTTAATAGAGATTTTAGGGCTGTTTCTGGTTGAACAAAAAAGATCTTACTCTTTAACGAAAAGGTCTCTCTGTTGGGATCCTTTCTTGTCAGACACTTATCATAACAATCTGAACCTGTCAGTGACAACAGTAGCTTATTAGTTGATGTAAATTGACAGTGCGTCGCTCAGTATTGGACCAATTTAAAATAAAATTTGTTCCCTTACACACTTAGACACTAAAACATAGGAAAATAGGGTCCAGGTTAACAAATACTGACGTTACTCTTAAATCATGTGTGCTTTCCTTCTGTGACATGTTAAAATGTCTTTAGTGGAGGCTTACGAAGCGAGTTTTTTTGCCCGTATAGGTTTTTTGTTTTTGTTTTAAGGGCTATTTATGACTTTATGTCACTCACTGCATGTCTAAAGCTGAACCACCAAGGAGTGCCCCAAAGTCAACTGACCAAAACCTGTGCCTAATTAAATATATTTGAATCAAGTTGCAGGCATGTTCAGAAGAAAAGAAGCAATAGGACGATAAGGTAACTGTTCAACTAGCCCTGCCAAACAGTGAGCTAAATGGCCTCTAAAGCCACGGAGGGCCCAGGACAGAAGATGATAAGCATCAGTTTCCATCATAATGGCCCCCTGGTTTATTGCCCTCTGCTCTGTGTACCACAACCTGAAATAACATCATGTAATTTAGGACATAAGGCCACTGTGCCAGCTCATTTGCCCTAGTGACAAAGAGTTGAACACATGGCTGAAAAGCGTTAGTGGAAAGGCAAAAAAAAAAAAAAGAAAAATTCACGCTGCTGGTTTCTCTCCACATTTCCACTGCTCCCTTTCTGCTTCACACAGAGGTATGTACAAGACAGGAAACACTTCGGAGGAAGTGGCAAGCTAGGGTTTTTCTTTTTCCCCTCGTTTGTGATAACGAAGTTCCTTTTATTCCCACCGGTATCCTAAAAGACAACACTGGAAAAAACCCAGAGTTGTAGTCCTTAATTTTTGTGGCTAAAAGTGTACCATTGGGGAATCACTGTTGTGTGTTGTGGTTTTATTCATATAATCAAGACGGATGTTATAGACAGAATGGAAAACAAATAAATACGTCTCTCTCCTACATAGTCGTTTTAATGTGCACAGAGAGAAGACAAGGGCTGTTACATGAAAATATGAAAGCTTCATTTGTGCTCGTATCATCCCGTCCTGCCCATCTGCCATCTCAGGCTCCAAAGCTTTAGTAGTTTATATGCCTGAACACATAACCCCACCACAGCAATCACAATTAATCCCCTGCAAAGCGCTTCACAATCCCATAAACGTTATTGTATGGATGCATCAAGGGGCTAAAGATTCTAAGTCTAAAAATAAACCAGAATACACCAGCATATTTACCCGTGAAATATTTTTTTGACGTTTTGAAATCTCTGCTGTTTCCAGACTTTTTACTTTTTTTTGTTATCCTAATACCCATCTGCCCTGGCCCACTTTTGCCATTGTTTTTTGTGTGTTGTTTACCAGCTGTTGTATTTTGTGATAACAGCTGTCCAGGCTTATGCTCCTTGATTATATTAAAGTTTGTGCTCTGAAATCAAATAAAAATTGCCTGTCAGCTTTGATAAAAGGTGGGTGTCAGTCTCCGGTATATTATTTTCCACTTGCATAATCGAAAAGCTCTTAATCAGTGCAAATACTCCAGCACACAGATTATCATTTAAAGTTTTTCTGTTTGTTTTTTAAGCATACCTGAGCTGTAATGTGTGGGTTTTTTTGTTAATTTTAGGATTATTGATCCAATGTCAGCGAGTTTTCTTGATGAGTTGCATTCGTATAAGAACAGAATGTATATCATGAGAATTAATTAAAGCTCTAGTTGGTAATTTAAATAAGTTTTTGTCATAAAACTGTCACGATATCCACACATTAGTACATGAGACTGACACAATGTGTGAGACAAAAAAATGCTCATCTGCCTCGTTGTAGTGCTCCTAATGGCATATGCAAGAATTTCCAATACAACCAATCAGAGCTGAGGAGTCTCTAACGTAGCTGTCAATCAAGTTAGTTTCTGCTCGTGAATTGTGCTGTCAAACTAAGCAGCACTGATCAAATATGAATCCAGATTCTGTTACTGCATTGCTTATATCTCACCTCAAATGTTTTTAGAAACATATTTTATTGTACTGTTTAGCTGTAAAATGAGAAAGTGCGTGACCTGGCTGCCATGTTGAAAGCAATCAAGCCAAAACTAGGGCTTGGTGATATGACCTCAAATCAGAGTTCGTGGACTGGACGGCACGGTGTCACGTGACTACACACACACAGTAGTATGTTTTTAAGGGGACAGTACATGAACACACACAGTTGGGAAAGTGTTAACAGAATTTAAAAAAAGATCGAAATTACAGACATGGGCAAGATTACATCAGTTAGAGCAGGGGTGTCCAAACTTTTTTGAATGGGGGCCAGATAAAACAACGTGAAAACACCTGGGGGCCAACTGATTCTCGCATCAAAGGTGTGTCTTTTTTAAAGTGAGACAAAAACAACCATTTCTATCTTTTACTGAACTATTACTACTTGATGCCTGTCTACAATGTAGTGTGTGATAGTCCTGGCATTGTGAGGTGAAGGGTAAAAATGCCAAGTGATCTTGCTCGATTAACCATTATTGTGTAAAGGTCCACATATGGTATATTTTGAAAGTCAAGCTGAGGGCCGATTAAAATTGGTCTGTGGGCCACAATTGGCCCCCGGGCCAGACTTTGGACATGCCTGAGTTAGAGGTTCTGAACGTCAGTTTTGATTAATGTTCGATTAATTGCACACCCCTAGCCAAAACCAAGCACCGCCCACCTGCTGGAGCAATGTTCCTCAATTTACAGCTAAACAGTACACTGAAATATGTTTCTGAAAAAAATTAGACTAGAAATAGGCAATGCAGTAACAGAATCTTGGTTCATATTTGACCAGTTCTGCTTAGTTTGGCTGCAGTTCACCAGTAGTGTTTGACAAATTTGACAGCTATGTTAGAGACTCCTGAGCTCTGATTGGTTGTTTTCCTTCAGCAGCAGTAGATTCTCGCAAATGCCATGAGAAACACTACGAAGAGAAGGAGGAACATGATTTTTTTTTTCATGAGTTATGTGTCTTATGTACAACTGTGTGGATGTAATGACAGTTTCAGAAAACATGAGAAACAGTTATTTTTTATAAAAGTTACCAACTGTAGCTTTAAGATTAGTTTTTCATGAAAAACCTTGCAATTTCTTCAGATTGTTCAAAAGTCAGCCGCATGGCTTTTAACCAAAACCAAGAACCACGACCACATCACACCAGTTTTAGCCTCTATACAGTAGCAAATCTTATTGTTTACTTTTAAGGCTCTCCATGGCCTATCTCCAGATTACATTTCAGACATGTTAGTCCCTTATGAACCTCTGCGTAATTTTAGATACTCGGGCAGAGGTCTTCTGCTCATTTCAGAGTCCCAGCTGAAGACTAAAAGGGACAGAGCTTTTGCAGTCAGGACCCCAAGGCTCTGGAACGACCTGCCCGAGGATATAAGGCTGTCTGAGTCATTGGCTTTGTTTAAGTCTACTTAAAACGTACTTCTATCAGAAAGCATATCCTGACTTTATCTGAGCCGTCTATTTATTTTATTGCTCTCTCATTGATTTTATTTCACAAATATTATATTGATATTAGTTTTGGCCTTCCTTGCTTTATCTTTTACTTTGGTGAGATTTTATGACATGTTGTTTGTTTTATTCTCCTTGTTTTTTTTAAATGTGTTTAGTTTGATTGTATAGCACTTTGTGATTTGAAATGTGCTACATGAATAAGGTTTATTATTGTTCATGGAGCACTTGACATGATGATACAATAAGTGGTGGTTATAAAGCCACCTAATCAGACACATGAAGTACTAGGCCAAAACATTGCCCATCAAAACAAATAGCTCATCCGTTTTGATCGCGCGTCATACTGTGTGTTCCTGCTTTTGTGGTCAACAACATCGTGATGCCGTTGCTGTGTTTGTGTGATTCAGGCGTCACGAGTCATCGACTCACGGCTTGTCTGCATATAAATGAATCAGTCAGGCTTCAATAACACGAGATCCTGTCCATTTTCCATTACTCATGCCAAGATATGTTTACATTTCTGACTTGTTTTTCCTCACTGGTTCATCAGTAACCTCAACAACTTCATTGATTCTTTTTCTTTCATTGTCTTTCAGTAGCTGACTTGGATCTGTTTCCAACTTGCCTGATCATTGTTTTTGTTTTGTTTGTGTTACAGTGAAAAAAGCCAAGCTCCAAGGACCTCCAGGTGAGCACATACCTTTTACTTTTAATGAACATTTCTTAGGTCTGGTGACACACTCTCCCATTGTTCAAATAGTTGACAGTGTTAACATGAGCGCTGTCTCAGTCCTCATTGAACTGGGGGAAAAGGGAGCTGTATAGCTGCAGAACATGTTCTAAGTTCTTGGGAGTTCGGAGCATATTCTTCAGGCCCGTGTGGGATTGTTAATATTGTTTCAAGACATGTAGTTTCAATGACATAATATACTTATCCACTGCTGAACTGGATGGAAATTTACCCAGCAACCCTCCAATAACGCAGCCATTTTCAATATCCTCCTGAGACCCTGCGTCCTCATTTGAAGACATCACATTTTAGGTCTGCTTGACCTCGTTCGTGGATACTTGTTTGTCCCATCTAGTGGCCCTGGCAGAGCGCCGAGAAGATGATCACTCTTGACTTTCTAGAGGAAGTAAAAGTTAGACCAAGGTTTCCATTGCGGAACATGTGGAAGGATAATTTTCACAATGCACTAATCCATGTAAAAACAAGATGGTGGCCATCTCTGCCAAGTCAGTCTGCAGCTGATCCCGACACAAACGTGGGCAATGTCTAAAAGCTGATCAGATTTTTTGGTTGAAACTTGTTTATTTATGATTAATAATGTTTGTATTTTGATATGGCAACAAATTTGACCAATTTTAGCAGCAGTAGCAAGATAAGACGCTGTTAATTAGGAAGTACTTGTTTGAGGACATTGGGACTTTATTGTCCTTGTTGTCTTGTTGTTATTCTTTTTGGAAATATGCCACACGCAGGCTAATCAATCAGATTCTGGCAAGTCACCGAACGCTAGAGTTGATTCTGTATTACGTAATCCAGTGTCTTTCCATGCCAGGCCGCGCACAGGTGAGCTTAGATCGGTGGCCGCTAAGTCCAAATCCCCACGCTCCCCACCTAAGCAAATCCCTCTAGTGTCCAGCCTAACGCCTGCCTTTAAGCCCTGTGACATTTCTGTCAAGAGCAAGCGGCAGCATAGACAGAAAGTCACCACGGCTTTGGATCTGCCTGTGACATTTTACTCTTGTTCTGAGTCCCAGCCTGACCCCTTGTTCGCTGAGGATAATTGCTAAAGTTAATTAGCCAGCAGGTCTCTACATTAGTTCAGCTTGTATTTTCCTTAGTCCCGTCACACGTGGAAAAATGTATACATTGTGTCACAGCTCTGTTGCACTGAGATATTAGTTTTAGATTTCACAGCCTGTGCTGGGCTGCTCTGTCTGTCTCGGCCCTCCCCTCCCTCCCTTCTCTAGGCCACTCCACATGTGACACCTGTCCCAGAGTAAACATCAGAGAAATTCAGTTAAGCCCGTCGTCTCCCTGGGGCGAAATGTAAACATCAGTCACTTTTTTTTTTTTTTGGCTAGAGGGCAAAGACGGATTTGTTGAGCACACTCCTGTGTGTGATTGAGAGCACCAAAGGTTACGTTCATGCTGTAAATTAGCTCAAGTATGTCTTTGGTTTGCACATGCTTTGGTAGAGTGGAGTGAAATGAGCACTGTGTGTATGAGGCTGCCTTGTTGCAGTGGCTTTTTAGAGGCCAGTTTTCAGAAAAGGTAAATGACTTAAGGCTGGCACTCTTACATCAAAATATACTCGCATTGTCAGTTTATGGTTGTTGTTCTTAGTGCGGAAATGAGCAAAATCTGCAGTCAGATTTGGTCATGGATATCTAATTTCTGGGGCTGCTCCCTGAAAGTGGATGATTTGAATCATCAGTCAGAGACTTCTTTGAAGTTGAGCAGTCTTTTTTTTTTTTTTTTTTTCCGGTTTAGCTGCAGATTGAGTGCTCCTCACTTTCTTGCTGCTCTTCGGTACAGGCATCTGCCCGGGGGAAGAGAGTCTTTGCCCAGCCAGGCTCCATGATAACGATATCTTCTGCCTTCTGTGTAGAGGTGGTGAATTTTGAGCTCACAAATACAGTTGCTGGCTTTTGTTTGATTTCTAGTGTTGGCATCTAATCCCTCATTAGTTCGCTTATACGTCATGCTGAAATTCCTGCTTAACTCTGTTAAAACTCTGGACTCTTTATGTAAAATAAAAGGACTCAAATATTCATATCGAGCAACCTGATCTGATTTGACTTTTCTGACTCCAGATTCTCTACATTGACTAATTCTGAGTTGGATACAGCCATAATCATTTTGGGTTGTAGATGTTTGGGTGTGAATTTTGCTGAATGTAACATTCTCATGACAGAACGGGCCTTTTTTAACCCAGAAAGATGCCGAAATACTCACTCGCACTTTTGTTACCAGCTGTTTACACGACTGCAATTCCCTTTTCACCGAACTACGTAAATAAGAAAACTACAATTAGTCCAGAATGCTGCAGCCAGCGTTTTGATTAAAACAAGGAAAAAGAATCATATTACCCCACTGCTGAATTTTAAAGTTCTTTACTCTCTTTTTATTATATAAAGATTTGATTGTCTTTTTTGTTGTGAGCTGAAGTAAAGAAAACTTAAGGACGGAAATTCAGAAGACAAAAGTTTTATGAATATATTGGGTATGAACTGGAATATGTTTTTAATTATGATAATAATACTATGAAGTTGTTTTTGTCTAATTGTACAAAGTATGATTTTAGCACTTTTGCACTTGCACAGTCAGACGTTTTTTTTCTCTTTTACCCACTTCCATGTTTTTGTTCTCCAGTTTTTTGTCATTGTTAGGCCACATTAAGTCTGGAGGCAGGCCTGGTCAGGAACTGGCTCCTGGTTTAAGGAATGAATTACTGAACATGATGTGGTTATTACTCCTCTCTGCTCATGATAACCGGACCTGCTCTGCACAGGGAGACGTGTGATTTATTGGAAGAGCCCTCAAAGTTTACATAAGGCTGGTCTGGGATGTGTGTTTGTGCTGTGCTTTCACCACACCTTCCGATGAAAAGCTTTGACGCCTCACTCTGAAACCTTGTCATAAGAAGTTGTTTCTGAGGAATGCTGTATTTGTAGAACTGAAGGTGCCCTTGGATGGGCTGCTGGCTAGCTGCCGGACTTTCCACTGATTGCCACAGGAAACAGAGGATTGATAAGGGCTGTGTGTGTTCAGTCTCTGCGCGCACATTTTCTGTCTATCAGAATTTAGATTTCATCTCCCAAATAACAAGCCCTTGTTTTACATGGTTGACATTATGTTCAGTCCACTACTCTGAAGATGGAGACACTTCTCATGAGGTGGTCTTAACAGTGGTAGAGAAGTCCTCCAATAGGTTGACGTCTTCTGTTGCATGCAATATTGATAAGTGGTCTGAATTTGAAATGTCAGCCTTCCAACCGCCTGCGTTTCCTTGACTAATTTATTGAAAAACTCATCATCAGTCAATAATGGATGAAGATGCTCGACTGAGGGCCCAGGGGTGAGTGGATGGTTCACAGGAAGTGAGTACATGAACAGGACAAGTAGCCTGCATCATCCCACAATGTGTGCTTTCACTGTGTCACTGTGTATGTGTGTGTGTGTGCGGTGTGTAATGGAGAGAAGAGAGAAGTGTGTGTTGTCATGCATTTGAACATGAAGAAGAATCAGTTCTTCTCATACCAAGGAAGGTCTCACAAACTAGCTTTGACCTCGGATCAGATGAGGTAGAGGCTTAATTTATGTGGTTTTATTGTGTGTGTTTGTGTATGTGCATAGGGTCGGGCCTAATTGTATTGCAGAGTTTTGCACAGCGGCGACCGAATCTTTGCTCTCAAACCACAAAAAAATGTGATGGCACAACAGTCTCCTTCAGTACATTATTCTTTGCTTTCTTTTGATTTTCACATTGGCTAGTCATCCTGTTTAATTTGTCTTCTGATTAAATCGGAACCGTTGAAACAAGTTGTAGGAAGCCTCTGCAAGTAATTGGTTGCTGACTCTGCTGCAATAAAATGGTTAATCAGCAGTGCCGTGCACTGTAGAGCCGATGCGCTGCTGGTTCTCCCGGCCTGAATAGAATATAATGTCTATAGCCTTACTGTTGTGTACAGCCTTATAGACTGAGCTGAGTAGTGATGCGCGGGTCGACCCATAACCCGCGGGACCCGCAAATGGACCTGCGGGTCGGGCAGCAGTGATCGTCTGTTATATCGGTCTGTAAATGATATTTTGACATTATTGGCTATTACTGTCACAGCATCCGAAGTTACTGATGCGTTGAGCAGGTGACAGTCCGTGGTCGTTTTCAAAACACACTTGTGTCACGCACTCCAAAAGAAACTTGTTGAAACTTTAAACAATAATTTATTGTACAAAACGGGGGAAACAAACGTTGACAAAAACGGTTCCATAATTCATATTAAATTCAAAAGATAACAACAAAACAGCTACAAGTTAGAGGGAATAGTGATAAAGTGGTAAAACTTGGCATTGATCCACAGCCTCAGACGGATGCGCTCAAGCTGCCGTGCGCACAAGCTCAGTTGGTAGGCGATACTATAGTTTCACATTTTTAACAATGCAATTTTTGATTTTTATTGATAACCTACATTTACCAACAAGAAAAAGACTACATTTAGCACCAAAAAAAAAGTTAAAAAAAAAAAAAAAAGTAAATAAAAAACCAATATCAAATATCAAATTTTCATAACGAATACCTACCCATAGAAACGAATATTCGAATATCCGAATATTTGGGTACAGCCCCAAAAATGTTTGTGCTTCTGTTATGTGTTGAGGTGATTTTTATAATATTGGTAAATATAAAGATAAATTAATAACTGAAAGTTTATAAAAGTGTTTTTCCGGGCAGTTACCGCTGCTTTCTCCTCAACAGTGCAGATTGTATTAGCCATATTGTGGACAGCACCTACTGTAAAGGTCTCACAGCCACTAAGTGGCTCTTATCTAATCCATACATCCTCTTCCCTTATCTCATCTCATCTATCCATGGGAGCCGGCCCAAATGTGGCACAAGGCATGGACTATCTAATTAGGGAAAGGCTTGAGCATCCCCCAGGCTCCTTTTGTCATAATGCCTGTGTTTTGTCCGACTGTCCTCTTGAGACACTAATTAGGTCTTTCTCCTTTCACTCATGGTGCTTGTGGGATGGACAGTGTGACCTTACATGGATCAGTGGGGGTGCTTTCAGTCCAGCTTTTTGTCTTTTCGCCTAATTTAATCTTTACGTTGTAAGAATCCACCTGTGTCAACTGTTTATTGTTTCATGTGTGTCAAGAGTTGCATTTGCTTATCTGGCTGCTGCCGTAAAGGCCATGTGCAGAGTAAATGTTTCAGTATGTTACTGGGGTAACCAGGAAAATCTTTGTTTAGTGCGGTCAGGTGATCAGTCTACAAAGGAACAGCTGATGCTTTGCTTTTATTTCCCAGACCAAACGAGGAGAGTGTGTGTGTGTGTGTGTGTGTGTGTGTGTGTGTGTGTGTGTCTTTGTGTGTAGCCTACTTTACTGTGTGTGTGTGTGTGTGTGTGTGTGTGTGTGTGCTGGGTCCAGCTCTCAGGGTTTGCCCTTTTGGTGTCACAGTAATTGCAGCTTTAAACATACATATTACACATTTACATATTTTGGGTATTCTATGCTGAAATTTCAAGTTAAGTGCATCTAACCCATGTTTTTATAGATTGTGTTATATTTTGGTTTTCATTTGTTTTATTAATTTTGTTAGGTATATTTTATTATATCGTGTATTTGAAGGACTTTGTTACTAAATTTTTAGAGCTGAAATGATTATTTGATAGACTTTTTTTAGTCTATCACCAGAGAATTCGTCAGCCATTGTGATCGCAGAGCAATTAAACAAAGAAAAAAAAATCATGTTACGATTTTATTCTCTTTTTTAAAATTAGTATTATTTGCACTTTGAGCACCCTTCTTTTTGCGCACAGATGTCTTAAATGAATCGACTATTTTTTGCATTTATCTCAGCCTGTGGACCTTTTTGTGGCTCTTCAGCCCACTTGCATTGGTGTGCAGGTATATTCTCTGCTCTCCTTTCTTGTTGGTCTATAAAATCACCGAGAGAATAAAAAAAAGTCCAAAAAGATGTCTTTCAAGACAAAGAGTTGCAGCAAATCCTTATAACTGCACAACTGCCGTCCTTTCTTGTCTGTTGTACCGATGCACACTGCATAGATGTAAGTGTGCAGAAATCTTTTTCTTCCAAATGTATTGATAGTTAAAATAATCATTCATTGCAGTCCTAGTGAATTTTACTCACTGTGATATCTTGGAAGTCCAAATCTGTGCAGCAATATAATTGAACACTGTAAAAAACAAATATATTTTAAAATATTATGAGCTGTATTTAGGGCTGGCCAGTATGGTGATATACTTTGTTAACAGTATATGAGCTACATTAGATCGTTTATATATCAATTACTCACCCTGTGTTCCATTGAATTTGTAAAGCAAACTCCGTTATCTTGCCCTCACGGTGACTGAAGAATCCAAAAAACAACAGCAAAACCATATCCAAACATCTGTTTACAAACTCTTACACAACTCATGCATTATAATGCAAGTCTTATTTATCCAGGTTTATGCTCAGTACTAATCAAACACATACATTTTTGCTAAAACCTTAATATTTAAAGCACTTCTGCACAAACAGTCTGCACTGTTTATGCAGAAGTCTTATCAGTGGAGGTGCAATTGACTTAACTGATACAGGGCCAAGGTAGCTGTACCTTTTAATATCTCTGGATGTATTAGGCCATTGTGAGCAATGTTGCAAACCAGTCAGCAGTACTGCAGTGTAATGAAGTATCTTGATATGCCAGGTATTTAATTCAGTGGATCAGCTAAACACAGATGACCCCATGTGTTTATTTCATCTACAATTAAAATTCTTTAGAGTTTACTAAATCATGACATCATAGTATGAAGTTATATATAATGTAATCCATATTACCCATCCCAGCCAGTACTACAACCCAAAGTCAAGATCAGCATTTCAATCCAAGCCGATCCTCCAGCTGCTCTCGTGCCCAGGTAGGGGGTCGGTTTATGTCGCTAGAATGGGGGAGTCACAGGGAGGACCACCGGTGGAGCAGGGCTGATAACTACCCGAGCGAAACTAAGCACATCAGCAGGCACGTGTTGACGCTTCCTCGCCCTGCTGTGGCAAATGAAAAGTGGTGGCTGTGTCACGGGCCATCTAATCCCCTCTCCACCTCCCTCGGCCCTCACCCCGCCCTGCGCTGACAGCTGGTGCAGACGGTTGTTGTGGCTCTGCTGACTGGCACGACTGGCCAAGAGGAGGCTGACGGACATCACTCGGTGTGAAAGTTGTCTGCACGGACTGACGGATTGGCACTTGACTGTGTCTTAACTGCCAGTTTCCAAAGCCAACAGGGTTACAGCAGCAATCAGATATAAGCAGCTGTCATGTTTAGGCTCAGTATGTAAAGGCTGCCTTCACCTTTGACCTGACTGAATTTCAGTTTCAGTCTTGATGGTATCAGGGCTGACAGGGACCTTTTCTGCAGCAGTAACAGGTCAGGAGTGACTTCCACTCCATTACATTATCAGCAGACCTCCCCCCTCTGTTACATACTGATCATTTAGAGGGCGGTTATTTCACAGGAAGCTGTAATTCACAGACGCAGGAGACATATACCAGGCAGTTGGATCCTGTACTTGTATCTGTTGCATGGGGTTGGCTCTCTGTGGAGATTAACAGGGTCAGTTTGTTGGCCTGGCCTGGTGTGGCTTGGCATAGTAGGGGGGAGGTGACTTATCTGCTTTCACTCTCACTCGAGCTTGTGATGTCTTTTTCAACCACACAAAGCCAAAGTCGAATTGGCCTGGTTAGCCCTACTTGAGAGTATGTATTTTGGCTCAGGTCTCCTAAAAGATATGTGATCACTGTACCAATATTCTATATGTTCTCTGCTGCACATTTACTCTTTTTTTCTTACAGTCTTACATAATTCTCTCCCAAATATAGCCCCTCTATATGCTCTCAATGTATTGCTACCTCCTCACTATAATTTAAACTGCAGTGTTATCTCCCTTTTCCTTTGTTGCAGACAAGTTCAACACCTACGTGACGCTGAAGGTGCAGAATGTCAAGAGCACAACGATCACAGTGCGGGGGGACCAGCCCTGTTGGGAACAGGATTTCATGTTGTAAGTTGTTAAACACAGACACAGTGGAGTCATGCTGCAGGATTTATAATTCAATTTTAATCACCTAGATAACCAGCTATAATAAATGTGAAGTGTATTGTAGACTAAGCAAATGCTACATGGACCACACAGGGTACGCCACTATTATACACTACAGCATACTAGACTGTAAAATAAAACAATTAGCTTGGTATCTTAATGCTTTATGTCCTGTATTGTCATGAAAATCACTCCCAGTGGATGTCTTTCTGCTCTGAGAGCACAAGGTATTTGGTGAAATATCACCGCTTTGATGTCATGTGCCTCAGATGACCTGCTTGTTTGTTCATCTTCATACATGGTGCGTCCCACTGGGCACACAGTATATCCACTTCGTCCCTTCAGTTATGTCCAGCGTTGGGCTTTACTTGCAACGCACTGCGAGTAGTGTAACAAATTACTATTGCAGTTACCTCAAAAACAAATAACTCGTCCTACTTTTGTTGTCACCCTCCAGTGATTTGAAATCCAGAAATCAGTCAGATCCCCAGATTCATTTTTGTAATTGTAGCACATGCACAAGGTCATACAGTAGCAAGTTAGCTTGGAAGCTGGAAACCCTAAAGGTGCTGACACACCAAACCGACATCAAAGAACTAGCAGCAACGAAAGCCAACTGTTGTATTGTCTCAGTCGCCTCACGTCGCCCTGTGTCAGTTGCATTTGAACACACTACAAAGACTACATCCGACGGCCAAGTAGCACGTGTGTTCTGCACCTGCATGAGAGGAAATAATGCAAAAAGGGAAACCGGAAGTCAGAGGAATGCATGAGATAAACAAAGTAGTAGTGAGAGAGTGGTACATCCTGTCAGCCGAGGGGTTTCTATCTGTGCAGCCGAGCACCACAGCACCTCCACGGACTATTACATCCAGATGGTCCCAGTGTTTCCTCCACAGGCTCCACTTTACTCAGCTGCCTGACAAACCCACTGCTTCTTCCCACTTTAACCTGAATAACAAACCATGGCTCGGTGCTCCGGTTGGATCCAAACAGAGAGCCGGGGCTAGCTGGGAGGCTAGCGGAGGCTAACTGGCTGTGCTTCCCTCTGGTCATGCTGTGGCTAACGCTCCTCTAGCCGCTCCCAGCTATCTCCGGTTTGTTATTCAGGTTAAAGTGTGAAGAAGCAGCGGGTCTGTCAGGCAGCTGAGTGAAGTGGAGCCTGAGGAGGAAGCACCGGTTAGCCCCGGTTTCACTACAGGCAGATTCACTCGCTACAGGGGCGAGGGAATAAAACCTGAACAGCCAATCAGAGTGATCTGTCTCACTGACAAGCTCCACCGCCGATTCAACATGCTCAATCGGCTGAAAAGCCGCCAAGGTGCCGACGGTGCGGGACACACCGCAAAAACTAGGGCGGCCCGACTTCGACCGACGGCCAACCGTCGGCTTGGTGTGTCAGGGCCTTTACATTCAGCAGCTGGAAACATTCCTATTACTTTTGATTTTGTTGGGAGAAAAGATGACAAGGACATCATTGTTCCAGTTAGGGGTAGGAATTATGGAATTGCATACAATCTAATCCTCACTTGGAGAAAGAAAAGTGTCACAGAGCCTCGTTCCTGTGGGCTCTGGCAACACTATACACCTGCGCTTGCCTGAGAAGGACTTAATGAAGAACCTGCTATTTTTATCATGGACAGCTGTGGACTACAAGAAGTAGTAGTGAAGCTTGCGACTGAGTATGTGGTGGATGAAATGTTGCCTACCTCCACGACTGACTCTCCGTGTTTCAGACAGATCCTCGAGAAAATACTGGTCACAGGCAACAGGAGAGTTGTAATGTATTATTGTAGCAGGGAGTGATATGTGAAGTTATTATAATACTCTTTGTTTTTTGAGTAATGAGCCCAACACTAGTTAAGTCAAAACTCTTCAATGAAATAACCAAACAAATCTAAAGAAAAAAAGGTACTGCATTTTTTTTAATGTGTGTATTTTGTATTTCCGACCAAGTACGTAGAGCTCCAGGAAAAGGTATTTGTTTTTCAAGCTGTGCAAGTATCCTGTTAAACAGCTGCTGTTCATTTCCTCCTTGTAATTCATTGGTTTAATTTCCTCATTTCACTTTCCCTGTGAAAGGTATCTATGGTGATGAGAGAGCCAGCATGTTGTAACATGTGTGTCATTGTTTGTCTTTTGTGAACTCCCTCATTGCAACACTGTTTGTTTTTCCAGACCTTCATCCTTCCACTGTCCATTAATGATGTGTCGGCTAGGTGTAATTCAGCATAAAACATCATCATTCATCGGCGTTTCCAGCGAATGCTTGGCACCACCTGTTACAGCATAATACATTTATGAAACAGCAAGAGATGATGACTCACCTGAGTGAAGCCTGTTAGAAAGAATTCCTAACTATGACCTGTTGAATAGTTGTTGTGTCCATGTCCTTTTAAATAGAGACACATATTCTCCTTTTTTTTAAAAATTCAAGTTGTTATGCGGCAGCTCGTTTAAAGACATACTATGCAGAATTTCAGACTCAAACAGAAGTAATCCCTCTCTATCATCACTTATGACCCACTTTAAATGTGTGGTGGTGTATATTTCCTACATTTTCTTACTTTCCTCTTATTATCCATGTTTGGGATGTTTATGGGCTTGTAAAAAAATGCAGCTATAGTGAGGCAGAGCGCCAAATGAGAATAAATCGGAGGTTTAGTTATAAACTATAACATTCTGACAGCATGAGACACTTATTAGTAGGGCTGCCCCCGAAGAATTTTCCCTGTCGACTAATAGTCATCATTTAGGGCCATTAGTCGACTAGTCCCCCTCATGTTTACGATATTAATGTAACTATTAAATGATATATTTTGATGGTGTGAGAAAGAATAGTATCAGTAACATTGTTAACACTGTGCTACATTACAGAGAAATACAAAACTGTACTAATGAACCTTCATTAATATAGGCCTATATTTTATCTACAAGTGCACGTCACACACTGAGCGAGCCGCCTGTTAATGACGCTGTGGGCTAATGGGCATGTAGTTACTTCCATGTTTCAGATGATACGTCATGTTTGTAGTCGACCAATGAAGATGAGTTTACATATCACCTTGGGTTCGTCCTTCACCTTCTCAAACATTGGATTTCCTGCCCGACATGTTATTAACTAGCCTGTGGAATAACCGCAGGTGCCAGGTGAATTAGGGGCCGTACACATGCCATGTCTTTAAACGTTTGGAAAACGCGAAATCGGACACTGAGTGCTACTCTTGTGCATTTACTGTTCCAGCTTTAAAGAGTGTCTGAGGCTGCTAAGCAACCTTAACAAGCATCATATAGCTGCTTTACCTTGAATACTGAGTGCAGAGCTGATCTTCTTCCAGGTGCTATTTATAAGTGTGTAGGCCTATTGTCTGTGGGACAGATGTAAAGCTCTGGGTAGCCCTGCACTAACATGATCAACTTTTCCGTATTTACCAGACTGAATATTTACAGAAGAAGGGAAAGATATCTGTCAGCTGTGGTTGGTCTGTAACCTGACTCCTGTCTGACTGCTGAGCGTGGCCACTTCCTTTGTCTGTCCTTTCAAATTAAAGACCCACATGGTCCAGTCATATAGGGTTTGATTTATTTTGATGACCTTTCTGGTCAACTAACGTTTGGTCAACTGTTAGGGGGCAGCCCTACTTATTAACAGCTTAGCTTAGCTTAGCACAAAGACTGAAAATAGGTGGAAACAGCTAACCTAGCTTTGTCCATAGCTCAAACATCCAACTACCACCAGGGATGTTGTGGATAGGAAATTAATCTGTGTGCTGTCAATTTTGGCCAGTTTCAAAGTACATATATTTGTACAACCCACCACTGTGATCTTTAAAGGCTTTTAAAGAACAAAAATGTAATGAAAATTTTGCTTTTATAAAATGTTTTCACAATTTCAAATTGATCAAAAGTGGATTTACAGTCTTATTTGATGTGTTTTTATAAAGAAGACGTGGATGATACACAGACACAAATAAAAATCTACCTGACTGGATAACAGAATCTAAATGAAACCCTAAACTGAAGTCCCTCAGTTAAAATTAGCAACAGTTTGATTTTAATTCGATGCTCGATTTGTTTATTCTGTGGCATTATGAATGAGCACATGATTCAGAAGGCCTGTATTTCTGCACCTGGACACCCTGGACACTCGGCTCCCTCCCCTGCACTTCTCTCAATTAGCTGCTCTCTTTGATTATCTTTCCTGTCATCTTCCTTTTGTTTGGCCTGTCGATAGTTGTAAACTGCCACAGATGAGAATATGCAAATGCCCTTGTCACACGGCTCCTTTCAAAATTGATATGCCATTTTGTTGCTGTCATCAAGCTGTTTCTGAGCCCTTTGAATAGCACGTTGAATAACAAAACATGGCTTGAATGGATTATGACAGCTAATACACAACAAAAAGAGGAAGTGGCCTTTGTTTTCAACCAGTGGTCGGGCCTGTCAGTAATTACGGAGACATTTCTGGTCCATTGAGAGAGAATTGAATGGCATATTGGAAAGTTTTCTCGCTTTTTTTGTTCTGATAACAAAGCATCAGAGTACACGATTAGTTTTCCGCTTTTTTATCTGCTGACATTTCCCACGCTGTTCACGCTGATGGGGTTGTTATGGAAGCTTGACATTACTTGATACCTGAATGCCGCCTTTCTTTTTTTTTTTTTTTTTTTTTTTCTCAGTGAGATCAACCGGCTGGACCTGGGCCTCATTGTTGAGGTGTGGAACAAAGGCCTCATCTGGGACACCATGGTGGGGACAGCCTGGATTCCTCTGAAGAGTATCCAACAATCAGAGGAGGTCAGATTGTGCACCCACACACGAATCATATAGTCCAGAAAAAAAGCAGGAAGGATTTTATTCTAAAATATTATGTATTTGTTTTGGGGGAAAAAATGTGATCCATGAAACAGAGGTGCTTCTTTGCATTTTCTTACCAACATTATTTGGTTTTCATTGGACAAAAAGTTACTCTCAGTAATGATAATAATGACATAGACTAGGTAAATGAATAGATACAAAGAAGGTCCAATTGCATACCAATGTAAATACCAATATACATATGTAATAGTGGTGAAAGATACATGGATCTGGGTAGAAACATGGATTCAGTGATCAGTGAATCAATATAGGGTCTCCCAGGGGTGACGTTTTTCTGTAGGCCGACAAGGAAGTTAGCATCACACTGGTTCCCTCAACAAAAATCCAGTGGGATTTTTCCATTGGATTTTGGATTATTGACGTTTATCGTACTTAAACTTTTTGTTCAGTAAGATAATCTTCACAAATGAACACCACTTTCATGATTATTGAAGCCCAATTGCATTGTCCAGAAGTAAAAAGTTAACGTTGGGCTCGAAACAAACTACAGCAGTTGTTCCCAACTGGTGGGTCGCAGTCCAAAAGTGGGTTGGTGGTCCTTTCTGAATGCACTGCAAGTGACTTGCAAATGTGACAACTTTGAAAAAAAACACACTTAATTTTTAAGTACAGTGAATTTCTGGCACAGAGCTTTTATTATGAAGTGATGTTTTCTGCTGTAGAGAGAGGAGTAATGGACAGCTTCTTGATTGCATGGCCAAATGCAAGTATGACGCTATTGAACTTTTCTTTTTAGATGACCTATTTATTGAATTTATTCATGAGATTTTTATTATTGGATCCTTTACTGAATGCCATATGTTTTTTAACGTTTCCTTATTAACTATTTAAACAAGAAAAAGCCAGCAACACTTGGTGTCCTTCGTTACAAACTTTTAATACCTCACTGGTACAGGCGATTAAACACACAGACCGATTTTGATAGGTGTCTTCCTCAGTGTGTAAAAAAAAAAAAAAAGAAAATTGATTGTTTGTCTATGTATGTGGGAAAGCTGCAAATGAATTGCCGATTTGGGATAAATGAATTTGTCTGAAACTGTAACTGAATGTATTTAATCATGTGGACCTTGACCTAATGACCAAGGGGAAATCTGGACTCTGTGGCTGGACTAGTTGGGAACATGACCTAACGTCACCACCATAACCAGAATGTAAAGCAGTGTTTGGCATGGCGTGGCATTGCATGATGACATTCTGAAGTCTCATGTAGCCACTTGTTAGCCTTTAAAACACATAGAAGCTTCATAGGAGTTCACAAGTCGGGTATCAATGGACCTATTTTATGTTGCAGATGAAAACATAAAAGTCTCTTAAGCTCATGTTAACCACAGACCTTATTTCATCTAACCAAATCTCATTCAAAAAACCCATTGACTTTGAGACAAGGGTACCCCGTCTGCTGAAATGCAAACTCATTTCTAGGTTTAGGACTCATTCCTGCGGCACTCTATGATTGATGCGAAGCGAAAACATAACCACATATCTTCATCCCTAAGATACGCCTACATTTTGAACTTCCTATGGCACGTCTGTGTCACCATTTTCATCAAAGCACACCTCCTTCGTAAACGTTCAAACAGTGCTAGTGGCCTAGCGCTCGGCAGATAATGGCAAGCAGCTATGAGAAAGACAATGAGGACATTAAGTGATAGCGTCTAATTTCAATGGCAGGCCCCTGAATTTAATCAAAATCATATCATGGCGGACTTTTTGATATCAGCAAATACTGTATTGTAGTCTTAACCATCAATATCGTATTGTGATGAAATTTGTGATTTACACCACTGATATGAAATTGCAGGAGGGCTCAGGTGAGTGGATCTTTCTGGATGCAGAGGTCCTGATGAAGGCTGATGAGATATATGGCACCAAGAACCCAACACCTCATCGAGTCCTGCTGGACACTCGCTTCGAGCTGCCTTTTGGTGAGTTACCACAGTTGCTAATCCCTTGTTTTTAAAAGTACTTTGTATTTCTCATTGTGGTTGTCTAACACATCAGAATAAGGCAAATCTCCAATGAATAAACCACAGGTGCTTATGTAAGACTTTTCCCTTTTCCGTCTTTTCAAGTACCTGCTCTGCATTGGTGCATGAAGTCGAGAGTACATTTGTAATTCTAGTAACCGCAGGGCAAATCAAACCTTGATCCACTGAGTTACACAAAGGCTACACGTGTTTCCTGCTGAAATGTCAGCAGTCTGTTTCTGAGGCTACACAGGGAGAAATATCCAGCCTGGGGCTCTGTCGTACAAACTGATGACGTCTTGTAAGCTGGTGTCCTGTAGTCTTATGTAAGCATACTCTGCATTGATCCGTTACCTCGGCTCAAACAGAAAACATATGAACGACATTCATGAGTAGAGTACGAGGTCACATTTTTCTGAATGAAATGAAATCATAACAAAATAGGTTTATCTCATTGCATAATGTGAAGAAGGGCACTTTAGTTGAGCAACTAATGACTTGAAACAGAGCGCTCCTAGATATTCACTGGGGTGATCAAGCCTTTTCCATCGCTGCTCCCAGGCTTTGGAATAAGCTCCCTGTTGAAATGCGCCTCATTTCTGACCTGGGCCTTTTCAAATCTAGACTGAAGACATATTTATTTAGGATGGCTTTTAATACCCAGTAGTGTGGTGACTCTTTTACTTTTACTCTGTTTTACTTTATTTTATTGTATCTTATTGCTCCTATTGCTTTTATTATTTTCATTGCTTTTATTGTTTTTATTGTTGTTATTGCCTCTATTTATTTTTAATTGTTTTTTGCACCTATTGTAAAGCACTTTGGTTCACCGAAAGGGTTGTTGTAAAGGGCTGTATAAATAAAGAACATAACATAACATATTCGTCTTTGTCTATCTGGTTCCACTGGGGACTCTGAGTTTCTCGCCTGCTTTAATTGAGGGCAGTGACTCATCAATGAAAGAGCCTCCTTTATTAACTTAAGTCCAGTTAATATAATTTGGTCTTTGCCAGATTGTTCCCTTGTGGCCAACAGGATTAAGAAACCATTAAGAATGCTCTTTTTTCAATATGAAGCTAAGAAGACAATGGGAGAGTTTAGATCCATACTCCCATAGCATGCCATTTTAACATTTAATCAAACAACACTCCACTTTGTAATTTCATTTTAGATATCCATGATAATTAAAGATATCCACAATAACATTCTTACATGTAGAAATTATATTTTAAGATATCTACGATCTACTTTGATTGTAAGATTAGATAAGATTAGCTTTTATTGTTTCCCTCAGGAGAAATCTGTCTTTGACATCCAAGGAAATGCATGTTACACAGCCACTCACATGTACAATCAAACTACATTTAACATACACCATCACTCCCATCCCATCCATACACCCCAAGAGTATTGCTCAGTGTCACTAGAGCCACAGCTTGCACAAATGTCCTACCTGCAGTAATTGCACAAGAGTCCTGTACAAAATTATTGCACAAGTGCCCCACACAAAGTAATTGCTCAGATGTCTGACACCCGAATTTTAGATTGTATAGTCAAAACTAAATTTAAGATGTCTTGAAATCCTTATGAAGTATAAGAGGCAATTTTATCATTTAACCCTTTGAAACTTGGAGCAACATCCCTTTTCTTGTGCTGCTTTCTTTGTGACACCTATTACAAATATTTTAACCATTGAACGCTGAGCAAATTGGTGAAATTTCTTTCAGAAACATGGGGAAAAAGTAACTTGGTAAGAAATGTCCAACAAATTGCAAAAAAAAAAAAAGGTTTAGAAAATTATGTAAAAAAAAAAATAGGGAAAAATGTTAAAATATTTATTATAATAATAATAATAATAATAATAATTTGTTTTTAACTTTCTTTCCTCTTTTTTTGGCCAATTTTTTTTGTTTTTAATTGTTTTGTTCACCAATCTTTCGCCAGTTTTTTGGGTCACTTCGTCTTTTGTTGCTCATTGCCTTCTACCCATGTTTTTAAAAGAAATCAAGTCAGTTTCCTCAGGTTTCAAAGGGTTAAAGCAGCTGTGCGGAACTTTACGGTTTCGTTGATTATAGTGCCCCCTTTGGTCGAAGCGGTATGACACCCACAGCCTGGTATCGTAAAATTCCGATTGTAGCCAGCATTCGGCTTCATTCGTAAAATCTTGACTGCAACCGGCAATTACCGCATGCATTTGTTTTGGAGAGCGAGAGGAAAATTATAAATGTTCTGGTGTAGCTCTGAATTTCTTATAAACTGAGGACAACTGCCTGCTGTATATTTGTGTTCATGGTCACAGTCACGGATAATTTTGTGGCATTTGTTGTAATGTTACTAGACAAAAGCGGTTCACATCAGCTAACATTACATTTAGCTTGCTTATAATTTCCATGTCGTCATATATTGAAGTAAAACAACGTCTAACAAGTTGCGCTATATTCTCTAAATAAAAACAAAAATTACATACCTGTCGATTAGGAAAAGGGCCAACTCAGGATCAGTTTTAAAACCTTTCAAATCTTTCTGCTCTCTCCACTTGGTGAATGGATGACCGAGGATTACACGCGTTTGGCCTATCACTGTCCCGTTTAGTCTTCTTCTGTTCTTCTGTTCTTTTTCTTTTAGATGGTGCTCCTTCTTTATCCACCATGACATTGAAAGTACAACCAAGTCCTTATAGATACATCTGGTAAAACTGTTATGTGTTCAGCAATGCCCGTTGTGTACCGCTTACTCGAAGAACACTCTCTGTAAACATGGCTCTTCTTCTCTCAATTTATTGGCGGATAGCAAACAACTTCCAGGTGCATACCACCACCCACTGTACAAGAGTGTGCAATGTGTCCGAAATCATTCACTACTCCCTACTACATGTCATTTAGCCTGGTGCTTAAATCCTACTCGTAAACATGGCTTCTTCTTCTTCTGTGGTTTAATGGCTGCGGGCCGCTGCGGGCGTGCAGACTTACTTCCGCCTCTGGGTGCCGTATTCTGGTTTGCTGACTTCCGCTGTGTCCGACCCGACCGAGGCTATGCTAAATAGCCATATAGAGAAAGGCTTTTTTGTCGCTGTTGGGTTCCGCACAGCTGCTTTAATAACTAGACTATATGTATTGCACATGTCCATAATTAAAATCTCCCTTGTCATTCTGAACATTTCAGATATTCAGAATGACGTTCCTCTTAAGAAAAATTTAATCACTTTTGACATTTGTGTGTATAGGGCTTTCAATTTTAGATATCCACAATTGCATTTTTGATATCCAGTTTGATCTACAATTAGATAATGCAATTAGAGAGAGCCACAAATGTAGCGTGGATATCTGTTAAAATTAGATTATGGATATCTAGAATGGCTATTCATATTGGATATCTGAAATTAAAATTATGACTAGTAAAGACTGGATTGTAGATATCTTAAATGGGATGTTTTTCCTAGTAAGAATTTAATTGCAGAAATCCAGAATGTTTGTTCTGGATATCTTAGGCCCAGTTCAGACCAAAGATTCGAGACGAGACGAGTTGAAACAGGCAACTACTTGCAATGCACTGTTCTGCAACTTTGTGAAAACCTGTTCTGATTTCCAGCTTCTGTTTCCTTATTTTGTGGCTGAATATAATCTGTAGCTTCTTAAAATATGAATGAGGATAGTGATGGTGAGATACTGGCTACAGTTGCATTTGTAGTACTGATGGAATGGCGAACAAACCAAGCATCAGATGGACTGTATTCATAATAACTATGCCACAATGATATGAATAACCAGTGTCAGTTAATCAGTCAACGTGTATGAGGGGGCATACAGGGAGCAGCAGCAGCAACCCGCCCGGGCTTGGTGGGGATGGAGCACCTGCCGCAGCACGCAAACATGCCATCTGCAGCCATTTTGACTCATCTAGTGGATTCTACAGTCACTACAAGCTGTTGAACCAGATGACCAGCCTTACGTTCTAAAACCAGCCGCCAGTGATTTGATCAGCTGAGCTGCAGGTGACTCCATCAGCCGGCTTGAGTCGAGCTCAGACGACCAGTTCACACCGCTGCAACTTTTCTCTGAAACGTTCTAAAATGGTTTCATCTTGTCGCGAATTATTGGTCTGAACTGAATTACAGGTATCAGCAATATGTGTCCAGTCTAGCCACTAAATGTTAAAACAGCTTACATATAAGCCACTAATTAATTAATTTTTATTTTTCCCAGGGGTTAATTCAGTGATCCTAAAGATTGGAGGGTTAAATGTCTCCTGTGCTCCCCCTCTTACTCTCTCCGTTTGTAACCACAGTTCTGCCCACAGTATCTGTTACTGACACATCATATCGGACTCAAACCTTGTGATCAAAAGGCATCAAAGTTAAAGCAGGGTGCCTGTTCACTGAGTGGGAGAGGGCCTCTTTCTCTGTTTCAAGAGGAGACCTTTCAAGGTTGCAGGAGGCCATCATGACCACCAGAGCCAACAGAGCCATTCATTAAAGCTGTGGGTCGGTGTGTCTTTGAAGCCCTGGCCTTTGTGTGTGTGGCCTTTAATGTGCATCTTTCTACAGAGCACCGCAGAGCCCCTGGAAAAATGGGAATGGTGACAGCACCTGAACTGATACCTCTTTTTTCTTTTCTATATACACCAGGGGTTAGCTTTACAGCTAATTTGCACCCATAGTCCCAACACAAGTAAAAATAAGAAACATTAAAAAGCATACCTTACATGATGGAGTTGTAATGAAAATAAGAGAGATAAGAACCTGGAACCTTTGTCCTCGCAGTGGTTAACAAACAATACAGTCGGATAAGTCTCAAACACAACAAACAAGTATATCAAATATATACTGCCAAGACTCAGCTGTAGCAGCCGACACAGAATCTCTGCTGCTGTTTCTGATCCTCCTCTCTTAAAGGAAAGCTTACCCCCCTAGATGACCGTTTGCAAATCAGTTACTCACCCCTGTGTTTTGTTGATTTGTAAACATTGTCCTTCTTGCATGCCTCTGCTAAACAAAGAATCCAAAATTGGAGAAAATTCTGGATGAATTAATATCATAGGGTCTGTGTTCAAACTCTCACACAACTTGTACAGTATAATCCAAGTTTCATTTATCCAGTGGTACATTCAGTACTTCCCAAAGAGACAGCTCTTTCTGACTGGGAACTTGACTAAAAGTTAAATTTATCTATGCTCTTTTCAAAGCCAGATTCTCTTGATGAACGTACTCAAACCTGACTCAACATGGAGGCTGCTGGTCAACACTGAACTGATCAGTTATGTAGTTTGTGTTACTGTGTGACTTTGATGAAGAAGAATTAACTCTTTAACACACCAAAGTCACACATTAACACAAAGTAACTGATCAAGGTGGTGGCGGACCAGAAGCTCCTGTGTTAAGCAAGGTAAAATATCTTCTTCGGTGAATGAAGTGGATTTAAAGCAAGCAGTTTATCTTTTAGTTCAGTTCCCTCTTGGCAAGTACTGTCTCTTTGGGAAGTACTGAGCATATGACTGGATAAATGAGACTTGGATTATACTGTACAAGTTGTGTGAGAGCTTATAAATTGATTATTTTGATATAGTTTTGCTGTTGTTAAACATGGACCCCACTGACTTCAATTCATCAAGAATTTCCTCCATTTTAGAAGATCAAAGTTTTCTCCACAATTCAACGTAAAGGCCTTTGCCCATTTAGTCTGTTTTTTTGTCTGAAATTGACGCACGTCTAAAAATGAATACGTCACTTTGTGTCAATCATGTATGCACACTTGAATTTTATTAAATTTTTAGGAAAGGTTTGATTTTCTGCATTTTTCGCATCCGTCAGAAGCCTTAAGATACATTTAACCAAGAACGAGTGAAGAAAATGTGGCTTTGGGACACAGCCATGACAAGACAGAGGAACGGGGCACACAGAATCATTTCATAACTGGAGGACATCTCCGCCCCTTAATGCAGCTGTAGTGCCAGATGGTTAACTCCAGTGGAGAGAGACAAAGGAGGAAATGTTAATTTTGTCACATATTGTGAATTTTCGCAACGAATAGAACAATAAAACGCATTGGACAACGGATTAAAAAAAACATATCCGAAAAAAAACGGACTTCGTGTGCAAAGGCCTTAAAACAGGATGACGAATATATGAGATGGTGAAGGAGTTAAGTATTCCTTTCAGAGTTCGTCGCTATTGCTGCAGTAAATAACTGCCTTCTTTTCCTCATTCCTAAGAGGCACATGAGAAATTAAACAGCCATAAATGTTTTATGATGACATCCTGAAATATGATGCTTAAAATCACAGGGAGCAGGATGTTGACTTCAAGCACGGGTTCATGTGTATTTGTTTGCTGTGTACATATTTCTATATCAGATATCCCAGATGATGAGGCGCAGTACTGGACAGGCAAGCTGGAACGCATCAATACCATGAGAATCCACGATGAGGTAAAGTCATCAATGTCCTGCTGGTTTGAGTGTTTGTTTCACAGTTATGAAGCAGATTAGGTCAATAAATAATCTTATGTTGAAGAGAGCGTGCCTGTATGTTCCTGTTTACCACTTCTTGTGCTAATGATGCAGAGCTGCTATTTTTATTTTTGTTGTAAATGTTGGAGTCGTGCCAGTGAAAGTATAATAGAAATATGACGACATGAAAAGCATACTTGATGCTCTGCTGTTTTTCCCCCCTTCTCTCCTCTGTAGTACCCTCTTCAGGATGACGTTCAGAGTCGCCCACTGCCATTTGCGGCTTCCCAGTGCTGTGAGTGTGCCTGCCCTTACTGCTTTTGGCCACTAGATGGAGCCAGATCTCCACCCTTCTTGCTCTCAGGCTTGGCTATAATTTCCTCTCACTTCCTTGATCCTGATGAGCCAAATGTAGTTGCATCATTCAAATTCACTCTGACTATATTCTTACTAACTTAATCAAGAGTCCATCAAGAGTTACAAAACAGGAGCACTCTTTTTTTGTTATCACAACCCCTCCTCTGTCTGTACCTCTCACTTGTAACGTCTGCACTTTCACCAGGCAACTATTTCGGATGGGCTGACCCACTGAGTATGTAAAGCACACTTTGATGAAATTCTCCCCCCTGGCCAATCCTCAGTGCCCTCTGCATGTCCTAATGCCCCAATATTCCCCAATAACATGTAATCTATAATGTTTCAATGCATTTTGTTCTCATTATTTCACCTTACACGTGATTTTCCGCAATGTTTTCCTTGATCTTCTTTGGCCTTTTTACTTCCCTTCCCGCTCTCAATGTTTACCTGTTTTCTATCCTCTATGCTGATGTCATATAATGTCATTACCCCTGTTAACTTTATCCTTAAATCACTGGATTAGCACACATCCCAGAATAAGAGTCGGGACATCTGAAATTGTGCTTCGTGCATCTTTTTTAGGAAGACCGTTAGAATTGAACAAAATATTGAGAGCATACATATTTGAATATGTTAAGCATTGCTTATAGAGATATTTCTGAAAATCTGCCAAACAACAGTAACCCTTTTCACATGATAAAAGGGTATAAAATGTAGTTGCATCGTTAAACTGATAGGTGGCAGTCTTTGCTAAACTATATTTATCCATCACCTTGACATTTTATCATCCTCCCAGAAAATATCAACTGAAACATCTCATCCCTCTTCCTCCACTTTATCGCTTTGAAAAGATAAACTCAGCTGTCCCCTCCAGCAGACGCTGAACTCATGGGTAGCTCTTAGAAGTTTTCTAAGGGTCACTGTTGAGGTTGATATGGCCACTTTCAGAAAGTGGTTTGTGTAGATGCCCTTCTTATGAGCAACACTGGTCTGTCATTGTAAGATTTCAAGTTGTACAGTATAATAACAGTCCGACTTCCATGAAGTTAGGTAATCTGTATATTTCTTGTCCCTGCCTTTCTTTAGCAAAACAAAAGCTGAGCTCTATATGTGAATGAAGTATGTGATACAGAGATAGAGCAGCTCAATGTCCTCAATTTAGCAGGAGAGCATGTATAAAGGCATGGTCTTTTAAAAGTGCATGACCTTTGACCTCTCAACCTCCCTATTAACCTGGCATACACTGACCCCAGTTTGTATATTTCTTTAGCTCTTAACAGTTTGGTCCATGAAAGTTTTAACTCCTCAGCACCCTCAGTTTTGACATGAGTTAATGATAAGCAAGGATTTAAAAAGAATACTTGCTGTCACTTGAAACATACAAATGTTTCAGGAAAGATTTATTAATTCATCTCGCCCTGTTTCCTGTTGCAGCTCTGGATGACCAGGACAGTGCCGTAGATGACCGGGATAGCGACTACCGCAGCGAGACGAGCAACAGCCTGCCTCCACGATACCACACGACGGCTCAGCCCAACTCCTCCATGCACCAGTATCCCATGGGGCCTCGGCAGCAGCAACACCCAGACTCCTGCGCGGACTCTATCCACAGTTTCGACCTGGACTACAGGGACCAGAGAGGAACCAGGTAGACAGAGTATTCACGGAGTCACCCATACACACCTTCACTTCCGGTTTCAGATTTACAGTTAGTTTAATTATCATTTTAATTAGTTTTCTTTTGGATAGTTTGCCTAAACAAAGTTCCAACATGGCTGGAGCTTTGCTCTTTTTTACTTTGTCTATGAGCTGGTTTTTCTTGCCATGGCATAGTAGATGGTTCATTCAGCTGCTTCAGTAGACCAGGAGGGATCTGTACTCTAGAGGCGGATTTTGTCACACCCTGTATCCCCAGCCTAAGTGCTGGAGTGCATTTAAGCTCTCTCTAGCTTTTTAATTCACATTATTGTTGTTGTCTACTGGCTTGCACATCAGGAGGCACATCAGACTATGTGTTTTGTATGACTGAAGTTGTCGAATGTAGTGAAGATGGACAAAAGTGTCTGTGTGGTGACTATATTATATTAGAGGAAAAGACACGATTCCAAAAATACCACTGCTATAGAAATAATAATATGTTGTTGTTCTACCACTACACAGCTTTTTTCAAGGCCAGTTTTGGTCAATAAAACAAGTGGTCTCAGTGCAAGGAATCTACTTTTGTGCGCTCGTGGATTGTCATGGAATACATGTGTACCAGTGAGACCGCTGCAAATCTGCCTGTGTGGACTGATAGGAAGTTGATCCGGATAATTCAGCATCAGAAATAAAAAATGGGATTGCAGCCAGGGGAAAGCACATTGTTGGTGTTTCTTTTTGTCTTGAGAGTCTGTTGTGTTGGTTGAAGTTCCTGGTAGTTTGATAGGCTCTGAACTTGGTTTAGCCATATCACTAAGGAAATCCCCTCGGTCACACATGGACGGAGTAGGTCAGTGACACACATGCATTTCTTTGGTGATTAAAAACGTGTTCAGTCTACGCCATATGGCGATGATTTAGCAGGCATTTCTCGTGGACACTGTTGCAGGCTGAGTGTTAAAGTGCTGATAAGCATGGCTGCTGCTAGGGGCTTAAAAAGATCTAAATTCACAGAGGCACACACACTCACTCTTACACTTGGATGCAGTTTTATTATCCATGCACACTAGAATGTGCAACAAGGTATTTTTGTAATTTGCATTTTCCTTCAGGGTAGCTCAGCTGTCTGATGACAATGTAACAAAGCATCTTTAAACCTGGCAAGATCATTTAAAACTGCTGCGTATATATTATGCCTGTAATCTCTGTTAAGAATGTTGTAATATCATTACAACATTGATAACTAAGATGAAATGTGTCTTCTCATTTGCATGAAACTGTTCTTTATTTCTCCATTTTTCATTCTTTTAAACTTGTGTTTGCATTTTTTTTTCTTCTTGTGTTGTGCTTCTTCTTTTTTATCCCTGCATCCTTCTCAATCCCTTTGTTAAATCCATTCTTTAACCCTAAATAGATCATTAAACCATAAAGGAAGGGTCAGAATTATACCTGTAGATTCTGGCATGGGGGTTGAAGATTGGGAAAACAAATACAAAGGGCAGGGCAAGCCTCAGCTGAGTGACTTCTTGGACGATGAGGAAGACAACGTTATCCTTCGAATGGGAAAACCCTACTCAGAGCCATCGCACACCTCTATCCGTCAAAATACTCAACGCAGTGGTTTTCTGCCTGCCACCTACCCTGAGGGCTATGACACTATTGATCGGCGGCGAAAGAAAAAGATAAGGGACCCAGGAGGGTTGCTCAGTACAGAGGCAGACAAATTGAGGGAAGAGGCTTTTCCCTCTGACCTTGCACTGCTCCGTGAGAAGAGAGGGGAGCTGTTTATGCGGCAGGTAGTTGAGATGCAGGAAGAGGAGGAGCGCATGACATCTTGCCTCAGGCCATACCAGAATGGCCTTCTCTACAAAACAAGGATGTGGGCGAAAAATGAGCTAGACAACACTTTGGAGAATTATGTGGCATACAAAAAAGAGCAGGATGCCAGAATGAGGGCACGGTTCGATTTTGATTTAGAGAGTTATGCTGATCTGCACTACTCCGTAGGAGCAGAGGAGGATATTGATGACCTTGCCTTTATAGCAGAAGACTTTCACCCAGAGAATTCGAGGCATTACAAAGACAAATATTCTTACTCCTGTCACAAGGAAAACTCTCAGGGTCCTCGAGAGAAGAAGTGTGGAAAAGCTAAAATTGGAGGATGGGCTCCAGAGGCAATGCTTTCCCCTGTAGAGGAACCAAGTGATGAATATGTAGACCCTATGGATGAGCTCCAGTGTCTAGTCGAAACTGTTTCTGAATACCTTGCTGAGAAAGAAGAGGAAATTAGCAAATATGGTTCCCTTCCTAAATCAAGCAAATCTAGGCTATCGTCTCTGGGTAGCTATAGAACCGATTCTTTTGGAGAGGACCAAAATAGTTCATCAAAGGATCCTAGGGAAACCCAGTCACAACCTTCTTCTGACCAGGGTATTTCAGGGGTGAAAAATGCCATGAGCTCAATATTTAGTTCTCTCACTGACAGAGTTGGAGGAGGCCCCAAACAGCCTGTCCCGTCTCCACAAGCCCCATCTGCACAACCCTCCAACCAATCTGGACTAACAAAACTGTTTTCCTTCATTCCTAAATCAAATAGCTCAGCTCCTGTGGCTGTTGTATCTCCAGTGGAAAGTCCTCATGAAAACCCATTCAGTTCTTTGCCTTTTCAGCCACCACGTGATGCCAAAACACAAAGTTATAATCAAGAAACAAAAGCTCCCATAAGGAGCCAGACTCAAACAAGTACAAAAGAACATGTACCAGAGTTTGTAACCAAATCTCAAAACGCTCCAGGAAACTCAGTCCTGGGGAAATTAAATCCGTTAAAGCTTTTTTCAGGAGGAGATAATGGGAACTCAGCTGAACAGGCACCAGAGTCCACATATTCTCAAGGCCATGCACAGTGGGATGAGAAACATGTTCATCAATATAAACAGTCAATGACAGCAGAAGGTGGTGGGAAATCAGAAAAAGAGAAGTATTTGGAACAAAAACAGGATGAAAGTATATATGGCAGGCAAAATCCAATGACTTACAAACAAGAAAACGTGCCTACGCCAGGGCCAGCAAAGCCGACTGGCCAAACACAATCAGCGAACACTGGATTCTTCAGCCCCTTTAAAAAGTCACTGAGTTCATTGATCACACCTTCTGTCCCCATTCCACCTCAGGGACCTCCACCTGTAGCAGTTTATCCAGTGTTTCGAACCACAGAGGATCCCCGACTAGAGAAACCAGTGGAGGACCCATCATTGAGCAGTAAAATCAAACTGCCTTTTCTCTCCTCTGAAAATGCCTCCACTCAGCAATGCCCCAAAGCAGAGGGAGGCATGCTCTCTGGTTTCTTGAAGTTTGCATCTAATGAAGATGTTAGTGCCTCCACGAGCACACAGAATCCTGTGCAATCATATCATGATTCAACTTCAACAACCTCCACTACCTTTACACAGAATTCTGCTGTGCCCCAGGAAAACACGGAGAAAGGATGGTTTTCTAGCATGTTTAACCCTACCTCTGCTCCGTCTGGTTCAAACCAGAATTTTAGTAGTAGTGGTCAGCAATCTCAGAACAGCAAAGTGCCATCTGGCTCATATGCACAACATACGGCAAATCAGAAACCAACAGCTGCCCCTCATGGAATGCAGCATCAAGCTCCCCATCAGCCTGAATCACAAAGTTTTCTGACAGGTCTTTTCAAAGGGACCTCAAATGAAGACATCTCTCATATGGGCTCTAATCAGCCCAAACAAGGAGGGCTGCTATCTGGACTTCTTAAATTTGGCTCTACCAGTGACCTGTCTGGCAATTTGCCACAGCAGGCTTCCCATAACAATCAACCACCCAGGAGCAGTACTCCCCCACAGTTTTCTAATCACCCTCCCTCACAACAAGGTTCTTCAGTACCACGGATGGGAGGCCTTGTCTCAGGGCTACTGAAGTTTTCATCAACAGAAAATATACCACATAACACACAGCCTTCTGAAGCTGAAAAGCAGAGGGACATCCCTGGATATTACTCTGGCCAGCAGCAGACTTCAGATGAAACTCAGCAAACACAGCCTCAACAAAGGGGCCTGTTGTCTGGCTTGCTTAAATTTGCATCCTCCGAGAATGTTTCCAGCAGTGAAACAGTTCAGCACCAACAAAGCAACGTTCAACATAATCAACAGGGTTTCAACCAAGAGAATACTCAAGGTCCAAATCGAGGGCCTCAACTCAGGAACAGAACTTCAAGTCAGCAAGGTGTCCAACAGGAGACCAGTAAACTAGGCTTTATGCGACAACAAACCGTTCCACTCCAGCGAACACCATCCCAACAAAGTGGTCTTTTATCTGGTCTTTTTAAATTTGCTTCAGCAGACAACATAAAGACGCAACAGCACCCATCAGCTCAACAGCAGGGAGTTACCCCAAGTAAATCCAGCCATGAGCAACCAACGGCAAGAAATATCCCAATGTCCAACCAAAATCAACCACAAAATAGCTCAACACAAAAACCAACTCAATCAAGTGGTCTGCTTTCTGGACTATTCAAGCCCTCCACAGAAAATAGGGCTCAACAGCAACAGCCCGAAATCATCCATGAAGCACAACAACGAATCACAGTGCCAAGCAGCCAGAGTGCTGAAGCACAAGTGGAGACAACAAGTCAATCTGGAGTGCTCTCAGGGTTGTTTAACAAGTTAACAAAATCATCTGAAAACGTCGACACAACCTGCCAGACATCAACAGGACAATCATTGAACCAGAAAGGCAATAATTACACAGTCACAATGCAGACCCCACAACAAACACAGTTAAAGACCAATGTAACACAACAATCCTCACAAGACCATGCAGAGACAGAAAGAAGGATTCCACGAACCGCCCAACAAGGGTTTTTATCAGGACTGTTTAGCAAGAATGTAACTGAGGACCCTTGTACTCCTAAACAACAAGAAACGTCAGGCCAGATTACAGAACAACAGACACCATCAACTAAGTTCACACAGTTACATTCAGGTATATTAAAAAGTGCTTCCTCAGACTTTGGAAGGGACAGCAGCCAAAGAGTTGTTCGAGATTCTTTTAATCCAGGACTGAGCAGACATGCTTTATTCGGTGCACCTGTCTCAATTGACACTGAAAGTTTAGACTTAAGAACATCAGCTACTTTTGCAAGGTCACTTCAGAGTCAGGCAACATACTCCTCAATTAGCACGGGTAACTTATCTCAGTTGTATTATTCTGGCTCACTTCAGTCAGTTCACCCAATGGCTTATAGTACAGGAAATATCCATTCCCTTTTACAAAGCCATACAACTTCCTCATTAATGTCCATGCAGCCATACATTGGTGGAAGCACTTCCTCTTTGTATGGAGCAACCGGGCAAAATCTTTACCAAGATCAGTTGTCCCCTTATGGTAGGACTCCCTCTTACGATGAAAACCAGTGGATCCGTGAAAGTGCTCTCTGGCAGCAGTTTCAGAATGAGTCTCAGAATTATCAATTCCATGGAGAAGATCAAGCCTATAGACAGAGCTGTGAGGGTGCGTCATTACAGGCATCTGCTCTTCCCTGCAACTCCTCAAATACATATCAGCCATTTAACTCCTCCGCGCCATGGCAAGATGTTGTTTGCCAAGAGCAAGTTCAACCATATCAGTTTGAGGGACATGGTAATGATGATCCTTATTCCAAGAGGAAATTATGGAACAGCCATGAAGACTTGGGAACCATAGAATATTCATCTAACGAGGAAGGTGCTTTGAACTTAACTAATAAACAGAGTAATGCAAAGTTTGGGAAATGGCACTCGTTCAATGATGGCAGCACTTACAGCTTGAATGGGGTTTCATATCATGAAGGTTATTACGAGGAGATGGCACCAAGCTTATCTTATTCAGCTAACTGGCAATATGGAATGGATAATGCAGTCCGACAAAATTATCATACCGATGGCATGTTTCATCAGAGTCAGTTTAATTTGAATAGACCAATAGATTCAAACTGCCTCCCAAGTGCCAGAACTGAGACAGAAGACTCCCTGTACCTTGAAGACACTGAGTGGTATCAGCAGTGGCTTGCACTTCTGGAGCAAGGAATGTGGTGGCCAGCAGAAGATGGTGACTGTGGTTACTTTGTTTACACAGATCATGAGTACATTTATGCCTTGCTTACAGATGCAGCAGGTGAATATGTGTATGCATGTGCCCCGGAAGGCGAGTCTTTTGGAAATGCACAAAAGTTTGATGGTTTTCCCAGTGCTTGGCTAGACAGTGAAATGGTTCAAGTCTGTGGCTTTAAAATTCCACTTTACAATGAGGATGAGCTTCTTTGGCTACCTGGTCAAGATCACAATGATTCTCAACTTCTTAATGCGCCCCTAGATTTGTCTGCTGCCTATAGAAAAGGAAATCAGATCATGAATTTAAATCTTGAGCAGTTCTCCCAGATGTTTGAAAATTCATTTCTGTCACAAGGGCAACAAGATTTAGATTTCACATCTTACAGATTAAACAAAGTCAGGATAGATCCAAGACAGCACAGTGACATTTATGAAAACCAATGCAGAGATGTTATTGACCTTTCCTGTCATAATAAAGACCACATTGGGCCTTATTGGAACAACCAGGGAGTTAAGACATTTCTTGCTCAAAAGGTTGCCTTTTCCCTGAACTCTACTCCGACTGCAAATGCCAATCAGCAGCTACTATACAACTGCTACCAACCCTGCCAACGAAGGCGTTCATCCACTGGGGTAACAGTGAAACATGTGGATGATGTATCAGAGAGGGAATGGAGGGAGAGAGTTTCTCCAGGAGAACCACAACCTAACCGTCAAGTCAAAAACATTTCTTCTCTCATATCCTCTTTTGTGGGCAAAACATCACAGGCAGAATCAACTAAACCTAGTATATCCTCCACTGACAGAAATTCAAAGAACATTCTTACGTCAGGTTTCCAAAGTCTTAAGTCAAAGATCATCAAAGAGGAATCTACGGCTGTGACACAGCCAGATTTAAGCGTTAAACAACAAACGCAGACGCCAGCTACCACACACAGAAGAATTTTGCCCACAGTTCAAACAGCTGCTCAAGTGACTCACCCCTCAGTTCAATCACATACGGCTTCACAGAAACCAAGACTTTCACGTCAGACTACCATGGCACAACAACCAGCCCCACAAACGCAGCCCAATGTCACAGTGCCTTTAGGATCAAAAGAGTCTCTCACTAAACCTGGACCACCTGGACAAATTACAGCTGGAAAGCCAGTAGAGACACCAGTAGAGAAACCACCTGAACAACAGGCAGGCATCATGAACTTTCTGAAATCTGCAGTGGGAATGGAAGAACCTGTGCCAGAACCCCACAAAGGTTCTCAAACATCTCTCAATGACCAGAGCAAAACTGGCAGCACTGCTTCCTTACCAGGCAGTGCCCATACAAATAAAGAGGCTACAGGAGTGTCAAATCTCTTTGGATCAATTAGCAGTCTATTTAGCGCTGAGCCCTCTCCCCCACAGAAACAGGAAATGAAAGCCAGTGTTACAGAGGGCTCACTGGCATCTAGACCGAAGGGTATACAGAGACAACGAACAATGGACCAAAGTGGTACCTCTCGGCCCACACAAAGCCAACCCCCAAACAAAAGTATATCCCAAGCATTTTCTCCCAGTTCAACAACAGGCCCTGCAACAAGCAGGTCAGAAACTATCCCTTCTACAGAACAGACAAAACATGAGACCGGAACTAAACCATCCGGTGGACTGTTTGGATTTTCAATTGGAGAAATGTTGACAGGATCAACAGCAGCTGCCCAATCTGGACCCACAACTCCATCACCTGCAGCAGATACAGCTCCACAAGAAGAATCACTTGGTAAAAGTATATTATCAATGTTTAGTGGGCCAAACACTGCTCAGGCTGCACCTAAAGCTGGGCCCTTGCCTCAAGCACATCCACCAAATGCAGCTCCACAACCCCCTCAGCAGGAATCACTTGGTAAAAGTTTACTATCAATGTTTGGAGGATCAAGTCCTCAGCCTCCCCCTCAAACCAAACCTGCTGCTGAGGTACCACAACAGGGAACTGCTCCTCCAAAGGACCCCCCAAATACAGGATTTCTTTCAATGTTTGGTGGTCCCAGCACCCAACAGCAAGCCCAAACAGGATCTTTTCTGGGGGGAATTCTGCCAGGGTCTTCAAGTTCAACTGAAAGCCCAATGAAAGGACTGTTTTCAATGTTTGGTGATCCCAGTCCTCCACAACCTCAGCCACCAACATCGTCATCTCAACAAAAAGTAGCCAAACCACAAACTCAACAACAAGGGGAACCTCAGACACAATCCAAACCACAAGCACAGCCACAACCACAAGGGCAGCCAGCCACCTCTGTACTTGGGGGAATACTGGGTGGCTTGTCCACCTCTAGTGAAAGTCCGAAAAACACTCTGTTTTCCATGTTTAGTGGCCCCAGTACTCCTCAAACACCAGGAGCTGGTGGAAGTGCAAGTTCGTCCACTTCCCCAGGGACTGCAGCTCCCAAAGACCCTGCAAAGAGTATACTATCTGTTTTTAATGATGTTGTGTCACCTCCACAGCAAACTCCTGCTGCCTCATCTACTGTTGTTACTGATACTAAAGAGCTTACAACAGCACATGGGTCTTCCCAAATGTCATCTGTTTCCAGTAGCCTTGTCCCAGCAGTAGCCAATGAAACATCAGGTGAAATGCATGCCAGCTCATCCACTGATGCTACTGTAGATAGTACACAGTGTGCCACAGTGACAGGCACTGATATTGCATCTATAGAGTCAAATTCAGCATGTGTCACTGTGCAGAAGAAAACAGACACAGAAGGGGCATCCCAAGATTCTGCTCCCTCCAAAGAGCCACCATCTTCTGGCCTTCTTTCAATGATCAGTGGATTAGGGACACAGGCCCCATCCTCACAAGCAGGGTCAATGTCAGACAGTCCAGGAAAAGGTTTGCTTTCATTATTTTCTGGTCCCAGCACTGAACCGAGTGCTAGCCAGACAGGTCCTTCTCCTCCAGGGTCTGCACCTGCATCATCAGCCCCCAAAGACCCACCAGGCAAAGGTTTGTTCTCCCTGCTTGGAGGCTCTGCCCCTCAGCCATCTTCTCAGCCTGGAAGTTCTCTGTTAGGGGCAATGTTTGGAGGCTCTTCACCCCAACAAACAGCTTCTCAGACAGGGGGGTCATTACTAGGTGGTTTATTTGGAGGGTCTGCCCCTCAGTCTACTCCTCCCGTTGGTCCCACTAAGATTGGAGGAACTGCTCCTCAGACAGGGGGACCCCAGGCAGGGACATCCTTACTTGGAGGCTTTTTTGGTGGATCTGCTCCCCAGGCTGCTGGACCTCAGACTGCTGGGTCTATTTTGGGTGGTCTTTTTGGAGGATCAGCAGCTTCAGCTACAGCACCTCAGACTAGTGGGCCATTTGGTGGATTGTTTGGTGGGCCTGGTACCCAAACTTCAGCACCCCCAAGTAGTAGCTCTGTATTGGGAGGTATTCTGGGGGGACAAGCTTCTCAAACAACTACTGCACAGACTGGTACATCTCTTCCAGGTGGCGTTTTATCTGGAGCTTCAGCTCCTAATCAGCCATCTGATAAAAGTTTGCCCTCTGTGCTTGGAGGATCTGTTCCACCCACAACACCCACTACAACAGCTACACCAAAATCAAGTGATGACACGAAAACTTCAGCTACATCTCTTACCAGCACTACTTCTGATGCAACTGCTCTACTAAAGCCCAGTGATGAAAGTAAAACTGCTCCAGCACTAGCTGGTCCTGAAACTTCTGAAACTGATACTGCTACCAAAAGCAAAGACCAGCCAGAAACACTACAAACTGACAGTACAGCTCAGTGTCTTGAGACAAGTTTACCCAAAACAGAAGGCACTGTCGCAGAAGAAGTTAAATGCCAAGATGCTGACAAGCCAACTACTGTAACTCATGATATTCAGTCTAAAGAATCTGAAACTTGTGCACAAGCAGCACAACAACCTGTAAAACCAGAGCTTGTGAGTGGTCAGTTGAGTCAAGATACAACAAAACCTAAAGTAGAAGAGGAAACACCAGCCACTCAGTCAGCAAATACTGCAGTCCAGGAACAGCAAAAGCCTCCAGAGCCAGAGAAATCTGTTGGTGACACGGCAGCAGATGCAGTTACAGGCTTTATGTCCTCCCTTTTCAAACCAACAGTTGCTCCTCCTGAAGGTCCTCAGCAACAGCAGAAGAACTCACTTTTTGGACTGGGAGGAACAACACCCCAAGCTGCTCCTGGTCAGAGTGGAGCATCACTATTAGGAGGCATTTTTGGAGGGTCTAACACCGATACAGCAGCTCCACAAACCGCTGGATCATTACTGGGAGGTTTATTCAAGGGTTCTGCTCCTCAGTCTGGTCCTCAAACCTCCGCCCCCACCACTGGAGGGTCAATATTAGGTGGGATGTTTGGAGGAGGAGCTGCTGCCAAGCCTGCAGGTCCCCAGACTGGTGGATCATTATTGGGTGGGATGTTTGGAGGATCTGCGGCAACAGCACAGCCTGGTGGTTCTTTACTTGGAGGAATGTTTGGAGGAGTTGCTGCTCAGACTGCAGGGCCCCAGACTGGAGCATCTATACTTGGGGGGATAGGTGGATCTTTATTTGGGGGTATGGGACAACCACCTAAACCATCTGAACCAATACCAGCTGAGCGCAAACCAGTGCCTTTCACTACTCCACAGGCACAGATTAAGAATGAAAGTGCGCCACCAAAAGTATCTCAATCTGGCACTGAGACTAGCACAAGTAAAACAGTGGACTCAACCCTACCAGATAAGGATCAAATAAAATCTGACAGCCTTACAAGTAGTAGTGCCGTGGCATCTGAGGCAGCTTGTCCAGAAACCCCCTCTTCTGTCACCAGTGCTTCGGTAAGCACTACATGTGATATCACCCATCAAGTAGAAAATACTGAAAAAGAGACAACAGCTGTTGAGGGAGAGATAATACATGAGAAGCCCATGGTCATTAAAGGAGACCCTGAAAGTAAAGAGAATGATAAATCAGCCCCAACTGATGCCCACCAAGTGGATACTAATATTGCTCCTCCAGTTAATCAGTTGCCCAACAATGCGGAGCCCCCTCAAGCCAAGTCTGTGCTTGGTTTTATTTCGTCACAGACTGATGCAGGAAAATCTCTTGGATCCCTATTTTCACCAACAGTGTCATCAGGTACTCCATCAATGCCTCAAACAGAAGGAGTGAGTGGTCTGTTTTCAGGATTAAAAACCCTTTCTGGAGGACTCTTTCAAGAGGAAAAACCTGCTGCTGGAAAACAAGAGCCCCCCACCACTTCATTATTTGGGACAAAAATAAGTTTTCCTTGGCAGACAGAGCCACCTAAGCCACAAGCTGCCCCAACTGTAACATCTCAACCCAAAACTAACAACATACCAACAAGTGGTCAAACACATACTGTACAAAAGGTTGCAACATCTGATGACCAAAAAAGTGAATCGGTAGGTTCCGCAGATGATATAGCAAACCCCCAGATTTGCATCTCCACTCCTGAAGTAGATCCTTCAGCATCCCTGACCCCAAAGGAGAAGGAAGGGCTTGTAGAAACACACCCCTCTGCAGGTCCTACCTCTGGAGTGCAGCTGGACAACCAGTCCAAGATGGATCTATTGAATGCAAAAAGGCTAGTAGAAGCATAATAAATGGCATTTTCCCTAACCATTTATGATGCATTGACGTTTTGGAAAAAAAAATGTATTCCCTGTTCAGCTCTGCAATCCATCCTCATTAGTTTAATTTAATATTCAGCTTAAGCATATGTGTATTTGTGTGTGTGTTTGTGCATATTCATTAATGTGGGTATTTTGTGTGTAGCATCTACATCATTATAATTTCAAATCAGAATTCCAAAACAAAATCTACATATTTATATTTTCATGGGCGAGTCACATGTGAATGTACTAATCAAAGAGAGAAAATTTCTTGTGCTGCTCTTATGATAGTGGCTCATGGTTCACTTGAACTTTAATACTCGAATGATATTCATTTGGATTTTAGTCCTCATAGTTGTGCAGTTACAAATCAAGTAATACCCTCAGCAAATGCAAATGACTTAGCAACTCTTCGTAAAGAGACATATTTACATGATCAAATACAAGCCTGACTGCCTGCAGTGTTATAATTAATGTAAATTCAGTTTTGCATGGAATTCTGATTTGATTTGTGTTTTATATTATGCAGTAAAAATTATTTTACAGTTAAGTTTGTCTCTTCACATATATCACATTTTGTAAATCCCTACCATAAACCCAGAAACTGCAGTTTGTTTCTAAAAATGATAGCAGTTGTGAAATGCCACTTTATAAAAGGTAAAACTTCACACGCACATATCAGCTCTGCATATTTTATTGTCTTCATCTATTTGCATTTCAACCCTGCATCTCCATTAGTTTACTAACCATCAGACACCATTTATATGTACCCTGTCTTGTGAACACTTGAAAGGAAAACATTGACAATAAAATATGCAGATTTTATTGTGTTTACAATTCAACACTTTTAAGCAAGGACTAACATTTGCAGGGGATTTGATACGTCACAGCACAAATTAGAGCATGCACTTATGTGTGCAATTTCTATTTGAAAATTCAGTTCTAATGTAGAAGAAGAATATGCAGTGTTTAATGCATATTTTCATTATTTTCCAACATGCAACCGCCTCCCTGCAAGGTTGGGTATCTTTGTAGGGCATGATGTGGTGCTAGTATACTATACCAATTGATCATTTAGAAAGGGTATTAATAAAAGTAGACCTTTGCTAAATAGTTAAATAACATTTGAATATAATTTGTAGTAGATGAAAGAGGTTTATGCCAAAAACTACTTGTGTTGATTGTTTTAGTATAAAAAGCATTAAGACTAATAACGAGGAAGTACTTTGTTTTATGTAACAATTCTCACTTATCTAGCTTTGGCTATAGGAACCACAAAAATAATATATATCGTAGCCTTTACCCAGTTCTGCTCTCAATAAAAGTGTTTTAACGATGAATATTTTCCTCATTCCTCTCTCACCATTGTAGTCCAGTGGAAAGTAGTCGCTTTGGGTCGTCAGGAAACCTGAGCCAGACCAGCTCCCAGCTTAGTGAGACTGGCCAGGAGAGCACTGGAGGGTCAGAGCTGGAGGAGTCCTTCCACTCCTACCACAGTACTAGCTTTCACCCCTCCACCAATGGACAGGCACGCACCAACGGACAACATTCCACCATTGGACATCATCCCACCAATGGACACTCTACTGACGCTGAGAAGGAGAGACATAGTTTGTCCCCTGACATAGGACGGGGCCTGAAAAGTGACATTCCAGCAGAGAGAGGGTCCTCTAAACTCCTAAGGTAAGGTTTTTGCTTTTTAATACTTTTGTATGTCCTATATTGAAAGTGCACGGCAACTGAGAGATTGTCTCCATCTCGTTCTGCCACTCTACTCCTAAATCCACGCAACCCAGGTTCCATGATGATGGGCCCCCATTACCCTTTACCCCATCCAGAGTTCGTTGGTTGAAGGCCATCAATAAAGTCAGGGTTCAGCTCCGGGAGGTAGGCAGTGTTCCACTTCAGTATCAACAACACCTGATCTCTCATCACCTCTGAAGTCTGACTTTCTTATCCTCTTCTTTCCAACCCTATTACACATACGCAAAGATTACACATATCCATGCACAGACATATCCAAACATTTGCAAGTCTTTGACAGTGGTTGAGTTTAACCTCTTTGGTTGTTTAAGATGATGCACTAAATTGTATTATAATGACATTAGAACTGTAATTGTTTTTTATTCTTGCAACAAAACATGTTTGGTCCTCGCCACGCTCATGGTTACACAATATTTTCTTACATCATTAGGTCCATCACTTATTGTTTCAGGGACCTATATTTTGCCTTAATACATGGTTCACTTATGGCAGTTCTCAGGTTCTACTATGACTAGCAATTACAGTTTTGGACAAATGTGTCACTGAATGTCATATTTACTTAGAGGTAGTCATCGAGTATTGTGTCTGAATGTTTGAAAAGAGTGTTTTTTTTAGGGAATGAAAGATGGACTGAAATCTGTGGTCCAGGGTTCATTGGTCTTACCCACCATCTCATCTCTTGGGTGTGACAAAAATAATGGGCTATTTGAACAACCTAATGAGAGGGAAGAACGTAGTGCAAGAGATCAGAAGACGTGGCAATCACATCGTCCGTGCTGATAATCCCTTAATTTTTTTACATTTGTGTATACTGTATAACTTTCAGACAAAGGTATTAACACCCTGAGTAATAATTGATCATTTGTACTAGGGCTGCACGGTATATGCGGTAGACGGTAGAAATGATATAAATTTGGCCCACGGTAGAGATTTGCGCTCTACCGTCCTATCGTCGATGACGTCATCACACCTGCCTCAGTGAGAAAATGGCTGCGAGCACAGAGACAGCGGAGCAAGAGGAGCTGGTTCACGTCCGTGATTTAGCGTAGCACGTGCAACATGTGTTGCTGGAGAACTTGTGAGTGAGTGAGTTAATGTCTTATGAACAGCCCCGGACTTCTCAGACTCTTTTAGCGACTTACCGCTCAGAGGGAACTCATTCAGTGTCTACTCTGGCAGCAGCACAGTGTCTCTCCCTCTCCTCTCTCGCCGTGCGCACACAGGAGTTGGTTTTCGGCAAGAGATTTTGTCATAAACCTTTGGTAATGTAAACCTATGTGATGCTAGGGGCTCCACAAAAACCTCCATATGTGAATGTGTGATAGTTGTGGTATCATAGCAACCTGTCACAGGTTACAGTGTGATGATTAGAGGAGAAATGGCAGAGCATAAAGGTCCAGGTGGAAAAAACACAACTCAGTCATTTAGGATTTTGCTAAAAGAAGGAAATTACCTTTTGATATAGATCCCAGGGGACATTTTGCACCATAGAGTACTGGGTTTTAATTTTGAGTTTTGAGATCTACATTCTGCACAATAAATGCTCTAAAAAATACATTATATCTTTGCTTTTGTTGTTGTTGTTTTTTTGTTTTTTTTTTATTAATTTAGCTTTGCTAAGGGACTACAAAACCCATTCAGAAACACTTCTATTATAACTTTTACACTTAAATTTATACTGCGATATATACTGTTACCGTGAAGGGATTCGATTTATACCGTAATATAAATTTTAGGTCATACCTCCCAGCCCTAATTTGTACTATTTGGAGCCCCTACTTTTTCTGAAGAATACACTTTCATAAAAAGTGTTGGAAATGATGTGGGATTGTTTTGATCTCTATGATATTATAATTGGCTTTTGGTGTCAGAACCAGATGCCATTAAGGCTCATATTGAACCAAACTCCAATACCACTTCTGAAGAATCTGTATTCAGTGCACGTTACCAGATGACAAATCTAATCCTGCATCTAAGTCCAATCGAAAATCTTTAGAGGGTAGGCATATGAAAACAGAATATCTCAGCCCTAACTGGGGTTCATCTCCTTGATTAAGCTTTTTATGGCACGGCAGTAAAAGAGTAGCTCATATAGAACCCCGATTGGCTCCATTATAATGATTGGTTTGCACGGACTGGTCGAGACTAGCGTGTACTGGAAATGATGGCTGATTGAAGACATGAGTATAAATGCAAAGCAAGGTGAAAGCTATCTAAGTGCCATTTATTGCAAGACGAAGGGAAACACTTAGGAGACAAGGCTAAATGCGAAAAGACTGTAATGAATTAGGATTGGTTGTTAATCTGTCTAGCAGCGTAACAGTGACCAGCATAATAAAATAATGGAAAACATCCTCACATGCTTGTTTACATTTAGAGGATACAGGGTTCCCACGTGTCCTGGAAAAACCTGGAAAACAGTTGATCAATATTCCAGTCATGGAAAATGAAAGGAAAATGAAAAGGTTTTGGAAAATCTTGTGTTGTCCTGGAAATTTATTTCAACATTCTTGTATTTTCCTTTAGCTTAGTATGTACCACTAGGCTAACTATTGTAGCTCTTCAAAATGGATAACATTGCCATATGAAAGTCACATCACATGGAGCACCTACAGGTTGGATAGCGTTACAATTTAAGTGGTGAAAACTTTGAATAATACAAGTAACATTATTCTTCAAATGTGAGTATTAATACTGGCTAGTAACTGCTAGCATTTATTAGGTTTACAGACCAACACTGCTTTCTTACAAACCTACTTTAAATGGCTAAATTATTTTAAATTTGTTTGTATGTTTGGATCAGTTGCAAAAGTTGACGTACTTGCCAGCTTATTTTGCCTGCAGGTTTTTGATTCAACTCTAGCGAGGAGAAATTTCAAATGATTGTAGGGCATTGTTGAAAGAGTTGGATGATACTGAATGGGCAGCTACAGTCTAATATTTGTCGTAATTTCTAAGCATGCAAAACATGATTTCATGGCACTATCTCAGTCTGTCATACCAGGTTGATCATCACTGAAAATATCCTGGAAAAGCCCTGGAAAATGTTCTCTAGAAAAAAACGTGCAACCCTGGAATAGCATGAGATGAGATGTGTGGCGTGTTTACAGTTTCCTCGAAAGTGTCTGACACAGCGGCACACAGGGGCAAATGTAGAGCAGGAACTGGAGCTGGCTGCCAGGTCAGTTTCAACACCCATATTTGATACGACTGAGCTGCGATCTTTGAATAGAAATTCCTTCCTATTTACAATTTTTTCATTAACAAAGTGAAAGTCAGCAAGGAAATCACCGGTTCAGGGGAAACTAGTGGTACTGATATGTCTGATAGGGGTGTTTTCACAGTTTTATGAATAGAACAAGCAAAATCATGAATATCAGCAACTGGCAGATGCGGAAACACAGAAAAAAGAATGAATGAGAGTGAGAGCTGGCAGTCTCACAGCCTCAGATTAGCTTTGTGTTGGAGTACATTGCCAGAGGACAGAAGGAGAGAGAGCAGAGAAGGCATGCAAGAGGGTGGGAGGGGAGATGGGATGGCTACTTAACTGAGCATGAGCTGCTGTGTGATCATGGTTTACTACAAGCACGAGCTTGGCGTTCCAGCAGTAGAAAGTAGGGATTCAGCACTTCTGCATCTCTGTCCGTTAAAGAAATATGCTGGTTTAATTGAGGCAGAGCAAGACATTTGATAATAGATACATTTTGAAGAGAAACAGGGAAGTTACCGTGACTGTGGATTTAATGGATCTTGCAAGATGATATCTACAGGTTGTTCTTGATTATAATTTCCCCATAAGGTAAGGCTTACATTTTAATACACAGTATATGTTGTCCTTTTATGCACTTAGTCTTAAGTTTGTGTGGACTTTGATTAAATAATACATGTTATAATGTACATAACTCATATTTGGCCAATGAAAAGGTCTTACTGTATGTGCCCAGTACTTCAAGAGAGACAACGGAATTTCAGCTTGTTTCATTTGTCAGACGATCAAAATTGTCATAGTAAATGTCATTATTTAATAAGAAGTTAAAAAACTTCACAAGAAAGATGTCTTTTTTTATTCAGGCCACAGACCATTTAGTAAGGAGAGAAAAGAGACTGCTGCAGGCTATCACTATGACTGTCTTGGAAAGTAGTCCTGACCCCAACAACCCTTCAACCTTTATTTACCCTAGACTGCTAACTAAGAAATCACTGACTATTGAAGTGCACCCATAGCAGCTCATGGGTGTTTGTTAGAAGTGAAGCCAGATGATTGTTTTTAATTATTTGGTAGGAAATGTGTTTAAGCCAGTTATTCCTGTTCATATTTATTAATCAGAAATGGCATGATACTTTAAAGGGAAGCAATAATGCTCTCAGTACATTCAGAAAGCCTAATTCCATTTAGCCGATATGCTCATCAGCTTCATTTCAAATTCAATAGCAATAGGAAACATTCTATTCTGACAGGATGGCTAATAATTTTCTGCCTACCAAACTCTTATCAGGCTAACACACACCTTCAGTGCTCAAGTGCTTATTGGGGACCTCCAGTGCAGGGGTGTGTTAATGTAGTTGGGAACTATCCATTCTCTGGTATCATTTTACTTATTCTAATAAGGAATTCACCTAGCAAAATGAAAGCTAAGGAACATCATAGTAATGTAATCATATTATGTTACCTTATAAAAATAAATGTGCAAAATAATTGTGGTCAGTTTGGTAATTCATCTGTTGTTAGTGCACCCATAGTGCATTGTGTGTGTGCTTTGTTTAAGGCTGTAATTAAAGTCTTTATGTCATACAATTTGTTGGAGATCTTGCACAGGCTGCACATGCTGAAATAAAGCATCCAAAGAAAAGTTAAAGTTTCCATAACAAATTCTAAAAGTGCTTTATATTTACTAGCCCTAACAAATCCTACCTGTTTAAAGCACATATCTCTGTCTGATCTTTAGGGACAGTCAGCAAGAATTGACCATGGCACCATTACAGGATTTTCTGAATTCATGATTTAATTATCTAAACGGTGATGCTCAGTGTACAAAGATGATATCACTGAGCTATGTCTACTATATATTATGACTAAATGGAAGGACCACATCAGACATTTTTGTATAATTTCTCAATTTGTACCCTTTCTTTTTTGTGTACAAGACATTCCATATGCAGAAATGACTTTTGATTTGGATTACATAGAGTTCTGGATGTTTTGTAATGCCATCAGATAGATTTATGTTGCATTTTGGCAGAATTCAATAGTCCCTTTAGTGTACACACTGTCCATGATCTGTCAGAGCCACAGTCTCAAGCCATGCAGCTGGTATGGGTGTGAAAGAATGACATGGCCTTAGAGGAGAGAATTGACCTGTCATCTAATTACCGAGCTGCCTTTCTAAAGCATCCTAATTACAGAGATGTAAGCAGCTGCATGGTGCTCGTTCTGCAACTCTGACTGAGAGGAGGTCAGTTATAGACACTCTCAATCCTACTTCTGTACTGTGCTTAGTAGTATATACTCTCAATGTGACCTCATATAAGCAAATACATTTAAAGCCATAATATGGCCATAAATTGTTGACTGTTGAAATGTAAGTATGCGGTAATCAGTGTCAAAAGAAGTACTTATTGTTTTTCTCTCATAACTGTCTGGTCTGTTGGTTCAGTTGTCAGTCCAATTCTATCACTGTAATTGAAATAAGAAATATGAATTTGATAACTGAGAAAATCCATTAGCAGTAGCATATAAACAATTTTCTTGATTTGGTGGTTTAATGATTAGGTTTGGGTGCTATTCTATAGCAAATACAAAGCAAAAACCTGGCATAGCAGAACTACCAACCAAATGAGCAACACATGAGAACAATACACTTCTATGTCAACAGAATAACTTATTATCTTTTTGTCAGTCATGGAACAGGCATTCAGGCATTTGAAGTTTAAGATGTTGGCTTACGATTACGCCAGCCTGAAGAGTCACTGAGGCAGTGATTTGTCCATGTATGGGAACAGCTGATCAAGAGTGCCTCTTCTCAGGGATGTTCCCCAGAGGACACCTTAGTGGACAGGATGGACCCTACGAATCAGAGCAACTTCCACTCTCGCCCAAGAGGCGAGGCCTGCAGGAGAGGAGATCAGAGAGCCCCAAAGTGGGGCGGAGCCTGCGCAGAAAGCTGCAGAAGTGCCTTCAGGGGCCAGAGGATGACTCCCTCCATGACCTGTCATCAGTGGACACTACCTGCACCAAAGCTGACCTCACCCCGCCTGGGGAAAACAGCAGTTCTGATTGCCAGGATGGCGTTGGAGTTGTCGAAGATACTGATGCCAGGCTTACTGAAAGGATCAACAGTGAAGAAGAGAAAAACAAGACGGAGGATGAGGAGGCGGAGCAAGGCTCTAGTAACATAGTAGAACATATCCTGAAAGAGCTGAAAGGCATCAACAAGATCCAGGAGGAAATTTCTGACCTGAGGCAGTATCTAACATCTGTGCGAGGCTCGGTGGATGAAGTATCCTATTGTGTTGACGCAGTTCTCAGTGAAATAGGAGAGCTGTACTCTGGAGCTTCAGCTGCACCTCATCCTAGTCCTGATTCTCAAAAATCCCGCATCAGACGAGGAAGCCTGGGTAGACAGAACGCCATCATATCTCAAGGAAGTCCACTGTTTGATCGCAAAGATGGTGTAAATGATGCAGGATGTATCCCATCTCAGATGTCACCCAAACAATGGCTTGTCGATAGAGTCACTCTGCCATCAGACCAGCAAACAGAAGAAGAGAACTCAAAGCAGAGTTCAAATATGCACATGCTAGGCCCTGCAAAACCTGACCCCTGCTATCTGGAGCTTCATCATGGCCGAGACTACCAAAGCACCAGCTCTCTGTCATCGTGTCACAGTTCCAACTATCCGGAAGCAAGCCTCTTTTCTGGTGACACAGAATATGACAGGTGGCCTTCTGTTGAAATGCAGCACAGTATAAGTGGAGGAGGTTGGAGTGAGGACGACATCTGCTCCTGTACAAACAGTGGAGAAGAGCTTGAGAATTGTCTAGGTGTTTGGGACAGGTGCACCACAGAGGAAACGCAAAGCAGCACACCGGGTCATTCTTCAAACAACAGTTCTGAGCATCTCTCATTGCTGTTTGGACACCATTACAACTCTCCTTCAAGTTCTTCCAGCGTGGTTGACTGGAGGCCTGCCAGGCTACAAACTGAGGAAGAAAACTTGGAGTGTGACTGTTCTGCAAACTGCCCATACTCACGTAGTTCCGGTTACCACACCATGGATGCTTGTGCAAATGAACAGGGTAGTGAGCCCTCCAGGAGTCTTAGTTGCTCCACTGTGTTGTTGACGGACTGTGATGATGGTTATCTGGAGCCACATTCACTGTGCGACGACTGTCCATCTTCTGGTGACACTCTTGATCTGGGGTCTGCCGACAGTTTGGACAGAGAGTGGACAGATCACAGTATTTCCAGGGATGAAGCAGAAGAATCTTTGTCACAAGAGTCTTCTGAAATAGATCCTGGGAGCGCAGCCAAGACTCCCAATGCAGGTTTTGATTTAACAACCTTTAGCAAGGCTGTACTCACTTTCAGGTCGGCTTTGACGGGGGCTTTAAAAAAGTTGGATGGATCCAATTCTGAATGTGTCAATAATGATAGTGGGCCTGAGGCATCTCCATCCCCTGTCAGACCAGCCAGTGAAGCCAAGGAAGAGCAGAGCAGCACAGAGCATACAGAGGGAGACTTTAGTCTGACTGAAAATCACACTCAATTTGGCACCCCAAAGGAGGAGAGTGAGGCTTCGGTTTACGTAGACTGTGGTGAGACACATGAGAACATCCCATGCTCCCTTCAAGCATCCCCCCATGATGCAAGCCACTCTCCTTGCACGCCAACTGAATATCACTCCATAGAGACTTCACTTCAGGGAAAAGGAGAATGTCCAACAGACGGGGAACTGTCCAACCTCGAGTTAACACCAGACCATTGTCCAGCAAGGCAGGGCGAGAGTCCACTGTGTCCAGTATTCAGTACAGATGAGATGCGGTTAAGTCCAATTAGGGAAGGCCACATTCTCGATGAGGCAGATCAAGTAAAGCCTACCGATGCCAGTCACAAAGAGCGTATAGCTAATTTCCAGCGGATTCTGAAGGAAAAGAGGCAAAGCCGGCAAAGACTGTCCAAATCTGCCCAGGGTTCCCAGGGGTCCCATGGGTCCTACAGTTCTCAAGGATCTCAGGGATCCCAATCTCAAGACGAGTTTATACCAGGTATATTTAAGGATATTTTCTCTGACTTCAAGTGATGACAAGCCCAGTAATATCAGCAAAAAAAAAACATCTTACAGTGTGTAATAATGTGATTTAATGATATAATTTATAAACACTTGTTGATTTGAGAGTCATTAATTTATTGGTTATGTCTTTTAAACCACCTTCTTGCAAATATGGTCAAAATAGATATGTCAACTCCAGTTACTTTACACAATTTTTAATCCTATTGTGTTTTTTCTGTCTCTGCAGAGTGTGGGAGAGAAGATAATCAGGTTACTCATACAACATTAGCTCCATATTTAGCATTTTTGTTTTGTTGATTTTGATTGTTGTGGCATAATTTTGTTTGTTTCTCCATTACTTGTCATTGCCAAAGGGAATGTGCTCCCCGAAACACAATGCGCTATGCAAATGATACAGGTTATCATAGGGCTGATATGTAACATTTATTGGAAATTTCATCCCGTATTCCGGAAAAGACATTTGTCCCATCACTTCAGTTATTCTGTATAATAAATAGTTTATCATTGGTTTCATTCATGTTGTAGCTTTAGAGTATGATTCCCAAATTCTGTTTGTAGCGCTTGTGGTAGTGCTGCTGCTTTATGTTTTCCCTCAAAGTTTTTCAAACGCTATCAGAGACTTTTATTGAGAGAGTGAACCCCAAAAGGATCTCAACTTTTAACTTCTGTCATTTGAGAAACAAGTCTACAAATGAAAGGCTTTACCTTTGAGGAAAAAGTAGAAGACTTTGCACGTGTATCCCCCCCAGTCATAATTTTGGTTGGTTTGTGAAATCCCTGCAAATGTTTTATCTACTTCCCTTGGATTTTCTGGGGTGTCTCTTAAAGCAGTCTGTGGGCAAACAGACTTTTCGTGCGTCTCGACCTGTGAAATAGAACTTACTACGTAATGTTGGTCCACCATTTCATTCCACATAACATCGCTTTCAATTAAAAAGTTCAGCAACAGTTATTTGATCGTGTGTTTTAAAAGCATCATCACTTATTTTTTTTATTTGACTTTGCATGGTCTGTAACATCAGAGAGGTGAAACTCAACCAGTTCAAACTCTCCATTACCTCCCTTTCCTCATGATAAACACCAATGTGTGAGCCTTTGTAAGTCTGCCTAAATTCTCACTTTTGAAATCTTGTAGGTTCGAGATGAAGAGCCCAGTGCACGACAAGCCTGGGTCAAACCAGGGTAAGTCATGAATTGTTAACACCTACGTTTGGGTTGCTAGACACAATTTTAAGTATCGATTTTGAACTTCTTAATTAATAATAAGTGGCAATAAATGAGCATTTTATCACTAATATGCAGAGGTATGGACTCAAGTCACATGACTTGGACTTTCGTCACAAATTTGATGACTTTAGATTCGACAAAACGAAAAGACTTGGACTTAAACACCAAGGACTCATGATTTCACTTGTACTTTAGCCTTTTGACTTGAAAATACTCTATACTTTCCCCCAAGCAATTTGGGAAAAGAAAGTTATAAACATATTTTTAAAATGAGATTCAATTCAATTCAGTAGAACTTTATTTATCCCAAAGGAAATTCTTGAGCCAGAGAAAGCTTCATATTACAGTAACACTAAGTACAGTAACCACAATTTTAACGATCACAACCAGTATCAACCAGACAACCAGTGGGTTCCCTGGATCAGGGTCACTCAATGGCCCCAGTTTTAGAACAATAGAGTATTAAATAGCTGGCAAAATTTACATACATACAAGATAGATGTGTTTTCAAAGAGCAAAAGCAAAGAACAGTGCCTAATAGAGTAACAGTATAAGTAGGATAAGTACAAGAGTTACTAAAAATGAACTGAAATGGTGGAAAAAACTAAAATACAAAAGTTAAATACAAGACAGGACAGAAACATACAAAATTATTTCTGTTGTGGCACTGGTTAATAGTGCTACATGCTATGAAATTGCAATGTCAGCATTGCCTTTTATGATGAAGTTCAGTCACACTTGGTTTAACAAACTTGTTTTAAGAAATACAGATTTTAAAAAGCATTCATGGTTTTTATTAATGAAATGTATTATTCCTCTGTTGTTAAAATGCCATGACACTTGGTAAAGACCATATAATGACTTGTTAAGGACTCGAGACTCAAAGTGTACAAAGTCTCAAGTGCAAAGACTTGAGACTTCCTTGTAACTTGCAAAACAATGACCTGCTCCCACCTCTTCTAGTGTGACTATAGTTACTGGACCATTGTGATTACAGTGTAAAATATCCTGCTATCCAGTGCTGTTTTTGTATATGACGATTTTTTATTAAAATTTATGCTATTTTTTCTTGATGTATAGTGGTGGATCTGGTCTGTATGGAATTGACAGCATGCCAGACCTGCGTAAAAAGAAACCCATCCCTTTGGTCAGCGATGTGGTCAGTACTAACTCGTCATTCCTTCACCATATATACTGTGTGTCACAAGTCATCCTGTTTGTTTTGTTCTTTCTTTGTGAGTGCACGTCTTTCTGTTTGTGAGACCAGCACAGAGGTCACAGTTCTTTTACCTTTGAGCTGAATTTGGGATGAGACTGTTATCAACAAATGGAGACGATATGAAAATATGCAATCCGCCTGCTAATTTCTCTCTCCCTCCTCTCTTAAACCTGAAACTATTCCCCACAACTCTCTTGAATGCATTCACTCTCCTTGGTCAGGCTATGGTAAGTTAATAGAACCCAGTTGCCACTCCCTTTCCTGCTAGAGTACAGAATATCAAGTAGGACCAATTAAGCAGCATTTGATGGCTCAAATATGTACTTCTACAGCATGTTGATCTCTTTGATCGCAAACTCCTTGTTTAATACAAATTAAAACATTGCATGCATACTTTTGATCATGGCTAGTTCAACCTCCTACTTGATATTATCTTTAAAATATATAATTAACAAATCATTCCCCCACCCCTTTGGTTTGCATTTCCCTTCACAACCCTAACCCAGCCACAAATAATACAAAGGCAAATGTAGAATACACTACTAACACTTCCACGAAAATCTGTGGCTAATGGTTTTAGAATTGTTTTATAGTGCTGATACTGGTAATACTTGTTATTTTTGGTCATCCTTTTCATGAGTTGCTTAAAACTAATAATACTCACATGGGTTTTCTGATCATTTGGTAAGAATTCATTAGTGAGAAAAACAATAACCCTACTCACCACCTTTACACCCACCCCGGCCACCTGTTCAGCCATACTGACTTTCATTTTTGTAGTAATACCTTGAGGTGTGCTTGGTTGTGGGATTTTTATACATTTGATAAATACTAACTTAGCTAAAATCTCCTTTTTCACCTGTTGTTCAGTCTCTCGTCCAAGCCAGGAAGGCGGGGATCGCATCTGCCATGGCTGCTCGGTCCTCAATCAAGGATGAGGAGCTGGTGAGTATAACATCATAAACTTTCTTGGCCATCATCTTAGCCGAGGCTACCATTCAAGGTGCTAATCATTCAAACACTCCCACACTAATGGCACAGCCAACTCTCGGATCCTAGGGTCCAGGTAGACCTGTGAAGACCTCTAGCTTGTAGTGGCGTAGGTGTTATATATTACCTAGTGCTCTTGTGTTTTTTTTTATCTGCCATCTCTTTCCCTACCCTGGAAATCCAGAGTTCTCGCTAGAGCACAGTTTGAATTTGCTTAGCGAGTCACTCATTTTCATTGCTCATTACCCATGCCCTTGTAGCCGAGCTGCACCAATCACATCAATGTATCTGATACAGGCAGGCCAGAGGCGAGCTAAACAGATGACAGCGCTGTGACGACAAAGTCCGGAATCAGTCAGTAAACATTGCAAGATGGCTACGGATGAACACCAGTTGTTTGAAACGGCTTTGGCCGCTACAATGAACGAGTTAGACTTGGCTTTTTCTCTAAAAGAGGAACAGAAGACGGCGCTCGAATCTTTCCTTTGCAAGGACGTTTTTGCTGTTTTGCCGACTGGATACAGCAAGAGTCTAATTTACCAGTTAGCTCCGCTGGTAGCTAAGCTCTGGATACGTCACCCTGTGTATTGTTCTGATTGGTCGTAGTGTTATCCAATTGCACACAGTGATATTTTCAAATACATGCTTGGTGCCGCCCCTCGAGTTGGGCCATTTGCATTACTCATAGCCAAAAAACATAATGTCTCCTTTTGTAGAAAAACCATGTGTACAAGAAGACCCTGCAGGCTCTCATCTACCCCATATCCTGCACTACACCACATAACTTCGAGGTGTGGACTGCCACTACGCCAACATACTGCTATGAGTGCGAGGGGCTACTGTGGGGAATAGCCCGCCAAGGCATGCGTTGCTCTGAGTGTGGAGTCAAGTGCCATGAGAAGTGCCAAGAGCTGCTGAATGCTGACTGTCTACAACGTAAGTACTGCCCAGAAAACCTTGAAACAACACAGTATTTTTTTAAACAGATTTTAATCTGTATATGTTTCTGTTCAACGTATAGGTGCTGCGGAGAAGAGCTCTAAGCATGGAGCTGAAGACCGGACTCAGAATATCATCATGGCCATGAAGGACAGGATGAAGATCAGGGAAAGGAACAAACCAGAAATCTTTGAACTCATCAGGGAGGTGTTTATCATCAGTAAGGCCATCCATGCACAGCAGATGAAGACCATCAAGCAGAGCGTTCTGGACGGCACCTCAAAGTGGTCAGCCAAGATCACCATCACAGGTGAGCCCACTGACAAACAACTGTCAGAAAATTCATGAAGACAGTCACACAATTCTTACTAATGCCAATGGATGTTTCTAATGTCTTTGTTTCTCCATCATCGCAACAGTTGTTTGTGCCCAAGGACTTCAGGCAAAGGACAAGACAGGATCCAGTGATCCATATGTCACTGTTCAGGTGGGCAAGACCAAGAAGAGAACCAAAACCATCTATGGCAACCTCAATCCTGTCTGGGAGGAGAAGTTCCACTTGTAAGTATCAAAAATTCTTGGTTATAAAATGTTTATAAATGTCATTCTTTCTAGTTTTTCATGTGCCTATAGCAGAGCTTATACTAGCCTCAAGGATTCATCAGTCAAAGTCTAAAGTCTACATATCTCCGTCAAGCTTTTTCTTCATAAACACTTTGTATGGAATTCTGTCCTGTTAAATCAGTTTCGATGTTGTTTTTTCCCCGTTTGCTAGTGAATGCCACAATTCCTCAGACCGAATTAAAGTGCGTGTGTGGGACGAGGACGATGACATCAAGTCGAGGGTGAAGCAGCGTCTGAAGAGGGAATCGGATGATTTCCTGGGCCAGAGTATAATTGAAGTTCGAACGCTGAGTGGAGAAATGGACGTCTGGTACAACCTGGGTCAGTATGCTGTCTTGTTTATGGCCATACAGTGAGATGTTTATTGTTTGTACACCAGGAGAAGCATGAAATGTGTTTTGTCTGTTTATTTTTAGATTCCAAGCACCGAATAGAACTAGATGATCACTCACAAACCTTATGTGTGCACATATAGAGGGTGCAGGTTGTCAGCCCATTTTCTACACCATCCGGAAAAAATTTAAGTAATAGCAGCGGTGATTTCTCTTTGTGGTGTACTGGTTAGAGACACAACTTTTGGATCCTCGTGGAAATATTACAGCACAAGGATATCTTATCCCGGACCAATGGATAATAGGATACTACAAATTTACCATATCTGTTTTGCTTAGTTCTGCCTCAGGCTTTTCGTCCCCTTTCCCTCTTTCATTGTACATAGCTTTCTCTGAATGAAGGATTCACCTAATTATGATGCAGCTTGCCACAGCCATGTGTTTCTGTAGGGCTTTTCACCCTGCATATTTCATATTTTAACCCCTTTTCATGCACACATAGTTAACCAAGGGTTAACCCAAGCCAGGGGCTGTTCACACTGCACTTCCACTCGCACTGGGTTCGATGTCCGTAGGAACATGACTGATGTTTACATTCTAGAATGATGCGTGACTACTCTTTGAGACCAAGCAGCGACGTTAAAAAGGTGCCATTAGCAAGGTTTTATGTGAGATTGATGCTGAAACATCGAAAAGATGGAGAATGATGGAAAAAGGAAAGACTGAAAAGAAGACAGGTGTTGACGGCATCTTCCATCTGGTTTGTGTTGAACTGATTTCCAACCACAAACGTTGGAACAAACTTCTTAAGTCTCTAAGGGGGTTGCTGAGTGGAAAAAAAAAAAAAAAAGTCCAAAAAAGTTAATAACTTACAAATTATGGCGAAAAGGTAGTTTCTTGCAACCCTAGATTAAAATAAAAATATTCACAAACGAAAAAACACTTCTGGTTGTTGGTGTTTAACTTTTGATTTAATACTAAAAATTAAAATCCTCAGCGGGCACTGCAGTGCAAGCAGACAGATGCGCGACTCAGAGCAATATGTGTCATTGACACCAGACTCAGAGCGCAGCTGGCTGGTGGAAAATGTCCCCATCAGCATATTATTTTACATCAATAAAATCTATTTTATCATTATTTTGAGTCACATCGTTGAAAGAATTTAGTTGTCTGTGTTCAAGCAGGATAATAGGTCTCCATTCTTTGCACGTCGGGCTTTCTATTTCCTTGTCTTAGATGGTGTTGCGTTCAAGGTCCCCCAAAAAAACGGGAGGAAAAAAAAAGGCTGAATATTCAATTTTTTTTTTTTCCACAATCGAATCCCGTGCCATCAAATGAAGATTTGAAGCTTCAAATTTTTTGGCTCAGCCCTAGTAGCTATGGTGATGTCATCCATTGGGTTGTGTACTCCAACTTTGTAGCCTCAAGTTTGTTTTTTTGACTGTCGGCATCTTGTTTTTTTTTTAGACCTAGAAGTGACCATATTTGGGCAAGATGCTGGCGCTGTGGAGGAGCAAGGGGTGGATCTGACTGAGAAGCCGAGGACACTGTCGGCAGACAGCTTGTCACTCAAAGAGGCCCACTCTTAATTAGGCGTAACTTTAAGCCTTAATAAAATGTAAACTGGTGACTAATATAAAACTTCACCCCCCGTACAGTTGTCATGCAAGGGGATGTTAGCTACAGAGACCAAAACTTTTTTTGTAGCAGGCTGTAAACATGTTTATTTCTGCTGTAAAGTTGGGCATTTTAACGTGGGTGTCTATAGAGGTTGACTTGCTTCTGGAGGCAGCCTCAAGTGGCCATTAAAAGAACTGCAGTTTTTGGCACTTGGGTGTTGGCTTCAGTTTTCAGCCCTGGAGGTTGCTGCTTGGGATAACGCCACAAACCCGAGCTTAACCCAGCTCCAGAGCAGGACCAGCAAGCCCTAGACTAAAGTCAGGGTTAGCCCACTTTGGAGTTTGCCAGTGTGAGAGCTTTCTCCTTTAGCCTGGAGCTAAGTGCAGTGTGGAAAGGGCTTGTTTGGTGCTCAGACCTCTCTTTGCAGAAAGTCTTGTCAACCTCATTAACCACATCTCTTTTGCCTGCAGCTACTGAAAAAAATGTTTTACACAGGCATGGAGTGGCCCTGAGGCCCATATGTGCCTGCATTAAAATACTGACTTTACCAGGCAAACTTATCCCCTGAAGTCCCTTTGTGCATGCTGACAAAAAAACTTGAATTATTATATTTCCTATTACTAATCCTCTGGGTTTAAGCATATTTTATTAGGATGAGGCCTGAATACATTCAAAAATTATCAGTCCCTCTTGCTATGCTGTATGAGCACTGGTTGTACAACACAAAAACGTAAAGGCTAAAGTACTTTTTTATCCAGCAGACAAACCACATTATGTTTAGGGTTATATTTCTAAATTACGATCTCTTTATCTCTGTCTGTTTCCCTAAATATGTCTCCTGTGTTGTCAAAAGCTTTTATCCAAACATTAACTCACTCCCAGAAGTGAACTGATGGATTAATTCACCCCAGACATTATGTCATATTGCTTGGATTTCTATCTTTTAAAAGCACTACTCATTTTCATATCCGTGTCATACAGTATGTTAGATTGAGGCGTTCACATCTGAAGCACAAAGCATCTCGTTTCTACTTGATTAAAGTGCAGAAAATGACTTCACTGTGGCATTAATAAATCATCCAATGGAACAGCATGGCACTGAATATGAATGTGCCTATAAATCTGCTGTTGTTTTTTGTAACTGAGAGACATAAAGAGCTTGATTTTATCTCCATCAATAAAATGTTGCATTGGTTCGGAGTTTGTAGGCAAAATTAATAATCAGTCATGAAATATGCCCCATCTATTTCAAACATTTTCTCATCCCTATCTCCATCTTCCCCCTCTTCTCTGTACTCTCTCCCTTTCTCCTCCTGAAGTGTGATTATCAAGAAGCAGCACTCCAGTCGGAAATCGACTGATCCGCCGACATGTACAAATTACCCCTAATGATGTGCCTGTCAGGGCAAATAGCAGGGGTGAGCCGCCAAGCATTCCACCTCCAGAAAGGCTCTGGCTAAAGTGTCTTTAGTGATCAAACGCAGATCCATACAGCCCACTGCCATTGTCTCCCTCTCTATCAGCCAGAGGACTTCTATTAGCGTTGCCGGCTCTGCACTGCTATCAAACTGTAGAAACAGAGCCCCCTACAATAGAACTGCCACGTTAATAGTCTGTAATTAGTGTTGTGTTAACAGACCTGGTTCCATGTGCCTCTGTGTCACAGATTTGTATTGGAGTTATGAATTGAGAACGTATTTACATGTGTGTCTTTGTATGGGAGTATCTGCATGACTGTATTTGTGTTTGATTACAGAGAAGAGGACGGACAAGTCAGCCGTGTCAGGTGCCATTCGCCTTCAAATCAACGTGGAGATCAAAGGAGAGGAGAAAGTGGCGCCGTATCACGTGCAGTACACCTGTTTGCATGAGGTATTTGAGTCTGCAGAAGCTATGGGTTATGCTCTTAATAATCTGGACAAGGGCTGCTCCATTATGGCAATAATCATAGTCACGATTGTTTTGCTCAAAATGTAGGTCATGGTTATTTCACACAAATACTCAATGACTTTGGAAACATGAGGCATTTATTGAACATAAAAAAACTTTGATAACTTACGCTTAAAGCACCAAATACAGCCATATTGTCAAATAAGTAAAAGTGAAAGACAAAATGAAATGCAGCTTGCACTCGTTTATTCAGAACAGGCACAACTGACTAAGGGTGCTTTCATACCTTCCCTGTTTGATTCAGTTCAATCTAACTCAAGTACATTTGCCCCCTAAGTGCGGTTCGTTTGGGCAGGTGTGAACACAGCAGTCACACTCAGGTGTGCACCAAAACAACTGGACCGAGACCTTCTTGAAGAGGTGGTATTGGTCTGGTTCCAAACGAACTCTGGTGCAGTTCGTTTGTGGTGAGAACGTGTTCGGACCTGGATCTGAACCAACTGCAGTCACATGACACATTGTTTGGGTTAAACATGAGCATGTTACAGTCCTGGAGGATTATTAATGTGCACCTCCTCCTGTACTGCATCAAAAACATTGTTTTCTAGTTGGAGCCGCGCCTCATTTTCAAACTGTATGGTTTGACTGAAATGAACAATGACAGCAATATAGTCCACGATGAGCAGCGCTAAAATCAACCTGCGTAGTTGTCCCTCCATTGTGACATTAGAAAGTGTCACATTTATCTTGCAAGTGTACTCTTCTTCAACGTTTGCTTTACTTCCTGGGTTTTTCCCGCATGGAAATTCTGACCATTCAAGAGCAGCTTTCTCACACAAGGCATTTGATCTGGTCCGCTTGTAAATGCTGCCGTGAGAACACGAACCAACTCTAGGCAATTATACAACTTTGTAACAAAATTGGTCCCTGATTTGGACCAAAGCAAGACATCTCTAGGTCTGAAAGCACCCTCGCGACACAATAATTATTTTATTGCGATTAACTTGTTTTTATAATTGTTAGAAACCAATATCAGAATTGAAAATGGAACTAATCACCCAGCCCTAACCTGAACACATAGGATGTTACATAACCATTAGGTTTTCAGGACAGGATATCTAAAAAAGTGCTGATGTTCTAAATCTACTCCTGTCTTAAGTACTTGGAAGATGTTTACTTTCAACTGGTTTCAGATTCTGAAATCTTTTTGTTGTGTATACATTAACGAGAGACCGATACATCGGCCGGTCGATATATCGGGCCGATATTTGAGTTTTTTACTTGTATCGGCATCGGCCGATACGCGCATGCGGATTTATCGCGGATTTATTTTTCCCTGGCACTTTTTTTCATTTGAAAGTATGTGGTTAAGTTGAACAAAGCTGTTGAATCCTACTGTGTACAGTAGTTGTTGTTTAATTTATGCTTCAGCTTAAATATTTGTTTATTTTATAAAGACATTACTGGAAGATTTAAGAGCACTGAACTCTTTTTTTTTATTTGAATGTATAATAATAATAATATTCTACCTGTTCTACCTCAACTTTCCATCTTGTTTTAGTATTTTTTACTGTTCAATAAATGTTTCTTATTTTAAACTTGAGACCTGTAATATTTGTTATCATTGTGTCATTTTTTTTATGTAAACTGAGGGAGCAAAAGCAGTATCGGGCCCAAATATTGGCTCAAGAAAATCGGCAATCCATAATCGGTCATCGGCTAAGGGTGATGGAAAAAAATCGGTATCGGCATCGGCCCTAAAAAATCCATATTGGTCTATCCCTAGTATACATGAGTTTTAATTTGGCCAGTACTTAGTATTGCGCTTTAAATGTCTTGGGACAATCAATTCAAATGACATCAACCCAATTATTCTGTCCATTACAGAACCTGTTCCACCACTCCACTGATATGCTCGGCCAGGGTGTGGTGAAAATCCCAGAGGCTCGTGGAGACGATGCCTGGAAAGTCTACTATGATGATGTGGCACAAGAAATAGTGGACGAGTTCGCCATGCGCTATGGGATCGAGTCAATCTACCAGGCCATGACGTGAGTCTGACCCTGCATCCCAGATTCTTTTTGCCCTTACAAAGTAGATACTGTTGAATGGAGCGTGCATACGATTGGGAGATACTACTTCGCCATAACATTGGTCCTTGAACTTTGACCCTTTTGCTAATATATCTTTTGGATATCACAGAGGGACATACAAACTTTCTCCCTACTCTCTCTCTACCTGTCCTTGTGTTTGTTTCCTCTTCATCTCCATCTCCTCTAGTTCCCTTTTTGCCTTTTGCTCTCATATCAAAGTGCCTCTCGGTGTCGTTGTCATTCTCTGTTGGCCTTCAAATGAAAGAAAATCAATTATAAATGGGCCGAGGATGGATTTGCCTCCATGAAATGTCATGCTCCATACAGATGCCTGTTAGCTGGGCCCATCACTCACAGAAAGCACACTCCAATGGGGCCATCCTTCAGCCTAAACATGCCAGCTAGCTCATGGGCAGATGAAATGGCTATTCCTAATAGGGATCATTAGGTGAGGAAAAAAAAGACCCCAGAGAGGACACATGGCTGACCAAATAAAGGCACAGCTCTTCACGAAGTACGCCTTGACAAAACCTTTTCTCAAGCTTACTCTGTGCTCGTCTTTCCAGGCACTTTGCCTGTCTATCGTCTAAGTACATGTGTCCCGGGGTCCCCGCAGTGATGAGTACCCTGCTGGCCAATATCAATGCCTTCTACGCCCACACAACCGCCTCCACCAATGTGTCCGCCTCCGACCGCTTTGCTGCTTCCAATTTTGGGGTATGTATTCTTGTACCACACAAACACGCACACCAGATTTGTCTCTCTTGCTTTCTTTGCTAGTAATACATAAACTCATGTAGCCTCTGTCTTTTTTTTTTTTTTTGCATTTTTGTGTACAAATACTCATATTGCTCATCATTTCCTTTCTCTTTTATTCACCATACAGAAAGAACGCTTTGTCAAGCTTTTAGACCAGCTACACAACTCACTGCGAATCGACCTCTCCACCTACAGGGTAAGATTTTGATTGTACTAGTAAATATCGCTGCCATCATGACTGATATTGTTCTGAGTATTTTAAGTGTTTCCTTGAGATTGAAAGCATGTTTTTTTTGCTTTAGCTGTGTTGATGATTTATTTATTTAATATTTATTTAGCCAGGAAAACCTCTCGAGATTAAGATGAGATTTTCAACAGTGTCCTGGCCAAGACAGGCAGCAACATAAGTTACAGACCGAGAACATAGAACAAAAATACAAAATTCAAATGTAAAGCTCTATAACAAGGAATATAAAACACAAAAAAGGATGAAAGTAGGTTATTGTGTACTAGAGGTCAACCATAAAAACGCAAAAAGGGGCAGCTACACGATCACAAAGACCACCTAAGATACACTGTGACACTGGCATATAGACGATTGTGTACAAATATTCTTCAACAGTGCTTTGAAACTGCCGAGAGGAACCACTGAGTGCAACTTTAAGTCCTTCTGCAGAAGATTCCACATATAAGGAGCTGCATACATAAATGCTCGCTTACCAAACTCTGTACGTACCCTCAGTACAGACAATAAAAACATGTACTGAGAACAGAGAGCAGAGCCATTTTCAATGTTTTGCTTAATATACACACATAACTATGCAGGAGGTAGGCCAAGAATAGCCTTAAAAACAAGTGGATGCCAAAGAAAAAGTCTACGAAATTGTAAAGAGACTCAGCCAACCCGAGCATGCAGGATACAGTGATGAGTTAGTGGCTTACAGTTGGTACTAAATCCAGTCCAGAGCTGGGTGTAATAATGATCTTTTATGTATTGTTGCTCAATATGCAGAGATGAATTTCCCTGTAATCACTTGTTTTCATGAATTTAGGGCATACATGCACCCCTTTCCACAAAAGAATAGATTATTGTACTACTACTATTATGTAAAATTAAGCAAATGGCTCCACCTACCGAAGCACTTGAATGGAAAACCTTGTGATCTGTTGTTTAAATATGCCTTTTGTGACATGTCACGGATGTGAGTATTATCTAATGACTTAAGTAGTACGGAACAGTAACCTGATTTACACTCTTAAACATGACGCTGGTCTAATTTATATGTACTACACACCTGTAGTGGTCATTGATTATATTGAATTTTTCTCTGTAGAATCACTTTCCTGCCAGCAGCAAGGAGCGCCTGCAGGATTTGAAATCCACTGTGGATCTTCTAACCAGCATCACCTTCTTCAGGATGAAGGTAAAGTTTATTGTTTCTGTATTTTCACTGTTGTTGCTTTCTGCATAATCTCAGCAAATGGTTATCTCTTGATGTTTAAATGGGATGTTTTGCCACAGGTTGGCCAGGAAGTCACAACCTGATAAATTAGACCCACAGTATTCCTTGTTTTAAGTTTTACTCAACAAGTGTAAATGATTGTCACTGTCAGTGTTGCTATCTCCATCTGGTGTTCAGGTCCAGGAGTTACAGTCTCCGCCCAGAGCCAGCCAGGTGGTGAGGGACTGTGTCAAGGCCTGCCTGAACTCCACATACGACTACATCTTCAACAACTGCCACGAGCTGTACAGCAGACAGTATCATCCTAATGACACAGTAAGTCACACGCTAATTATCCAACTGTGGCAGCTGCATCAGGAAGTGGAAGTGCTACAAGGCCAAGTAAATACTATACACTTATCCTTCTCTTCACTTCAAGTAATAGTTTGGAAATTTTTAAGTGGGGTTGTATGAGGTACTTTTCCATCCATCCATCCATCCATCCATCCATTTTCATCCGCTTATCCGGGGCTGAGTCGGGGGGCAGCAGGTCAAGCAAAGCACCCCAGATGTCCCTCTCCCCAGCAACGCTTTCCAGCTCCTCTTGGGGGACCCCAAGGCGTTCCCAGGCCAGACGAGATATGTAATCCCTCCAGTGTGTTCTGGGTCTGCCCCGGGGCCTCCTACCAGTGGGACGTGCCCGGGACACCTTCAGCGGGAGACGCCCGGAGACATCCTGATCAGATGCCCGAACCACCTCAACTGTGACCCCCTTCGATGCGAAGGAGCAGCGGCTCTACTCCGAGCTCCCTACGTATGTCCGAGCTCCTCACCCTATCTCTAAGGCTGAGCCCAGACACCCCACGGAGGAAACTCATTTCCACCGCTTGTATCCGCGATCGCATTCTCATTCACTACCCAGAGCTCATGACCATAGGTGAGAGTTGGGACGTAGATGGACCAGTAAATCGAAAGCTTTGCTTTCCGGCTCAGCTCCCTCTTCACCACGACGGACCAGCACAGCGCCCACATCACTGCAGAAGCCGTACCGACCCACCGATCCATCTCACACTCCATTCTACCCTCACTCGGGAACAAGACCCCAAGATACTTGAACTCCCTCGCTTAAGGCAGTAACTCTCTCCCATCCAGGAGAGGGCAATCCACCGGTTTCTGACAGAGCACCATGGCCTCAGACTTGAAGGTGCTGACTCTCATCCCAGCTGCTTCACACTCGGCTACTTTTCCATAGTCAGTGTATTACCTGCAGTCGATGGCGGTCAGGGCGCCTCATGTTTGGAGAAGCAGGCTTGGGTCAGACATGGTCATCTGTTGCTGACCCTATCCACAGCGGTACATTGATAGCTTCCATGTCGGTCTTCTGCCTGCTTCTCCAAACTGGGGAAGTGTCAACCAACATTTTCTGTATGTTATACACTGACTGTGGATAAATACATCATTCAGCCCCACTTGAAAAGATCCACACAATCCCTTTAAACAATCTGTAATCAAACTGAGACAGCTGGGGACAAGAACGTGTATGACCTGCTGTATAAATTGCCTTGAGCATGACTATCTGCCATCACAGTGACCACATGTCCACTAAATCAGACAAATCCATACTACTGTCTGTGTTTAAGTCTCTTTTTGGTGACTGACTGTGTTGTGTTCTGATCCAGAACAAGGAGGAGCTCCCTTTAGAGGAGCAGGGTCCGAGCATCAGGAACTTGGACTTCTGGCCCAAACTCATCATGCTCATCGTCTCCATCATTGAAGAGGACAGGAACTCCTACACACCTGTGCTCAACCAGTTAGTAATCGGCATATGGTCTCTTTATCTTTATGACTTTACTATCACAAACTACCACTATTTCTTCAGTACATACTTTTAAATGTTTAGAACGTGTGATCATTGTCACCTCTTTCTCAGATTTCCTCAAGAACTGAACGTAGGGAAGGTGTCAGCAGAGGTCATGTGGACACTGTTCGCCCAAGACATGAAGTACGCTATGGAAGGTATGTCACACCCAGCATTTACATATGTGTTTCTAAAGTTTCTTGTGGAGCATTACTATAGATTTGTTATAGTATTATTAGGAACTGTAAGAAGTGAAGGGAAAATCTGAATGATCAAAGAATACGAACAAGTCAGAGAGAAGCTCTGATGAAACTGGAGAAGGCAAGAAGAGAAGAGAAAATCTGGGGTAGAAACGCCACAGTGGCATGGAAGAAGTGAAAGAGCGAATTAATCACTGTGCAGGGTTTGAAAGCTGCTTATGTCTCCCAGGAGCCTCTCTGTGATTTCTCTCTGCTCTACTGTACTGTACTGTACAGCACCACCAGTCCCCCAGAGGCAGTCAGCTCTTATCCCAGCCCCTGTCCTCAAGATGAGTCCCCTGCAGAGACTATCACTGCAAAATATCTGCTTCACATACTACGCTACAGAAGTGGCGGCCCCTTCATTTTCAATCTGCATTAATATAAAAAGGGGTGGAAAATGTGCTCAGAGATGGAGTCCTGAGAGATTTTGCTTCAGAAGCATGAGCAAAGCATACTTCAGATTTAAGAGCAGTAGTAGTTTTTGGTAGGTCACTAAAAAGATATTCAAGTGCCTGGTTGGATTTAAGCTTTTCACTAAACTTGTGCAAAACTCTTCCACTTACTTTCTACGAGCGTATCTTTAGCTAATATGAGCACAGCTGAAGTTTAGCAACAGCAGGCGGAGTCATGTTTAAGTATGAGTAAACAAATAAAGCACTGACTTTTAGAATAATCTTTGTTTGAATATAAGACCATCAGAGGACATTTTTCAGAGAAAATATTTAATTACAAGGGGATATTTTAGAATTATACCTTGACTTTATAGTAAGGACTTGAATTCGCAGTAACTTTAGCATAGATACGGCTTTAGGTAAAGTTAGAGATGATTTTGTTTTAGGGTTAGATGATAGGTTCACATTTTTTTCCCAAGTCTGTCTGAAAACAGTACCACAAGCAATAATCACACGCTCATACGTTCATATTTAAAGCACTGTTGTTCACTTTTATTGGCCATGAACGATCCCTGCTGAAAGCAGATTTAATTGAAGTGATTAGGGACAAAATTTTGTCTTCATTAAGTCTCAAAATATTAAAAAAACAGTAAGTAAATAGGTTTAGCCGAACCTATTATGTGGCTTAAGCAGCCTGTGTTAGACAAATCAATGTGACATACAAATACAAATTACATAACTACACTATAACACATCATAAACCATTGACATTTGCTTACAGTAGAAAAAGAAAGGGAGGAACAAGAAATCACAGACACACAAAAAACTAAATAAACACCCAAGACAACCAACCTGACAACTAAATAATGGTATCATTGTCATCCTTCCTCTAAACTTGGCCGTAATCTATCTGTCTTTTTTCATAATGATTCAGTTTCCCCTTCCTTATAACAATAATGCCTTCTAACATAAATACATATTTAAAAAAGTAAAGAAAACAGGGGAATGTTATTCGCTCTCTTCCTTTCGATTCAGAGATAAATCTTTTTCCTAATCATTTAATGTATTTAAATTCCATGACAACTATTTCTTAATTCACTGAGCATTTTTAATTAAGGGCACATGGTTAAAAAAAAATCAACCTTGATGCAAGCCATCTTTTGATAGTCATCCAAAATGTTGCCACATGAGGACAGAACCAAAATCAATGCAACATATCTTTAATTTCTGATTCACAGAAAAGACTGTTTCCATCCTATTTCATTCCCCACAGAATTTTAAATTGAAAATATTGTGACTTGGAATCTATAACAGCTGTATAAAGATATTAGATCATACACCTGTCTTCATGGCAATGGGATATTGAATATCTCTCAGTACAACTGAAATTTTTCTGGCTTGTAATTTAAATCATATGCCCCTAAAAAAAATCTGCGTAAAAGCACTGATCTTTTTTCTTTTAAGCTAAATACAGTATTTTTGTGGCAGGTTTACGCACCAACAGTTTTCTTCCAGCATGTCTCACTTTTTCCTCCAAGCCAAAGGCACTGCAGTTAATAATTTAATTTAATACATTTTTAATTTTAATTTGAATTTTATTTAATTAATTTAAATTCAGAACATAAATTAAATATTTGTAGTACAAAATGTTCTCTTTTTTTTCCACAGATGTTGTTTTCTTACGGAGTTATAGTGGAGGGGTTAAAAAAAGAGGGACTTTGGTACTAAAAACACAAACATTAAAGATGATATCTTGAATTTGCATATTTGCTTTAGCTGAACTTTGAAATTATTTTTTTGTGCCCAGTGAATACATAGCTTTCAATGCACACATGATCATGTGAATATTGTTCTGAGACACAAAAAAAAGAAATGTGAACCTATCCTGTCGTCTTGAAATTAGGATTATGTTAGGTAGGAGAGACTAAGATTAAAGTTGCAAGGTCTTATTACAATGCTCACAGGCTCTTCCTCTCTTTGCATATGCAGAGCACGAGAAGCACAGACTGTGTAAGAGCACCGACTACATGAACCTGCACTTCAAGGTCAAGTGGCTCAACAACGAATATGTCAAGGAGCTGCCAAACTTTAAGGGCGTCGTTCCTGACTACCCATCGTGAGTGCTTTGGACTTACTCAGTTTTAGGCATAGGGGAACATAACATTTATTTTTTAAAACTTCTCTTTGATTATTAAATTGATCTGTCCTTAATGTTGGTGTTGGTTAAAACTCTGGTTGTCTTTATTTTCCTTTGCAGATGGTTCTTACAATTTGTGCTACAGTGGTTGGATGAAAACGAGGATGTATCCATGGAGTTTATGCATGGAGCCCTGGAGAGGGACAAAAAAGACGGAGTAAGAAAATTAGCATGTAGATAAATATATTTTTTAACTCTAGTACGTCTTGTTTATGTATTGTTTGTGTTTTTTCCTTGTCACTGTGCACTGTTTCAGTTCCAGCAGACGTCTGAGCATGCTCTGTTCTCCTGCTCTGTGGTGGACATCTTCACTCAGCTCAACCAGAGCTTTGAGATCATCAAGAAACTGGAATGTCCTGACCCTAACGTCATGGCTCAGTACAGTCGCCGCTTCTCCAAGGTAAACCCACGTACTGGATGAAACCTTAAAGGGATGGTTTGGATTTTGGTTTTATGACGTACTTAACCATAGTCAATGTACAATCTAGTACAGTAGATAGAAGCTAAGCAATGTACTGCTGTGGAAGGGTCAGCAACAAAACATATTTTTAGCCACTTAAAAAAATCATTATCAGTCTAATCGTATACTATATTTAGAATATTTTCACCACCTTATGTGGCTGTCAGACAGCGATTTTCTATCTGGCAAGTGAAGCTGTTATATTACGCTCTTCAAAGCCAAACTCCATTGAGAAAACCAGTGATTTAACATTGCTAAACACAGGAGCTGCTGGTCAAACACTGCCTCAGTCAGTTAGTTTGTTTGTGTTATTGTGTGACTTTGGCTTTTAAATGGGCTAGTTCTGATTCACCAAAGTCACACTATAAGACAAACAAACTAAGTGATTGATGCAGCAGTAGACCAGCAGCTCCCATGTTCAGTGAGCTTAAATCACTGTTTTTCTCAATGGAATCTGGTGGCTTTGACAAGTGCATAAATGGGGAACTGAAGCCTTTAACAACAGGCAAGGTAAAGCTGTGAAAATATTCTTAATAAAGCATACCGTTAAACTTTTATTGACTATGCCTAAAATAGGTTTTGCTGCTGGTCATACGTTACATAGCTTCCATGGTGGTACATCTGCCTCATTTTCCAAACTAGGGGCATTTGCTGTAGGCAGAACATTGACTGTGGATAATTACCTCATACAACCCCACTTCAAAAGATCTGAAGTATCCCTTTAAAACCTGCTCTTAAGTACATCACACTGTAAAAGGATTTTAAAAACAGCACAGAACTCATAGTTGCTGGATCAAAAATGTCCATAATTGATAACAAAATTGACAGTAAATTATCATAAAGCAGTATCTGACTCTGACTAATTTCCTTTTTCAAAACACTTTAACATATGAGGGAAATCACAAAACAGCGACAGCATTGTCTGGAGGGACATTCTCTTTTTTTCTAAAGGGAATTTTATGTTTCCTTGTTAAAAAGATGTGTTAGTTTGGACATGAAACTCTCCTCCTGGGGGACAGAGGGACATCACAGCTTTATGCTTTGGGATTTGCTCTCCTGCATGGCAGAGAATACATTACATGGCATTTGGGAATGTTTCTAAAACCTCTTTGGCCATACTCCCTGAAAGTGTCATACAGCCCCCTCTGGGAAATGTTTTATAAGAAATAAGTAATTAGATTTAAAACTGTTTTTAAATTGTTTCAGATTTTGTTCCATGCAGTTTTAATGCGTTTCTACCTTTTTATCTTCACAGACCATTGCCAAAGTTCTTCTGCAGTACAGTGCCATTCTGACCAAGAGTTTTCCCTCTTATATTGACAAGGAGAAGATTGTAAGTTCTCAACACCTTTTGTTTTACATGCCACAGTCACGCATTTTCCTTTAATCCACATCCTACACGATATACACTGCTCAAAAAATGACCTCCAGCAAGCTACAGGTGTGCATGTTTCTGACCGAACTGTCAGAAACAGACTCTATGAGGGTGGCATGAAAGCCCATGTCCCGTGCTCACAGTGCAGCACCATGCAGCTCAAATGGCATTCACCAGAGAACACCAGAATTGGCAGGTCCACTATTGGCACCCCGTTCTCTTCACAGATGAGAGCAAGTTCACACTGAGCACATGTGACAGGCGTGAAAGAGTCTGGAGATGCTGTGGTGAACGTTATGCTGCCTGTAACATCATCCAGCACGACTGGTTTGGCGGTGGGTCAGAGGTGGTCTGTGAAAGCATATCCTTGGAGGGTCACACAGACCTCCATGTCATAGCCAACGGTAACCTGACTGCTGTTAGGTACCAGGATGACATCCTCAGAGCGATTGTCAGACCTTACACTGATGCAGTGGGCTCTGGGCTCCTCCTGGTGCAGTGGGCCCTGGGTTCCTCCTGGTGCAGTGGGCCCTGGGTTCCTCCTGGTGCAGTGGGCCCTGGGTTCCTCCTGGTGCAGTGGGCTCTGGGTTCCTCCTGGTGCAGGACAATGCGCGGCCTCATGTGGCCAGAGTGTGAAGGCAGTTCCTGGATGATGAAGGCACTGATGCCATTGACTGGCCCTCTTGTTCCCTGACCTAAATCCAACTGAGCACCTATGGGACGTTAAGTATTGGTGCATCTGACGCCACCAAGTACCACCACAGACTGTCCAGGAGCTCACTCTTGCCCTGATCCAGGTCTGGGAGGAGATCCCCCAGGACACCATCTGCCAACTCATCAGGAGCATTTTTTTTTTCGCAGTATCCAATCAAATTGAGTATTGTTTAGACACTGGACACACCCTCCAGTGGCTCCATTATTGCCTTCACAAACATTTTTATAAAAGATTATTTTCCAAAGTTGAATAATCAATTGAATAAAAATTACATATTTTACATGGTGGTGAGTGCAGTCACTTGTAGATATTGAAGGGTTCCTGCCACATGTTTATAATCTCTCTGCGTTCTATGTCTCTCTCTTCCTGTGTCCTCCAAAAGCCGTGTGTCCTGATGAACAATGTGCAGCAGTTAAGAATCCAGCTGGAGAAGATGTTTGAGTCGATGGGTGCCAAACAGGTAAGTCAAAAGACAGTGGTTGGGGTGTTGTCCTGTTGCATCAAACATAAAAGTCCCATTTCTTACTCAAGCACAACAACCACATATTCTACGCGTGGTTACCTGTACAACAGTTGTATTTGTGTGTCTCGTGTATCAGATTGCAACGGAGGAAGCGCGGGTATGTACAGTAGCTAGATCCTTGGTAGTGCTGGATTAGAACATAGTCTTGAGTCTTAACAAGGTTGTAGTGGAAGTTGCTTAAAAGGTCTATACGCCATCCCAGTGTCTGATGTGATGTTGTCAGTGGAAGCATAGATCCATACTGAGAGAGATTAGACCCCGCACTGCCCCATAGGCTAGAGCATAATGAGACTTACAGTAATTAAATCATGTCCTCTATTAGTGTCCTTAGTGTAGCCACAGTGAGGACATCCAATGGCTTGTCTGTCAGTGATGACCTCCCTCTGCTTTGAAGCCCTAGCATGACTTTACATGTAGTGTTTTATCGTATGTAGCTTAAGTGTGTTCACTTTACAATTAAAGCAAAATGAACTGGTGGAAGAGGAAGAGGAGGAGGAGGCGGGAGAGGAGGAGGTATGTTTCCATCATGGTCTGAGTGGGGCTGATACAGGCAGATATTTGTCCATATTAAAGTACATCTTTCATTTTATTTAATCAGTTTAATGGTGCACACGCGGCCGTGCAGTGTATTGATTATCTCCATCTTCCTTTGGCTTGAACAGCAGGTCGTAACTGAGGAAGAGAAAGCGAAGGCTGTGGTGGGTACTGTGGATGGTAGCAGATTAGATTCATTCATAGAGACCAGTAGACCCCTCTTTAGTATTAAGTGTAGCCTACCTGTTGTAGTCTAGTGACTATGCTGACGTCTGGTGTAAATGTTCGCAAGAGTGGGTTTAAAGTTTTGAAGTGGCGTACGTCCCTTTCAGGCCTAGATTTTTTTTTCTTTCACCATTTGTATTCTTGAACCTGGTCAATTGAAACCTTATATTTTTGATGTTCATTGTTTTAAGAAGTCACATTATGGTGCCAGTCTCAGTCTGTTGTTGCCTGTCAGATGATTTATGAAGCATCATGTCATGATGAGGTGGAGTTGAAAGGATGATACATGTGAGCTGCTCTGAGAGATTTAGTGAGTGGCTTGTTATCATAGAGGGAAATCATGAGATACTGCACTTTGCCTTTGAATGTTCTTCATGGGATTTAAGTGGAACATGCAGTTTCTACCACCAAAATGTAGTCTTGTAGCTCTCTCGTCCATTTTATATAATTTGTTTAAGAAAATAAACATTATTTTTATTATTAATAATCCATAGTTTATAGGAATTTAATGTATTTCTTTATTGCTCGGTGTCTGTCTGTCCAAGTGCTGTTAAAATTTACAGTAAACTTAATCCAGTAAAGTACATATATGATTTAAAGGTAGCTTAACCACATTACATCACATGTCAGTGGTTAGAGTTGGAGTTTGCATGATCTCTACGTGTCAGTGTGGGTTTTTTCCAGGTACTCCAGCTTCCTCCCACAGTCCAAAGACATGCAGGTTAATTGGTGACTCTAAATTGCCCGTAGGTGTGAATGTGAGTGTGAATGGTTGTCTGTCTCTATGTGTCAGCCCTGTGATAGTCTGGTGACCTGTCCAGGGTGAACCCCGCCAGCTGGGATGGGCTCCAGCCCGCCTGCGACCCCTAACAGGATAAGTGGTTACGGAAAATGAATGAATGAATTTACCTCACTAAATTCCATGAAATCCACTAGAGTCAAAATGGCAGCTACTGAGACATGCTAAGCTAATTCCCTTTAGCAGCAGTGTTTTCCCGCCTTTCTTCGGTTCAGCTCCTCCCAAATTTAGTCATGTGGAATTACTCACTGAATTACCAGGACGTCACTGTAGTCCAACAAAATGGATCATTTTCTTTTACAGATAACTACCAGGGAAAAATCTACATTTAGTTTAAGCTTTAGCTAAGGCTAGCTGTGGCTATCTGACCAGATAGCTTTCACTTGATGTGGCTCGTTGGTTGTAGCTGTGTAGTCTAACGGTAGGTCTTAACTCAGACCAAATATGTAGTTACTGTGTTTTGCCTTTGCAGAGGATATTTAACTAAAACGCATTTTTTAGAAAAGTGAAGTCACAGTCATGTTTTTCTTTCCTTTTCTAGCGCAACAATAGAGTGCTAGCGTGGCAGGCAAGTTCCCTGTATATGCAGACATGTTTATGATGCATGTCTGCATATACTCAAATGTTCATAATTTCTTTTTGGAAATTGAGAAGCCGAAAATTGTCTTTAAAGAACAAATTTTGTTGAATTTGGTTGTTTAATTTGGAGCAGTGGGACTTAATTGTGTTGTGTTGTCTTTTCACCGCCACTCGTAGTTTGACGAGAGTGAGGAGGAGGAGGAGGAGGAAGTAGGGGAAGAAGGGGAGAAAAATGGGGTTGAGGTTTGTTGCAGTCTGAAGTGGTTTTATCGTTCCCAGGAGTGCAAGTCATTCTGCCCTGTTCTTCCTGTTCACTGCAACACCACAGTGATACTCACTCCTCTTGAAACAAAACATCACCGTCATGGTGGAGTTTATTGTGTGTGGTTTTTATCACGTCATCTGTGGTGATTTCCACCTCGAGTTTACCCATGGCCTTTCCTCAAAACTGGTCACTCATTTCCCCTAAAATGAAGCTCATTTCTGAAATTTTTTGTTGTTGATTTCTTTAATTTGTGTTTTCTTTGTTGCTCTTTTTTTGTTTGCAATAGACTGACAAAGAGAAGGTGGGTGTTGATGTTTCAAATATAGCTCGTTCTTCCAATGCGGGAAAAACCTTCTGTATTTGTGGTGTTCTTTAAATTTTAATTTCAAGAGTTAGAGGTACAACAGAACGGGATTTTTGACAGTTTTGACACTGACATTTTGACATTTTTCATTTTTATGTCTCTTTTTAAAATAATCTCAAAACACCACGCAAAGATGGATGAACCAGTAGAAAAGGTAGGTCACACGCATAGGGGTATCTGCTACCACAGCACTTTGTATAATGGCCATCGATCCTCTGTAATTATTTTAATATAAATGAAAGTTAATTTACAAATGGGAAATGACAGCTAATTGAGGTTGTCCTCTGTTACCCTCCGCCCATCTGTGCTGTCATAGACTGAGATAACACTCGAAGACAAGAAGGTGAGTGTAGTTGTACCGACTCATGAATATTAATATCCTTATGCTTACCAAAATACTCCCAGGCAAAAGAAAACACATTACAAACAGCACATAATCCATTTCTAGCTGCCTTTCCTCCCCTGGAGTCTTCCCTTTGTGGTGCATAGCAGAAACGTCTCAGTCTCTCCTCACTAATGGTGCCACGCGACCCTGACAGGCCATGAATCAAAAGGCCATTGGATCATTGACTTAATGAGCCACATCGTGGCTTCATCCATATGGCTTAGCTCCCTGCAGGCAGTGCTTATGTAGATGATGCCTCAGTATACCTTGGTTAGGTATACTGGAGGTAGTCACTTCCCCACTTGTTCCCTGTGTTTGTGAGACTTGTGAGACAAACATCTGGCATATTAAACTTTTTTTTCCAATGTGCTCGCTTCGAAAGTTGGAGACGACTGGTAAAAAGGTGGGTTTCTTGTCGTAATTTGTTTCTACTCATGTTGTTTAGAACGGACATATCTCTGCTCTAAGAGCATAAAATACAAACATTACAGAACATCTGCCTCTCTCGTTCCTTTGGTATCTCTTGGTATGAAGCTCAACAGATTGGCTGTGCACTTTTCCTAATAACATGATGGTTATTGAAGTTCCTCTTTAAATGATAAATTCTTGCTGCCATTTGAAGCTTCTAGCTTTGGTGTTGAAGTCAAGCTTTCAAGTTAATTTTGGGTATTTTGGCTAAAAGCTGCAAATACGAATGATGAAAGTCTTTTATGATCTGCTGTTAAAGAGTGCTGTGTCCTCAGAGGCACATGTGGTCTCTCCTGAGATTAATTATGTTCTCTACATTTTCAAGTTTTTCGGAGTTAATTTATTTTGAGCAGAATTTTACCAACACCCTTCCTTTGATTCTGTCTGCCTGCCTTTCTGCAGATGGACACTGAGGCCAGTGACCTACTGAACGACCTGCAGGTGAAGCTAAACAATGTGTTGGATGATCTCAGCCGTACATTTGGGAACAGGTAGACTAATTCACACCCCTAGACAGACACGTAACCACACACGCCCACACGCATATCAGTAACCACACATGCATTTGTGCTGATTGATTAAATTTTCTGTCTTTCTAGTTTCCAGATCCGCATCAACGATTGCATGCGCCAGATGGCATCTTTGCTGTACCAGATCAAAGGACAGCTCAACGCCAACAACAAAAACCAGGTGGAGGCCGACTCTGACAACATGCTACGGCCACTCATGGATTTCCTGGATGGAAAGTGAGTGGATGAATTAAGATTTGAGACCAGTGTTCTCTCCCTGACATGATGAAGTGTTTGATGATATTGCCATGTTTTCATAGCCTGGGACCCAGAGAAATCCACGTGTTCATGTTTTACTGACTCTGGCAGATGCGTCTTATCTACCGCTTATCAACCTCTTATCTAATAAAGGGCAGGTTTGATTTTTTCCTGCATTTTTACCTATAGCCGTTGATAGTGCCCCTTGGAAGTGAAAATAAATGGAGGTGCCGAACTAATTTGCATTTGCGATTTGGTCCGACGATGCCAAGCTAATGTTTTAGGCCACTTTGACAGGTGCAATCCTCTCTCAACAGCCCAACTGCAGCCCCGTCCTGTTTTCTATTACTTTAAATCCCTTTCTCTTTCTCTGCATCCTAAATCTCTGTCCTCCAGAAATCATTTCAGAAATTAGAAGTTTTAACAATTTTTAACCATGCCAGCACCTTAGTCGTTCTGAACTCCCAACGCATTTTGCTCTGTGCTCTTAAAAAAGGCACGACAACGTTGAAGGAAGAATACAATTTGAAGATGGTTAAAGGATGTGGCTGGTGGACCTGTAAAAGTGACACTCATTACATTGGTGTCACAATCTCCATGGACACTTTACATTGTTTATAGTCACATCTTGAGTTAGCGAATTGAGAGTGGGTGTTTCTCATCAACTTGTGTATATGTATTTGTGTATTTGCATTTTACAGGTTAACATTGTTCGCCACCGTATGTGAGAAAACAGTATTGAAGCGTGTGCTCAAGGAGCTGTGGAGGATCGTAATGAGCAGCCTGGAGAAGACTATTGTCCTGCCGCAGGGCAACGACACCTTTGTAAGCTCAACATCACTCAGAATTATCAGTCTCATGTTTGCTTGCCTCAGCATTTGTGCATACTGTAAATATATTTGACTTTTAAGTGCAGAGATGAAATGGCAAAATTCTCTGTTTTTTTTTTTTTTTCAGGGTGCACAGATTCTCTCAGCTGCGAAAGAACTGGGTCAGCTCTCCAAACTCAAGGTACCAGAACGCTTTCATATGTTTTACACAAAGTTAATTACCTGCAGAGATTCAGTGTTGCCAAGAACTGACCACAAAATGACTCAGCGAGAGAGTGTGAATCTATTTTTGGGCAATTAACTCATCTCTTTGCTCCTCATTTGGATGTGCAGGATCACATGGCAGGGGAGGCTAAAAGCCTGTCTCCCAGACAGTGTGCTGTCATGGACGTGGCACTGGACACGATCAAGGTCAGTTTATACTGCGGGTTTTGGTTTCATTAGGATGCAGGGCAGACGGGTCAAATTAGCTTCATCAACTATTCATCCATTAATCAAATACCCTGGAAGGTTATGTAAACAGCTTGTGACCAGAAGTTATGTGATTTAACAGGCCAGGGAAGTGTGTGGAGGATAAAGTGGGTGAAATGAAGAGTGGATTTTAATTGTGAGTCAGAAAAATGCTAAATGACTCTGTTGTTAAACCTAGTCTTGGGTTTTTGCACTGGAAATACAGCAATCATTTTGACTATTAAAGGATAATTCTGGTCATTTTCAATTTGGATCTTGCGGTGATAGTTTGTGCCACCAGAATGCAATCAATTGACTTTACTGTAAGACTTATTTAGCCAGAAGCAAAACTCACCTTTTTTCTTGAAAAACTTGATTTGGTTTGGGTTTTAAAATCCTAATATTTTGACTAGTTTGTCCTCCAGATGATTTATGCTGTCCCACGCTCTGTTTCCGTCGCAGCAATACTTCCATGCAGGAGGCAACGGGTTGAAGAAGGCGTTCCTGGAGAAGAGTCCTGAGCTGTCCTCACTACGCCACGCTCTGTCCCTCTACACTCAGACAACAGACACACTCATCAAGACCTTTGTGACCACCCAGCATGCACAAGGTAGTCAGAAAGGGTCTGAGGAGAACGCATTTCCCTCTGTAGGCCACAAGAGGGTACTATGTGTGTTGTTGATGAGCGTGGCATTTCACTGGTTTGCACCTGTATTTTGTGTATTTAAAGTGTTATTGATGCTAGAATCTGTTGACATGTTGCTGCTGTCTTCTCTTTATCTCCTGTGCTGCCTCTGTGCCAGTGCACAATGGAAAGGGTATTAGGTTAACTCCCAGTGAAAAAATACAGCCCAGCAGGGGTAGGTTTCATTGAAATCATCCGCCAGCCCTCCTCTCCTTCCCCACCCGCTCTCTCTTTGTAAACTCTGTCACTCTGTGCCACTAAGGTGGGCAGGTCAACCCTAACCCAACCTCTTCACCTGCATCCTCTTCTTATACTGTCTCTGCTTTATGAATCAAAGGTTATATTTTGCCTTCCTCGGGCCAAATGTGAGCTCATTCATGTGTCTGGCTGTGCGTCAAACTAGGTCCAGGCGTGGAGAAGCCAATAGGTGAGGTGTCTGTCCAGACTGAGCTGCACACTCATCCAGGGAACGGGGAGCGGAAAGTTACTGTCAAAGGTCTGTTTGAGTTTCCATAGCATGATGCTACATACTTTAACCAAGTGCTCTCATCTGATTATATCATCCTCTTCCTCTGTGTGTGCTCTGGTTTTAACATGTTGTGTTGTGTTTAGTCATAGGAGCCAATGATTTAAAATGGCAGACGTCCGGCATGTTCCGACCCTTCGTGGAGATCACCATGATCGGGCCTCACCTCAGCGACAAGAAACGCAAATTCCAGACCAAATCCAAGAACAACAGCTGGTCTCCCAAGTTTAGCGAGACCTTTAATTTGTAAGTACTGCAACAGCTCTGCCTGCTTTTTAATAACATTTTCAGTTTTCTAGATGTTGACCATTGAATACTTCACAGTCTTTCATTTTCATGTATTACTTTTTTTGTTTCATTATTATTTTTGTTGCTATCCAACAGCTTCAGTAACTATGTTATTGTTTACATCCTCATATCATTTCTATTTACAGTTTACATGCAGTTTCTACATGTACAGCTACTCGTGTCCTGTCAGATATTTATAGAATTTGACCTTCAGTACTCCAGAATGATGTAACCAGCTTGGCTATTACTGTATGTGATATTTTGCTGCTGTTTCAGAGTTTGGATTTTGTACTTAAATCTAGAGCAGCAAACAATTAGTTGATTAATCGATAGACAGAAAATGAATGTGCACCTATTTTTGATACTGATACTTTTAAGTCATTTCTCTGATTTTATCTTCTCGGATCAAAATGTTTCTCTTATACATATATGACAGTAAATTGAAATTTACTTGTGTGTAAATTGTTGATGGCCCTATTTCAGTATTTTCAGTATAAAACAAACACTCAGTACATCATTTTAACAACTCAGCCACAGATATCTTTACAGGAAGAAAACAAGTCCTAGTAAAATAAAATGCATTTACATAGCAATAGAGTGTTCACTGCTACCAAGTTATAGATCACTACAAATCACTGCTCTTAAAGGGATAGTGCACCCAAAAATGAAAATTCAGCCATTATCTACTCACCCATATGCCGATGGAGGCCCTGGTGAAGTTTTAGAGTCCTCACATCCCTTGCGGAGATGGGCGGGGGCAGCGGCTCGCACACCTACTGGCAGACGGTGCCCCAAACTAACGTCCAAGAACACAAAATTGAATCCACAAAGTATCTCCATACTGCTCATCCGTAGTGATCCAAGTGTCCTGAAGCCCCGACATAAAAAAACGTTGAAACATTGTTTCAAAAAACGTCATTTGAACTCTGTTTTTAGCCTCATTGTAGCCTGTAGCTCTGACTGCTTCTCTGTGCACCGCGTGCATGCTTGCGTACGACCAGCGAAAGCATGAGCTTTGCTCACCCGTGTTTACATCACGTGACACATGCGCCGCAGGGGGAGACAGCAATAACCACAGAGCTAAAAGATAGTTTGCACTACGGTCTTTTAGCAAAGGACAGCCCAACATGTCTGAAGACTTTGAAATTGAGGAGGAACAGCATTTCTTTGTTGATCTGTATTTGTTTGAGCCCGAGTATACGGATGGAACTCAGGCTACTGGATGAAGCAGCCGCCGTAGCTCATGAGCCTAACCCTCAGCCAGCCGCAGAATACTTGAGTTGAGCACTGGAAACCTGGTGGTGTAGTTGTTTCAAATGCAAATCAATGCCAACTGATGAGGAAAGTCTTTGCTCCTCAGACTGGGAATTGGTGATGCCTGCACTTGAGAATCTGGACATCAGTACGGACGAGACTGCTGCTCTTCAGAGACCGTGCATCACCGATCACCCTGAGCGCGCACACGTGAGCGCGGAGCACAGAGAAGCAGTCAGAGCTACAGGCTACAGTGAGGCTAAAAACAGAGTTCATATGACGTTTTTCGAAACAACTTTTTATGTCGGGGCTGCAGCACACTTGGATCACTACAGATGAGCACTATGGAGATACTTTGTGGATTCAATTATGTGTTCTTGGATGTTAGTCTGGGGCGCCGTCTGCCATTAGGTGTGCTAGCCGCTCCCCCCGCCGATCTCTGCAAGGGATGTGAGGACTCTAAAACTTTACCAGGGCCTCCATCGGCATATGGGTGAGTAGATAATGGCTGAATTTTAATTTTTGGGTGCACTATCCCTTTAAGATACTCGAGGCTCAGTACAAGGCTGACAGATATTTTAATCTTATTTTAGTATAATACATTCATCAGCTCTCTTATCCACATGTCATATGTTGGTGCACAGTCTGGCTTCCACATAAGTTGAATAAGTTTCCTTGCCACAACCAAACCAAATGAAACAGCCTGAGTTTCATACTTGTCTGCTCAAGGTAATACACTTGTGGCAACAAGGACAGCAACTAGTGTGTTAGGTTCCCTGTTCTTCTCAAGCATTAGAGATGCATTAAAATATACTCTTCCGATAACTGAACAATTTCCATCAAGTCCAAAGAGAATGTGTTAACGTCCCATCTGCCTCTTTACATCTACTACAGAGGAGTGAAACATTATGGAAAATTGTATGCAATCACTCTTTGGAGTAGTATAGCTGATGCACTGTTTTAAATTGTCTATCTCCACCCAGCTCACTCCCCCAATTCTGCTTAAATGCATCTGTCTTGACATGATACCTTTGTAAAATGTGATAAACAAGGAAACTGCTTCCTTACTTTGATAATCAAAGTGGTTACTTTTTCATGTTTGTTAATATTTTAGTTAATGTTTTTTGTGTTTTTTATATGTCTTAACTTTCGCACTTTTTAAGCGGAAAGGTCTAACAAGGGACAGAGGCTACAAATTAGCCTTAGCTAAAAATTCTATGCAATACATCTGTAGTGCATCTAATGTTGTATCTAGTATCGGGATCTGTATGTATCTAGTGTACTGAAAAAATAATCAATTTTATCATTCTCGTAGGCTACCAAAAGAGTAATTTGTATTCACAATATCAATAGTTTATTCAGTAAAAAAAATCTATGCTTGGCGCCCACGTATTGATTTAATATTGCAGTGCAAAATATCATGATACTATGCTGTATCCTTTTGGGGTTTTTTACCCACCCCTTGAAAGTGATAGTTAGTTGCAGCTATACTTTAATCTAGCACATGTACAGTAATTGATGGTTGAGATGCTTGTCTACACAGAACCTAATGGGTGTATTTTGAAGGAAAATTCTTGGGCATTGCCGTTTTAACTTGACTAACCTGCAGCTGTGTTGAAGGACTTAATGTTCAAACCTCTGTGCTCTGTCTCCACAGTGTTCTTGGTAACCAGGATGGCTTTGAGTGCTATGAGCTGCAAGTCTGCGTCAAGGACTACTGCTTCGGCCGTGCAGACAGAGTGGTCGGCTTGGCCGTGATACAGTTAAGAGACATCATGGGAAAGGGCAACTGTGCGTGCTGGTACCAGCTCGGGGAACGCATCCATATGGACGACACAGGACTCACCGCCATGCGAATCCTCTCCCAGCGCTCCAATGACGACGTGGCCAAGGAGTTTGTGAGGCTGAAATCAGAGACTCGTTCAGCCGAGGAGGGCAGATGAGGAGAGGTGGGAGAGAGACAGAAAAGATGGAAGGTCTCTTGAACGTCTTTGTGAAAAAGCAGGGAATAATTTTTCATAGATGGCCATGTGGACTCTTACTTAGACCTTCGACGTGTCTTAGCTGCTGTTGACTGTTTGGTGGCGCCTTGCCAAGCTCACCGACACACTGTCACGTTCACACTTGGGGTATTTTGGACTCACTGTTCCCCTTCCTCAAACACTCACATTATTTACCAAGCTACTGTACAGTATAAACACTGGCTCACTCAACCTTCACACTCACCAGCTGTTGCACCAGGCAGTGACCACTTACTCTGTCATTTAACCTCTGTTTACCCCACTCTCCTCATCAGCTAGAGTGGCACACTGTGCACGCCACAGCCTCGAAGGAACAGAGGACACCAGGCTCCGCTGGAGGGGCCAACGAGTTCCCCAAACCTCCCCAGTGTTGTTGTGCAATAACCCCACCTGAACCCTTCAAACCGTGGCCATGTGTTTGATGCCTTACACTCTGAAAGCTGTGAATGTGTGAAGTACAAAAGTCTTTCTGAATGCCTGAGTCTGTAGCTCCACTCTCACGGTTTGAGTAAATGTGAAAACACTATGGTTTATCTCATGAAGGGGATGAATCGGACAGCTGGTAGCTCAGAGACAGTCCCAGTTTTTAGGGCCTGGTTTGTATATTGCGTGGTTTCACAAGTTAATCCTGTACGACTCTTGTTTTAAGAGAAGATACCGAAACTAATAACCCTTAATTGTACCCCTTAATGTAAAGGATTAATCAGTTAAATGTGTGCCTTGCCATTTTCAGTTTTCATTCTCCAGGAAAGACAACAGTGATATGATCAGTACATAATTTAAATGATAAAATCAACAACAGTATGATTGACAAACAGGACCAAGAGTGTAGACACTGTATGTTAAAGTTGAATGCTGTTTTGGCCATATTAATTTATTAAGTATAAACTCTATTACCAACTCTAGTGTAACCATGACGGTGCAGCCATTTTATTTATTTTTTATACATATTTATTTTTGTCTGTGCTTTTCAAAGCCCGTGATTTAAAATGTTGTTTACCGCTGGGGACGGACGTGTTTGCCAGGAAAGTGTGTCTGAGAATTTGCACAGTCTGAATGAGGAGACGAGATACATGCCCTCAGAATAAAGTTAGTGTTTGTTAAGAAATTAAAAGCAAACTTGGCGACCTGTGTCCTTGACTTACAACAGTGATGACTGTCTTTTAGAAATGTTCATTTATAATTAAGTAATTTTACATGTTGAACTTTCAGGTTACAACTTTTCTTCCAAAAAAAAAAAAAAAAAAAAGGATATCTGAACATTTGAACACAGGCTCATCAGCTGCTGAGTTGTTAGGAAGTGTAGAATTACTTGCGGTTTACATATATCTTCCTGCTCTGTCTATGAGTGGCCTTACTTTGGTGAAAAAAATAAATTACGTGTATCTTTTTAATCTTTTTTTTTTTTTAAATCCTTGTACTCCCTTTGGCTCTCAGCGATGAGGATCGGCCACTTCTTTGCCTGTAATGATGTCAAATAAGTTTTCCAAGTGATGTTCCTTATCATTTTGTACTGTTTATCTTTGATTATATTGTGAATATCAAGGCTGGGTCTGTTTTTTGTGTTATGTTCCCCTGACATTTTGTAAATGTTTCCCTTAAAAGCTCTTTTATTAGTTTGGTATGATGTCAATTAAATGATGTTTTATGGACAGGAGGAGTAATATATGAGACGTGTGCCAGTGACTTTGTTTATAACTGATGGAAGAATATTAAAATGTAACTTTTAATGAAGGATATTACTTTAATATGAGAACCTCAATGTGTGCACATTTTTAAACCGATGACACTCTGTAGAAACCACTAAACCAGATTCCTCTTTGTTACAGTAAATGATCCCCTGTGAATACAAATGTTTCATAGCCATTCTTTAATATTCATGTTCCTCGTGCCAAGTTACAAGTGTTCACTTTTTTTTTTTTTTCTATATTTTCTAAATTTGTTAACCCTTGCACTTTCACTAAATCACTGCAATAGTTAACAAGTACAGTGTAACAGTCACGGTAAATGCATTTTCGTGGTGTTTTCTTTGTATTGTCACTACTCTGAAATGTTGTTGTCACCATGTAAACATTCCCATTCATTAATTTTGTATAAAGTATTTGAGAAGTATCTAGAAATGTGTCCACCTGCTTTTTTCTGCAGATTTTTCTGTCTTACAAATTTGGTGCCAATGGGAAATTTTTTTTCCACTTGAGTTGTTCTGCATCACTTATAAGGCAATTCATTTCAGGTAGTTGAATGTAAATGCTCAGTTAAGCTCATTTGTAATTTGATAGAAATAACTTTGTCATATTTGCTGAAACTGTCACTATATCCTAATTTAAAAGTAGATATTAAGATTTCACCTTGTTGATAAAGCTTATAGTCAGGGCTGGCTCAGGCTTGCCTTGAACCAGCCCCTAGTGAGGCAGATGTAGAGTCTGCCAGAGGACCTACTACGTTACAATGAGCCCCTTCTCTTTTTCTCTCTCTTCAATTCTGAAAAGTTGTTTTTCATTTGTTAAAATCTGTGTCCTATTACTGCATGTCACTAATTCGGCTTCCTCTCCGCAGCCTTTGTGCTCCACTGTCGTGCAGGTTCCCTCAAATTACAGCTACGCCTGGATCACGGGTCATGGTTGCACCACTGCCGTGGTCCTGCCTGATGCCAACTACTGCTGCTATTATTATTGTCATACTTCTAATATTACTATACACATGATTAGTATTGTCACATACATATACTATGGTATATTAATATATACTTACATGTGCTCCAGAATTTTTTTTGATTACCATCACTTTAGTAGTTTTGCTGTCACAAAGACACACATGCATACACACAAGCTCTTTGTATATACTTCATTGTTTTACATTCATTCTCTGTGACCACTTATCCTTGGGCTGGAGCCTATCCCAGCTGACATCGGGCCAGAGGCGGGGTACACCCTGGACAGGTCACCAGGTTACATTTCGGAATCTGTTTCAACTTTTCGGTGCAGGCTGCTGCATCTTTTTTTCTTGCATTTTTAGCATCCCCTGCAGCCCCATAGCCACAGCTAGTCGCAATACCCACATTCACATGAATGGAAGGAACAACATTTTCACCACAGTGCCAAATTGGGGGTGAATGCAGCCTTACGCAGCTGTCAATCACTGCTCTTGAACTGCAGTCAAACTACCAAATTAGGCAGCACTGATCAAATATGAATCAAGATTCTGTTACTGCATTGCCTATTTCTCACCTCAAGTATTCTCAGACATTTTTTTGTGTACTGTTTAGCTGTAAAATGAGAATGTTATCTCCGGCCAGTGAGCAAAACTTGCTCACTTGTTTTCAAGATGGCGGCCAGTTCAGGTCATTTCAATTGAATTGATTTGAATTGAATTCAACATGGCGGCCAGGTCACAAACTTTGTCATGTTACAGCTAAACAGTACATACCTTATCAGCGGGTCTTTACTGCAATTCACGAGCAGTGATTGACATGATTGACTGCGTTAGAAACTCCTCGGCTCTGATCGGTTGTTTTCCTTCAGCTGCGTTAGATTCTTGCAAATGCCAATAGGAGCACTACAAGGAGGAGGCCTAGGACCATGATTTTTTCTACATACTTTCTGTCACATGTACTACTGTCAGGATGTAGTGATGGCCTGGTTGCTGAACTGTTGCACCAGCCTTTCTATATCAAATCAGAAATGTCGTTATGATGTCTTCTATCGGTAACTCCTGTTTAATAGGCAGTTAAAAAAATGCAATATGTTCTTTTGTTTATGCCCTTTTTTTCCACTTTGATTGCCTGGGAATTGATCCACGAGGCATGTTTGGGTGTTTCCTGTTGAGGTCAGAGTTGAATCTTCTCAAAAACAGTAGTCCCATCCATTTTACTACTTTGTAAACATAATGTGTGTGTGTGTGTCTATGTGCATGCACCTTCACACGCGCGTACACACAATAACTAATTTAACAAGCGGTTCATGTTGAGGTCCCCTGGACGACACAGCTTTCCTTTGTGTGTTGGAGCCCAGGTATTAAATTCCATTTCTGAAAGCACCTGCTGTGAAGTCACAATATTCACTCACTCACTTTTAGTGCATCATTATTTATTTTTCTATCCTTTAAAAATGCAACAGATGTCTGGCTTTTCTTTCTTATAAAAGGAGCTGATATAGAAAATACATCCCCAGTCTGAGCATGCGTACCCATCACAAGGTGTGTTACATACCTGACCGCCCAGTTCGCAGCCATAGTGTTGGCCCCTGATTGGCTGGAGCCATACACCTGTACTGTTGTTTTACTGCCCCGTCTCACCATCCAGGTCCAAAGATCGCTGCACTGTTTGCTCAAGCCCTGAGCTGTTAGGCTCAGGGGGATCCCAGCTCTTCCTGCATGAACCTGAAACCTCTACAGTAGGCGCCTCTCTCACCACCACACCACCTCACCTGTCGTCCATCCTGCGTGTCTTTCACCCACCTGGAGGCCCCAGGCGAACCCCCTTCTCTGTTGGCGGCCGGACGTCCAGACGGAGCAAAGACGAGGGCCTGGATTTTACCATATCTGAGGAGGAAGTGAAGGGGAGACTGAAAATTGTAGTTTTTTCCCCCTGTGTTCCTATGTCTGTGTGCAGGACTGAAAGGACACAAGAAATCACATTTTTGTTTGAGGTATGTGGCTGATTTTTATTTGTTTTGCAGACACTGGGGGAAATGGTGAATGTGCAGCACTTGTGTGGAGGAAGATCAGAAAGGCGCTCACATTTTAAACCTGTTGAAATGTGTGAAATGAATGGCTAATCAAAGTCCATGCCTAGTGGCTCAGTCACTTCCGATTCACAATAACACCCTCAAGTTCACAGTTGTGTGAGTGTGACTAGAACAATAACAGAGGGAGTGAAACATGTCCAGGAGCTGGGTTTAGTTTTCTGAATTGTACGCCAACACAAATGAAGGATTTACTTATCTTAAAGATGATTTATTCTTTTCTTTACGTGGAGAACACACTCTTTTTTGACTCATTTTGAAAACCAACACAGGGAAATTAGTGTTTTTTCCTTGCTATATATTCAGCTGCTGATTTCTGGTTGTTTTTATTGTTATGGATTTCACTGTGGAGGTTTCATATTCCTTTATGGGAATGATCTGCTGTTCCAAGATGCAGGAAAAACACACATATGAAACAAATACTTAATTTTCTCCTGTTTTCAACATCTTGGAATTCTTGTCTGATTCTGATTCCTACCAAGTCAAATGTTCATGGTCATTATCGCCCCTTAATCTCTGTGGTTATTGATTATCTGCTATAGATTAAACTATGGTACAAAGGGTTGAGAAGGGAGTGGCATGATGTCTTTACAGCCCTGCAGCACAGATAAACTCTCCAGGATGTCGCCTTATATTACCTCAATTAAAGACGCATGCATGTCGTAGGTGTGCTTTGCACTTAAATGTCATGTTTGGTTAAAATTTTATAGAAGTATGCCTTAAATTTCTTTTTTTTTTTTTAGCTTAAATGTAATTTTTTTTGACAGTTTCTTGACTAAAAATTACAGCTCTTGCTTCTTTGGTGTGCAAAACATCAGGAATCACATGTTATCTGTGTGCATGCTGTATCATTTTGGTGGGTTTTGTTTAGCTTGCAGTTGGCAGTAATGGTAAAAAGTCAAATAATGGTCCACATATTGATGATGCAAGTGGATTAAGTGGACATATCGTTGCTGCATCAAGGCCTTATCGAGCCCCAAAAATATCGACCTTTGTTTTAATCATTCCCTCTTCTGCACCTCTTCCTCATGACTGATTTTCAGCAAATGCTCTCTTTGATGTGTCAAATCTCTACTTTTAATAAGCAATCGTTTCCTCCGCTTATAGGCCGACTAGATTTTTACACTGAACCACCATTGTACGCAACCTCCACCCTCCATAAATAACCTGGTTCCTCCTCTCTTTTGCCACAGTTTCCCCTTTCAGTCACCATCTCTGTATGCTCTGCTTCACAAACTCTTCGTCACTCTGTGATAAGTATACACATGCTCTTTCTCCAGGTGTGAAATATGGAGGACCTGAGCTAAAGATGGGGTCGGTAGTGTCATTCTTTGGTGGGTTATGTGGCAAAGAGGAAAAGAAAGGTGAGATGTGACGCTTACGGAGTTTTTGTAGTTCTTACATCATGTTTGTAACATACAGTCAGTGGACTAATGGACGCTAACACTTCTCTCCCAGTGCTCCTGCAACATCTTCACCCCTCTTGTTTTTAATCTTTTACTTTTTCACAGAGGAGCAGAGGCACTTCCGAGCTAATGACAGGCCTTTCAACCTCTCCTACCACTATGCTGTGAGTACAGAGACAAAGACTTTTTGTGTAATCAAAAGATAAGATCAGATGGGGAGGGACACCTTTTACAACTTTAGCCAGCCATGTGCTGTCCTTACAAATTGAGTTTTCTTAAAGGGTAACTTTGGTATTTTTCAGCCTGGACTCTATTTTCCCATGTTTTTGTGTCAAAGTGACGAATGGGAACAACATTTTTTGAACCTGATCTGGTACTGAGCAAGACCACTGCAGCTAACAGCTGTGAGACAGGTTCAGATGTAACCTATAGGGGCATTTGTGCTCTGTCATTTTACACCCACTAAGAGTGCTTGTTTTTGCCACTGACAGGCTCAGATTGTTATTGTAAGTGTCTGAAAACATTAAGGAAACAATTGTACGAGACAAAAACCTTTAGTTAAAGAGTAAAATCCTTTTGTTTAACGAGAAACAGACTTGAAATCGCTAAACTTACCAGACTTCATTTGAATAAACAGTAATTTTAGGCAGCATATTTTCACATCACACTGGAGGGAATTTAGAGCTTATTTAAAGTAAACCAGAGATGGTGATTGTTGGAAAAGTGGAAAGATGATCTAATATGGTTTTCTGGGTTTCATTTTGGTTCTGTGGACTTTGCATAAGGTGTGTTTTAAGATGATAAAATTACTGTTCATTTAAATGGGATCTGGTGGAGCTGCCTTTGGCAATTTCAGGGCTGGTCCTGGTTAAATCTTACTCAGGATGTTAGAATTTCAGCCCATCAAAGGCAAAAACAAGCACTTAACAAGAATGTAATCGACCTTTAGCTAAGCCCCGCCCCTTTGTGATGGTCCGACAAGCTGTCAGAGTAAGCATGGAGCCTACACTGTAGCTAACTGCACTCCCTGATGAAATATTAAAATATTGTTGGAGAAATGAAAGAGTGATTCCAGAGAGAAGCAGACAGAGGGGTCTACAGTCTGTGTTTGAAGGATATATCCAGGATGTCAAACTGACTCAGCAGCAACAACAGGTGAAAAAGACAAAGATAGTTAGAAGCTAAAGCCGAACTATAGGCTACAGATCACAGTGTAAAAGTGAACCACCACATCACTGCTGATCGCCACACAAGACAATGAATATAAAGGGAAACTTTGCTGATGTTGAACCAGCTGTGTGGCATCACAGTGTGTGCAGATGAACGGTGTTTGGCTACGTTATGATTGGCCAGTCTGCGTCTAGGGGGCGGGACTTGGTGAAGGGCTTATTGACTGACATTGATGTCACATTGCAGCCTGTTTCACCGCTTCTGATGTTTCAAAAATTGTTTCCATGAGTCATTTAGACACAAAAATATGGAAAAAATAGGGTCCCCATGGGAAAATACCAAACTCCTTTACGTAAAAGCCATTTCACATCATGTCTGAGTACACATCGCTGTAGCTGTCATCTGCTTTTGTCACATTCATGTCACTTTCCTCTACTTCAGGACAACGCCATCAAGACCTCCAAGTACAACCTTTTCACCTTCCTGCCACTTAATCTCTTCGAGCAGTTCCAGAGGCTCGCCAATGCCTACTTCCTCTTCCTCATGGTCCTTCAGGTAGACACTTCTCTTTGTTTACCTTCTCTACGACTGTTAGTGGGCTCTACACGTTTCAGTTTTTTAGGAATTCTCACAAATTTCTCAAGAGTATTTATGCTCACTGATCATAGAACAAATTTATTTCTTATCCACATAATAATTAGAGAAGAAATTTTACCTTTGAGAGTATTTAGCTTCCAGAATATTTGATTCCTGTGTCAATAGTGCATCATTTAATACAGATGCAAGGTATTAAGTGTGTATGTGTGTGTGTGTGTGTGTGTGTGTGTGTGTGTGTGTTCTGTTGACAGGTTATCCCACAAATCTCCTCTCTGTCCTGGTTCACCACGGCCGTCCCTCTGATTTTGGTGCTGTCTATAACAGCAGTCAAAGATGCCAGCGATGACATAGTAAGCTGAAATCATAATAATCGACTGGGACTAAACACAGCTCTGTGTTCAATAAGTAAAGACTAATGCGGCTCAGAAAATAAGGAACTGAATTCAAAAATGTAATTTAATGAAAATGATTTCACTGTTTGTTGTTCCGTCTGAGTAGAACAGACACAAAAGTGACAAGCAAGTGAATAACCGCATGGTGGACGTCCTCATCGATGGAGAGTGAGTCATTTAAATCTTACATTGTAGAAATACACAGCTGTAAAACAGTTTTGAGCTTTAAAAGGACATCTTTTTGTGCAGTGTTGTGATTTCATGATGTGTTTTATTTTTCCATTTTTTTCTGGCAGACTTAAAAGTGAAAAATGGATGAATGTTCAGGTTGGAGACATAATCAAACTGGAGAATAATCAGTTTGTCACAGTAAGTATGGAGATACTAGAACAAAGGTTCATTTGTATTTTCAAGGGAATGTTAACTGTTGCATTATTGCATTTTATAGCATATGTTTTTATGCTTTTAGTGATAACAGCAACTCTGAGTCTAAGGCAAAGTTCCTATATGTGATAATAAAGTTTATCTCATCTTATTATCTTATTTATTTCCAGCTGTCCATACTGTATTTAATCTCTGGTTCTGATTTCAACTGGTTCTCTTCATATTTATCCAAGAGATCCTTCTTTGTCTCTATCAGTACCTCATTTTCTTCCTCGACTCCCATCTCCTGTGGTGTACCCCAAGGCTCCATACTTGGTCCAATGCTCTTCTCCATTTATTTACTTCTGTTAGGCGGCATTATTGAAAAACATTACAATTCTTTTCACTGCTATGCGGATGACACGCAGATCTACCTCCCCTTAGAGCCAAACAACATCAGCAAACTAAATGAACTCAGTAACTGTCTTCATGGCTGCAAATGTTCTCCAGCTCAATGAAAGCAAAAAACTGACGCTATTTTATTTGGACCAGAGCATTTGACCAGCATTATTTCTCCTCATCTTGGCCCATTGGCCCTCTCTGTTAAATCACATGTTAAGAATCTTGGAGTCTTATTCAATTCGGAGTTTGACACTTAAGTTTCATGCAGCAATTCTTTGTACATCTGACCTGGAGAAAGGCATGCCATGCCTTCATTTCCCCCTGCCTGGACTATTGCAATTCATTTTATTTTGGTATTACTCAGTCTTGTTTATCTTCTCTTTAACTAGCACAAAATGCAGCAGCAAGAGATTTAACACTGACTGTTTGTTTTTAAAGTGCTATTGAAATAAAGTTGACTTGACGAGGCTAACGCTTTCATTCTTAGGCAGACCTTTTGTTGCTGTCCAGCAGTGAGCCTCTCAACCTGGTCTACGTAGAAACAGCTGAATTAGATGGGTGAGTGTGCAGTGCTCTGTGTGCACGCGCGTGTGTGTGTGTGTGTGTGTGTGTGTGTGTGTATGCGTTTGTGTGTGTAAGCATGGCTGACGGCTGATGTCCCCAACTGTCTTGGATTTCCCTTCATTTGAATCCTTCTCATGTCGTCCTGGTCTCCCCCAGTGAAACCAATCTGAAGGTGAAACAAGCCCTGACTGTAACTGGAGACATGGGGGACAGCATTGATGCACTGGCTAAATTCAATGGTGAGAAGCTGAAAACGAAAAACAACACCAACAGATTTTTAGAATTGCAGTATGGCTTCTCAAGGTGCAAGTATGCTTTCCTCACAGGTCTGTACCCCTTAAAAACAGGTGTTATATAGTCTATAACTCCTCATACTCCCACTCAAAACTTGTGAGCTGTTAACTTGGATGTGTTGCTGACATTAACCTCTCTCTCAGGTGAGGTGCAATGTGAACCTCCCAACAACCGTCTGGACAAATTCAAAGGAACCCTGAGTCTGGACGGACAAACCTACTCTCTGGACAACGACAAGGTGCTGCTCAGAGGATGTACTCTGAGGAACACTGAGTGGTGCTTCGGTCTGGTCATCTTCGGAGGTTAGTAGTTCTTGCATGGGGACTTCTAAGTGTCAGCAGGGGGCGCTTATGCTTCACACTTAGGACCGTTCCAGTGGGAAAAATCATCTATTATACTCTACTTAACAGTGGCTCAAAGCTGCTGTCTTTGGCTGTTGAAGCGTTACCACCACTTTGGGAAAGGACAAACCTGCATTCAGTTTGCATATTAAATGCTAACGTTGGACTTTGAGCTTTCGACTGATAAGAAATTATTGTTATTAATAATTATATGAAATCCACCAGCCTATTTAACTGATGGCAAAAAAGAAGCTAAACTAAACCTAAGAAAGGGAAACTATATTTGGAGAGATTGCCCCCCTTAAGAAGCCAGAAAAAAGTTCACGCACCCCCTATCCTCAAATTTAATTTAATTTCATTAATCAATATTAACATAACTGGGGAAGCAATGTAACCATAGTTACTGTACACATTATATTTTTGGGTTATTTTAGTTACTTGAGACACCAATACTAATTAATGTATTACACTGTACTGTTAAAAAATGAATGTTTTTGCAGGAATAATTTTTTTTTTTGACAGAATTAATTTGAATTTTTACATACAGTCATTTTTCCTTTATCATCAGCGGTATTTCAACTATTTTTTTTTAATTTATATTTTTTCACATGTACCTTTAAGTTGCTATTTTATGTCCCCTTAGCCTTAAGTGAGACTGAGAGTAACTATAGTTCCTACCTGACATTGTTTACAGGGGACAGGTGTTAGTGTTGCAGTTAGAGTGAAGCGGTGTAAACAAAGTGTACTCACAAAAGTAAAGTGCAAATACAATTTTCTAGAATAGACTAAACATTATGTATTAGTGACAAATAAAATGTATCTGAGGCAGGTTTTCCCTTCAAAACAGTCTCTGCATGTGCTGTAAACATGCCTCTATCTGCATGCATGTCAGTGTGTATCAACGGGAGGTTGAATCTTTCCAGGTCCTGACACCAAGCTGATGCAGAACAGCGGGAAGACTACATTCAAACGGACGAGCATCGATCACCTGATGAACGTCCTGGTGTTGTGTGTGAGTTTCATGTACACGCTCACTGTCACAGGAATACACATGAGCTGACATGTAGCCATGTATCTGTCTCGAAGTATCTTTAACACACATTGAAATGAATCCTCAAACTAATCAGGAGCATTGAGTAAAATTTGGAAAGCTTCTTGGCATAAATGGAGGAAATGCAGTTGGGGTTTTCATCTGTATTCTAGTAAAACTACTAGGAGGTAACTTACCAGTGCTGTGTCTCTTTGCACTTGTTCTTAACACAGTACAAGTCATTTAAAGTCACTGATTACTAAATGCTCTTTGACTACCCTCATAAAAGCATCTGTCTGTCAGATCTTTGGTTTCCTGGCGTCCATGTGCACCGTTCTGGCCATCGGCAACGCGATCTGGGAGGTCAGGGAAGGCTCAGTTTTCACAGTCTTCCTCCCTCGTGATCCGGGGGTCGGCGCCGCTCTCTCATCCTTCCTCTCCTTCTGGTCCTACGTCATCATCCTCAACACGGTGGTGCCCATTTCTCTCTACGTCAGGTACATTACAGCACAGACAGTGAAATCAGAAAGCAGCGAAAGATGTTGTGACAAGTTCAGATGCAAAGTTGTTCTGTTTTGTGTGTCGCTGTCAGTGTGGAGATCATCCGTCTGGGCAACAGCTTCTTCATAGACTGGGACAGAAAGATGTATTACCCCAAGAACGACACCCCTGCCCAGGCGAGGACCACCACACTCAACGAGGAGCTGGGCCAGATCAAATACATCTTCAGCGACAAGACCGGCACCCTGACGCAGAACATCATGACTTTCAACAGGTGCTCCATCAATGGCAAAGCCTACGGTGAGCGTCTCTGCTTGTATACAAGCTCCAGAGCTGAACAGACACACCAGCATGGGCTGAATGATTCATTTTGGAGTGTGTTTCTCTGTCATTCAGGGGAGGTGTTTGACTTTTCTGGTCAAAGGATGGAAATAACAGAGGTGAGAGGAGATTACTGAGGCATGAATGTGAGTCTTGTGTAAAGTTTGTGTGTGACTCCAACTCTTCTGTTCCTCTTGTCTGTTTCTTTGTCCCTGCAGAAGACAGCGAAGGTGGACTTCTCCGATAACAAGCTGGCTGATCCAAACTTCATCTTTCATGACCACAGTTTGTTGGAGACTGTGAATGAGGGGAACCCAAAGGCGCAGGCCTTCTTCCGCTTGCTGGCTCTGTGCCACACCGTCATGCCTGAGGAGAAGGAGGAGGGTGAGCGCCCTGTAATGTCATGGTTCACAACCTTTTTCCTCAAGGGACCACTTTTGTACTATTGAGTCAACTGACGAGCCCCGAATATGTGACATATTTATGGATGTTTTATATTATATTGAGCACTGAACAGTAACAGTACAGTACAACTGATAAACTGTACAGTTAACCCCATTAGTGAACACGATAACTGAAGGAAGTCTGCGCAGAAAAAGAGCGATTTTGATGAATTTTGAGCAGATTATTTCCTCTGAATATTCAGAGATGAATTTTCCTGGTATTCTTTATGTATTTTTAAAATTTTTAACACATACATAACTAAAATTTAATATTTTCTTCTTCTCCCTGACGCTTGGTCGTTGTTCTGTTAGCTCTTTAGTTGTTGTAAGGGACTGTTCTCTACTTATCAGGGGTGGCTGGGGTGTGACTTTGTTTGTTATTATTTATTAATTTATTTTGACCCTCCCTGAAGCTACAGATATTTTTCCTTGAGCCTCCCTGAGTGACTGGGAGAAAATGTATGACCCTCCCTCCACTATAAATTAGTTTTACTTTTTAAAACTTACCGTTTGGTGTTTGGAAGTGAAAAGTTAAAAAGGTAAAGCCACAATCCCGGAGTTTTTTATTCTTATTCATGCTAGTTAGTTATGCAATTGGTTTATTTTTAGCCACATTTTAAATCAAATGTAGAGTAAAGTCGTTTTGATGAAATATCGCTATTTTAAGCTCAGATTTGTTTGGGTTTTTTTTTTTTTTTTCTGAGGTATTCATCACACATGATGTGTCCAAGGAGTGTCGGAAGTTTGAAAATCCACCAAAGGTTTTTGTTTTTACAGTTTCTTGCTGTGATAAATAGTGTAATTTTGATGATGTAAAAACAAAACAAAACATATCTAACCATATCTTTTTTGTTTTTTTTTAATTGGCAATTTAATAAATTCAGAATACAGCCATTTAAATTTTTATGTCCCTCCTTTTAGCCAAAATAAAAAAACACCATTGCCCCCCCGCCTTTTTGAACCCCCCCCCCCCAAATAACAGTCCCTAACTGTGTTTTTCATTTTTTCATTTTATTTTATTTTATTTTATTTGTTGTATTTATTTATTTTATTTTGTTTTGTTTTATTTTACTTTACTTAACTTTACTATAATTTATTCAATCATCATTCCCTTCCCCCTTTTTGACCCCCCCCCCCATAAATAACAGTCCCTAACTGTGTATTTATTTTTTCATGTCATTTTATTTTATTTATGTATTTATTTATTTTATTTCATTTTACTTTACTTTACTTTATTCAAAAACCATTCCCTCAGTTCTACACCATGCCTTATTCTGTGAGATTTTGTAAGAAGTTTATATCTCGAATGATAATTTAAACTTTAAAAATAACAATTTAATTTTGTTTTCTTCAGAGAAATTGATGACATGCTGAGATTTGGCCTACTGTATGTATTTTTAAATAGATTTTTTAAACCCTTTAAATCCAAGAAGGCCTCACGACCTCTCATGCAGCAGTTCTGTAATGTATTGCTTTATTACTACATGGGAAATAGCTCTAAAGGTTTAAAACAGAGGATCTACATTGCTTATTTTGTCCTGAATAATACAGATCCCTCTTCCTTTTTACTCTCATATCTTTTTCCTCTTCATATTCACCATTCAGCAGCTCCAGGATAAGATGATTGAAAATGTATTCAAACCACTCTAAGATCTGAAAACACTTGACTTCAGTGCCCTCCAGTGGTGACAGACAATAATGCACCTAGTTTTTTTTACATATTAACTTCTTTTTTTTCTTTTCCTCTCCTGTCATCTTCATCTCCTGACAGGCAAGCTGTACTATCAGGCTCAGTCTCCTGATGAGGGCGCTCTGGTGACAGCAGCAAGAAACTTTGGGTTTGTGTTCCGCACACGCACACCAGAGACCATCACGGCAGTGGAGATGGGCCGAATGATCACCTATGAACTCCTGGCTGTTCTTGACTTCAATAATGTGCGCAAGAGAATGTCAGTCATAGGTGAGAGAGAGTAGAGGCATAATATTTGGGGTGTCTGTGTTTTACAGGTTGTGAGAATATGGTTTGGGTTGCAACAGATTTTTTAAATTGGAGGTTATATTTGAGAACTTTCCCATAGAAATGAAATCCAACTGCCTGATTTTGAACTTTCGGTACCATTTCATCACATATGATATGAAGCAGCCTACTTTATTCATGGTTCTGATGATGTTGCTTGTAATTAACACCCACCTCTTCATCATGAACATGCTCATGGCTGGATAGGAAAACCCAGAGTTGACTGAACTAGTTGATAACCAGCTTTGTAGTATCCATTATCCAGACAGTCAATGTTAGGGTTAGTCAAGCCAGATAATGGAAAAATATCCTGGGTAGGTTGAACTGGCTTCAAGCTGCCCAGTACCTTCAAAATAAAAGCATTAACAAGTGCTTAAAATGAACTAAAATAATGATACCAATCTTGTAATCAAGAAAACCCAGAGTTAACCCTGAAGTTACCTCGCTAACTTTGAATCCTGCTTCGTAACACAGGCTTAAAAACAATGAACAGCGCCAACAGATGTCTTCAATGGCCCCCACGAACTGAAATTTCTGTGTCCAGTATGTTCATTTAAATTCATGTCATCATGCCAGTCTGTCATGAAAGTTTGCTAAGCGACTTCCACCCTGATTTCCAGTGCGCAGCCCCGAAGGCAAGCTGACTCTATACTGCAAAGGAGCAGACACGATCATCTTTGAAAGGCTGCACCCGTCCTGTAGCAGACTGGTGGATGTTACCACCAGTCACCTCAACGTGAGTGATGCAGTTGGATGTTTGTGATGTGTGTGCCGATATAAACAAATGTATATTCCGAAATTCTCAGGACCTTTGTTTTAAACTGCTCTGAATTGATGCACTAAAATAGGAGTATGCAGGTGACGGCCTTCGTACTCTGGCACTGGCCTACAAGGACCTGGATCAGAGCTACATGGATGAATGGCAACGGCGGCACCACGAGGCCAGCACTGCCATGGAGGATAGAGAGGAGAGACTTGATCAACTTTATGAGGAGATAGAGAAAGACCTACTGGTTAGTCCACCTGCTGAACACTTGGCTAGATAGTTTGACTCAACGATTGGCTGGTTAAGTCCTCGTTAACTGAAGTGCCGATAAAACCAGCATTGCTTTATCAGCATGTTTTTTTCTGTGATTTTAAGTCTACTAGCGAAAGAATCTGAGCATGGCTTTTAAAAATGTTGCTTTCAAAGTACAGTATTGGAAAATCACATCACCAAGCTGTGTTCTGTGGTGTGTAGCTGCTGGGAGCGACAGCTGTGGAGGACAAGCTGCAGGACGGCGTACCACAGACCATCGAGCAACTGGCTAAAGCTGACATCAAAATCTGGGTGTTGACCGGAGACAAACAGGGTCAGTGTCACATATTCTGGTTCATATCATACGTTTTAAGATGGGTGAGGTAACACAGTGATATAAGATATATATTTTTATGCTCTCTCGCTGTTAATCTCAATGTGTCAGGAACTCAGAGAGTGAACATTCGGCACGTTTGATATATGAAATGCATCACAGTAACTGTAAACATTGATGTTTTGAAACAGAGACAGCGGAGAATATCGGCTATTCCTGCAACATGCTGAGAGAGGAGATGAAGAAGATTTTCATCGTGGCGGCCAATACAGCTGAGGGAGTCAAAGAGGAGCTACAGTAAGTCAGATAGAAAGAAACAACTGCAGCACATGAAGTATCTGCTGATCACAAGCTCTTTCAGCATACTGAATGAAAGTTGTATCATTTAACGGGTAATTTTTCCAACATCAACCTATTTATATAACCAGGAAAAAACAAATATCTAGTTACTTGTGCAAGTAGGTAACACTCACAACACACAAGTACTAAATTTCACTAGAACTTTAGTTTGAATCAGGTAGGATTCCCAATCTTCCGTTTTTTTTACATTTTTTGTTTGTCTCAGACAGAAACTGCGGGTTTATGACAAGTCGTGCAATTACAGCTCCTATACAGTGTAAAGTGAACTGGATGTGCTCCTCTCTGAACAGATATTTTTCTTACTTAAACAGGATTCATACTTGTGTGACTGCTCTATGCAGAGCCTACGCCATAGCCTACACATGCGGCCGACGCCAGTGTGAGCATTCATACTTGTGCGGTGGTGTGTCTGTGTCACTCTGCAGTTACACCTCCAAAATAATAGTCGGCGGCAAGGTGTCTGTGAAGTGCTGTAAAGTGCTGTTAGTTGATTCAAAACACACATTAAACACACATTAAACATGGCTTAATGGAGACAATTTCAAACACAAGTACACAAATCAGCTTCACTATAACTCGCAGCATTCACAGACAAACACTTGTCTTTATCTGGACACGTTTTCCCCACAAATACAACATGCTAATGTTTTTAGCACAAGCCTATGGCATTTTACATTGTATAAATTAGCCTAGCAGCTAGCAGACTTTTCCTCTACTCCTTGAAGCCAGGGACAACAGCAACATTTAACAAAGGTAACGCTACAAAATTCGGCTCCATTACAACTCACAAGGTTCACTGACAAAACAACTGTCTTGTACTGAACACGTTTTCCAAACAAATACAACATGCTAATGTTATTAGCACAAGCCTATGGCATTTTACATTGTTTAAATTAGCCTAGCGAGATTTCCTCTGCTCATATGAAGCCAGGATAAATCACACACGAGACTTAAAATGCTATTTTTGTGGAGGCTTTATTGTCTTCACAATTTATTGTTTCTTATCTGTGAAATTAAAGTAAATAAAAGCTTTGTTTCCACTGAGGGAAATGGTTTCAGCTTACAGAAATAGACAGGAGGTCTGCATCGCCACAACGTGTTTATATTTCTGGGGAGGTGCGCATCAGGCTGACAGCCTGACAGGCCTGCTTTGCCTAGTTACACCTTGCCTAGTCATCTCAGGTTTGTCAGTTTACACAGATTAAGATTTTCTTCATCACTAACATTCCTACTAAAGGAGGAGGCATTTTAGAAGGCCACTCAGGAGGCAATATATTTACTGCTAAACACCCATGAAGGAGAGGAGTGCCTGATTAACATTTATCATTAAACTCATTGGCATGTTAATACTTAAGCCCCACTGACATCATATTTTAAGTGTTGATGGCAAGTCTTTTGGCAACTAATAAGTTCAAGTTCATTTGCTTCTATCCTAAACACATTATTTTCTAAAGAAATACAGTTCATAAAAAAATTGCTGAGCTTTTAATGAACTCACGCAGCCATGTCCATGTCCTCCTGTTTCCAGGAATGCAAGAAGGGAAATGTGTCCAGAAGCTGCAGAGGAGCCATCTGTGGTCAAAGCTCATGCAGGTCTGTTTTGGCTTCAGAAGACAGAGACTGTGCAGGATGAAAAGGTGGACGGAGAATATGCCCTAGTTATTAACGGACACAGTCTGGTAAGACGGCTTTTTGGGGTACATATCTATTTTTACTAGCTGCTGATTTGACAAGAAATTTAGTGTCTTTTTGCCTCTATAAATATCATTGATCCAGAAAAAGTCCTGCTGGATGTCCTCTTTTTTATTTCCTATTTTTATTTTTTATAAAGTTGCTTGGCCAGGCCCATAAGGTGACTTACACTTGCTGAAAAGTCACCTCATTGTACAATTAAAACACACACATTGGCATTTTTAGGCTCAGAATATAAATTAAACTACTTTTAGGTCGATCAAGGATTAATTATTTCTTCACTAGCTTCATTAACCGTATTCCTAACAGTATGCAGAGGACTTATTTTTAGTGTTTGGCTGAGTGGGATTGAGTGGTTGTGTTGGGGGTACTTGACCCATGACCTCATTACAGTCCTCTAATCCCGTCTTCCCTTTGGTCCTCAGGCCTTTGCACTTGAGAAGAACTTGCAGCTGGAGCTGCTTAGGACAGCATGTATGTGTCAGACAGTGATTTGCTGCAGGGTCACCCCTCTGCAGAAGGCCCAGGTGGTTCAGCTGGTAAAGAAATACAAGCAGGCTGTCACTCTGGCCATTGGGGACGGGGCCAACGATGTCAGCATGATCAAGGGTGAGCTCATTCATCTCAGATGCTATTACAAGGACAGCAGTAGAACCAAACAGCTAGAAAATGCTTACTGTTACTCATTATGTGTCTGTCCGTCTTTCAGCTGCTCATATCGGTGTAGGTATCAGCGGTCAGGAGGGCATGCAGGCTGTTCTCTCCAGCGACTACTCCTTCGCTCAGTTCCGTTACCTTCAGCGCCTCCTGCTGGTGCACGGTCGCTGGTCCTACCTACGCATGTGCAAGTTCCTGCGATATTTCTTTTACAAGAACTTCACCTTCACCTTCGTGCATTTCTGGTACGCCTTCTTCTGCGGCTTCTCTGCACAGGTGAGGGACATGTTCATAATTGATTGGCTACAGGCACAGTGAGTCATCTTGTAAGGGTCAGTCTAAGAATAGTGCAAACTGACTTTTTGAGTCTGTGTTTCGATTCAGTTTTAATGTTATGCTATGATGTTGAATGATGTCGTCCCTCAGAAGTGATGTCATGACAAGCTGCACATAAAGAAGTATCTGCTGTATGTATTAGAGATTACAGAATATGTGTTGCAATGTTCAGGGGATGCTCAATATAACATGAAGATCATACAATATAATACATGCTGCTCCACAAGACCACAAATCACAGTCTCATTAATTACCATAAAGTTAAAACAACACCTCCCACAATTCCAAAATGAACTAAATATTGTGGCCTTCATAAAAGTATTAATCGCTGGCTTGTTTAAGTGCACTGCAACAACCCCTCAGATGTCCCCTATATGCTTAAATCAAATTCAAGAAACCTGTATGCACGGTTGTCCATCCACAAAACAAAAATTTAAAGGGACGGTTCACTCCCAAAATCAAAAATACATATTTTTCCTCTTACCTATAGCGGTGTTTATCAGTCTAGATTGTTTTGGTGTGAGTTGCAGTTGTCACCCAAATAGATGTCTGCCTTCTCTCAAATATAATGGAACTAGGTGGCACTTGGCTTGAACTACATTGAACTACACCCTGCAACCGTATCACCTGGCAAAAGCGTGCATCTACTCATAGACAAGAGGCTCATGCTCAAGACAGCGTGAGATATAAAAAGTTGGCATCGTCCTTGGCTGAGATGTAACATCAGCTAGCTCAGTGGTGCTAGATGAGCTAACAGTAGATGCACACTTCCTTCTGCGCCGTGATATGTTTTCCATGAAACTGTTCACAGCAAGGTCTGTGGATTATCTTGAGTAACCAGGTCATGATTTCTACAAAGAGACATTGCTGTTGAGTTTATCAAATGTATTTTTTTTATGCTTTGAGCTCCACAAACAGAGTGACATCTAGTTCCATTATATTGGCTGTTAACTCCAACACTCAGTAACTTATGCCAAAACAATCTAGATTGACAAGTAATACTACTGAGGGGTATTCCAGGAGGTTCAACAAACTCTGAATCTAACCCTGAACTCTGAACTGATTTACCCTGAGATGGGAAACTCTGAGTTACCGGTTCCAGAACAGCTGATTTGAGTTAGTTCAGTCAACTCTTAGTATGTTCACTCTGTGTTAAGCCTACAATAAAAAGCCATCATCAATGGAGCTCCGACTCCATGATTCACCATGGCAACAGGTAAATAAAAGACAGCGCCTCCATTTTAATCCAGTGGATGTAGAGATATTAATGCATGTGTAGCAGACGGTGCACGTTTATCTTTAAAAGAAGAGCCTGAGTCAGAGCGAGGAAAGTGTAAATAAGTTAACCATAAAGTTAATAAAAAAGTTTATTCATCATTTATCAGACTTACATTTCCTTAATGAAGATAAAGTGGTGGAATCTGACTGTGTATCAGGCTGTAGAATCATTACATTATATTAATAATATATAATAATATATTTGTTCAGATTTAATCTGATGGGGAAAAACACAGGAGGCAGCAACTGAAAAATAGGAAGATTTAAAACATATAGGCTAGGCTATAGATCAAAGACATAAAGACATGACTGTAAACTCACAGTCTGACCCAGTAATAATATGTTTGGTGATTTGCACTTGAAAAGACGTTGAGGTTAAAATACAGTAGATTTTAAAATGTTGCACATCTATTTGTATCTTGACTCAACAGCATTCAGTGACTTTATTTCAGCTACAAATGTAGTAAATTTAAAGACACTGAAATGCTGCACCATTGCTCACTCAGAAATATTAACATATAATCCCCAATATTAGGCTATAGGAATTATGTTCCATCAGTGCGACCAATGACATCAGTGATAGAGATCATTAGTCATTGATACTACGTGTCTAAAGCTTCATACCGATTTTTAAAATTTAAATAATTAGACCTACACATTATGTGCAATAAACATTTGGGAGCTGCTCTAACAGACTGACAGTCTGATCCTTGTGCACAGTGTTATAAAAAATAATAAATATAAAAAGGACAGAGGTTTGATTCTGAGCTGAGGGTGAATTCTCGCTGTGTAATATTTGAATGTTAAGACAAAAGCTGATGTCCAAAGAAATGATTGATGTGCATAAATTCAGTAACTTAAGACAGTCCTGAGTAACAAACTAATATCCAGCAGGATTTAGACTGTGACAGATGGTAAATCTCCACTAATGAATGCGCTTCGATACAAGCTTTGACACGGACTGAATGAATGAGGAAATGAAACAGCGTGTAAGAGGGAAGAGACAGAGAAAAACTCAGGGTTTATTGAAGAAAACCATGTTCACAGAGTCTGTTACCATGGTGACCAACTCAGAGTTTCAGTTACCTCTCTTTCTGGAACGGATAACTCAGAGTTTCCCTCATCTCAGGGTTAACTTACTCTGAGTTTTCACATAACCCGCTTTCTGGAATACCCCCCGGGTAAGAGGAAAAAATGTGTTTTTAATTTTGGGATCAACTGTCACTTTAAAAGCAAAATACAAATTGCAACAACTTTTTTGATGAACATACGATTGTAGGCATGTCCTCCTGAGACCTCAGCTTCTCTTTGGTACACATTTTTACAGTCTCTGAGCTGTTTGGGATCAGTAGGACCCGATACATATAAAAACTAAACACTGTCTTTGAACAGGAGGTAGTTTTAGATATCCTCATATGAGGACATTAGGTTTATTTGTAATAGTTACAGTGTGTCATAAAGAATAAAACAGTGTCTGTGATTTGTTCATTTAGAGACTCTGCATTAATTTTCCTCTTTTAAAACTCCAAGCAAGGAACGTCCTTTTGTCTGCAGAGACAGTCTGACCATAAAAAAGTCCCAGCATCCTCAAATAAAGACCCAATGTCCTCAGAGGAGTACTTCCTAATTAACGGCGTCCTCTCTTTTTACTGTTGCTAAAATTGGTCAAATGTGTTGCCATATCAGACAAGTTACAACCATAAAATGTGATCAGGTTTTGGAAGTTGTCGACGTTTGTGTCGGGATCGGCTGCAGACTGACTTGGCAGAGATGGCTGCCATCTTGTTTTTACATGGTTTAGTGTATTGTGCTCTTACTACCACTAGATGGCACAAAAAGTGTCCACGGACGAGGACAACAGGTCTGAGTTAAGCAGAATGAAGTATAAGGTGCAGCAAACCCAGAATGTGATGTCATCATATGAGGACACAAGGTCTCAGGAGGATAGACATAAGTGCGTACCAGTTTCTCAATGCTGTATTTACATGTTTAATGTTTCCTCTGTTGTTCTTGTTCATAGACTGTGTATGACGATTGGTTCATCACCTTGTACAACCTGGTTTACACAGCTTTGCCCGTGCTTGGCCTCAGCCTCTTTGACCAGGTATGCACTAAGAAAATTGTTGTAAATACCTCCAAAACTCAAATCTGACACCCACATCTGTATCCTTTACACTTTCTCACGTCTCTTTCTAATCCTCTGTTTCCGTAGGATGTAAATGACCGCTGGAGTTTCCAGTACCCTCAGCTCTACTCTCCAGGCCAGCTCAACCTGTATTTCAGTAAGAAAGCCTTTGTGCGCTGTATGCTACACAGCTGCTACAGCTCCCTCATCCTCTTCTTCATCCCGTGGGCCGCCATGCAGGACACGGTCCGAGATGACGGCAAAGACATCGCAGACTATCAGTCCTTTGCTTTGTTGGCACAGACCTGTCTGCTGGTTGTGATGAACGTACAGGTGAGGAGAACAGTTCCTGTCCCAAGAAGCATCACAGCACACTGCAGGTTCTTATACACATGAATTAACATGCACCAGAATAAAATATAAATACGTTTTTCAGCTGTGTCTGGACACACACTACTGGACCGCAGTGAACCAGTTTTTTGTGTGGGGCAGCCTGGCCGCTTACTTTGCCGTCACAATGACCATGTACAGCAACGGCATGTTTCTCATCTTCACTTCCTCTTTCCCCTTCATCGGTGAGTAGATTTAGCTCATCTATGGAGGCAGAGAGGTTGTTAATGCCCATGTCTTCAAATTTTTAGTATACAATACTCTAGAGTTGTAAAATAATAAACACTTTTACTTTGTGATTCTGACTACTGGTCTGTTACTTTTGGAACTCCAGGCACCGCAAGGAACTCTCTGAACCAGCCTAACGTGTGGCTCACCATATTCCTGACTTCCCTCCTCTGTATTCTGCCTGTGGTGGCTTTCCGCTTCATTCTCATTCAGCTCTGGCCCACCATCAACGACAAGGTGAGATAACACATGAGACGACTATCAAACCATCTTGTCTTTTATGCATCCTTTTTTTATCACCTTGATGAATAAAGTTATCATTCTCTGACTGACATGATATGTCTTACGGCAATGCAGCATTTGAACTCGGCCCTCCCAGGTTACAGTTTGGATTGTGATGTGAATAAGGCAGCAAAAGCGATCAAAAAGAATGACTGTCATGATATTAATCAACCTGCGATTTTTACCCACAGATGTTTCGAGCAGTCTTGTATGCTTAATTAAATACATATTCCTAAAAACCTGAAGCATGAATGTCTTTAATACTGTCTGTGCTGGAACATCTGTATTCCACCCTCTGTCTGAGATGCTCCTTTTTATTACCTGTCAACATTTCTCAGTGTCTTGTCATTGTAGCCAGGGAGCATGAATGTAGTCTCGCCACCAGACAATCAGAGATCTCCACCTTCTGATAGTCTGGGGACACTCCTTTCTAAAGTGTGTTTAACACACCGGCGAAAACAGCCGGCAACAAAGCAACACCTCTTGCATTCTTCTCGGAAATGTGCGCTCCCCCTTTTCTCTTCCGAAAGGAAACAAACACACAGAGAGCTTGAAAATGGATGCTGAGAGGTTTAACTCTGTTTTATCAAATGTGTGCTCAGTCCACAAGATTGTGGAAATGAAGGACTTACAGCGACTTGAGCCATTTTGTACCGCTGCACGTGTTTCTAGTCGGACTATGTTTATAAGCACAAGAGTTCAGCGAGCCACCGAAGGACCATCCTGCGGATTTACTATTGGTTCTGCAATGTAGGGAGTTTTTTTAAACTCTGAAATTGTATCCGCCCATCTAAACACAAAATCATGGAGAAAGTCATCAGTCTTTAGTTAAGCAAAGCGTCTAAAGACTGACTTCAGAGTCTAACATGAATGTAACAGAGAATAGCACCTTCTACGTGAAAAATTACCCATAAATGCTTCTAAACACAACAGGACATGTTTCAGCAGGAATATGATCCGAAATCTGGGGGAAATTCAAAACCTCAGCAACCAGGATCATGTTTCCCTGACATTAGCATGTAGCTACATGTAGCAGTGTATTTGCAGGCAGGGAATGACTGTGTTAAGCGGCACTTTCCTCCGTTAAACATCACTAATAAAAATGCTACTGGACATATTACAACAGGAATATGATCTGATATCTGGGGGAAATTGGAAACCTCAGCAACCAAGATCATGTTTCTCTGATGTTAGCATGTAGCTACATGTAGTATATTTGCAGGCAGGGAATGACTATGTGTAGCGGCACTTTCTTCCGTTTAACATCACTAATAAAAATGCTACTGGACAGGTTCCAGCAGGAATATGATCCAAAATCGGGCTGAAATTAACATCGGCAACCACAATCACATTCCCCTGATGTTAGCTTGTAGCCATATGTTTCAGTGTTTGCAGTCAGAAAATGCCTGTGTATAGCGGCACGTTCTCCTGTTAAACATCACCAATAAATATTTCTAAACACAACAGGACATGTTCCAGAAGGAATATGATCCAAAATCTGGGGGAAATTTAAGACATCAGCAACCAAGATTATACGTTTCCCTGATGTTAGCATGTAGCTACATGTAACAGTGTGTTTGGAGCCAGGGAATGACTGTGTATAGCGGCACTTTCTCCTTTTAAACATCACCAATAAATATTTCTTAACACAACAGGACAGGTCCCAGCAGGAATATGATCTGAAATCTAGGGGAAACACATTGGAAACCAGGATCATGTTTCCCTGATGTTAGCTTATGGCTACATGTAGCAGTATATTTGCAGCCAGGGAATGACTGTGTACAGGGGCACTTTCCCCCTTAAATATTAGTAATAACAGCATAACTGGACTGTAACATGATCTGAAATTGGGCTAACTTAACAACATTGGCAATCAAGCTCATGTTTTCCTGACGTTAGCTTGTAGCTACATGTAGCAGTATATTTGCAGCCAGGGAACGCCTGTGTATAGCGGCACTTTCTCCTGTTAAACATCGCCAGTAATAGCCTCTACACATAACTGGACATGTTCCAGCAGGAATATGATCTGAAATTGGGCTGAGATTAACATCGGCAACCAGGCTCACGTTTCCCTGACATTAGCTTGTAGCTACATGTAGCAAAGTAGGCTACATGTAAATGCTCCGTCCTGAGCTGACATCATTTTGTCGCCAAACTAGATGCAACAGTTGGAAACAGAGTATTCAGAACAGTCTGAACCCTGAGGTTTTATCCACAGGGATTACATTTACATACATTCCACAGTATTTGAAACTTTGGCCACATTTAAGAAGTCTTCATTTAAGGCTTGTGTTTCTTTCCCCCTTCTAGGTGAGACATAAGTTGCGGAAGGAGGCACTGCCAGCTCCTGCACCTCGCCGCACACTTCCAAGGCGTATCAGCCATCGCTCTGGCTATGCCTTCTCCCACTCTCAAGGCTACGGCGATCTGGTGACGTCTCGGAAGTTCCTGTTGAGACGACCTCTGAGGAGCCGCTCAGGCCTGTTTACACAAACAGACTCTCCTCTGGCTCACAATCAGCCACAGCACTACCGCACCATCGCAGAAGAACAGGAGGAGTCACAGAGCCCTCAGACAGGAGGTGTAAACCCAGCAGAGAGCGTGGGATCAGCATAAGTTTTTATTCTGGAGCACAAGCTCACCACCTGGATCGTTTCCAGGTTGAACCTTTACACTTAAAACTGAGTCTGACTTTGACTCAAGGTTTCTAATGGATGAATGTTGATATCACTGTGAAAAACTTGGCAGCATTTATAACCTGAAAGGACCACACTGGTGCTTCTGCATGTTTTAGCAATTCCAAATTTTTCCAATTTTTTAGATGAATTATCTTCCTTCCAGAAAGATATTGGTTTCAATTAATTTCATTACAATACAATCAACTTGTAGAAAACTGCATTAGCAGGGCAGTCAGTCATTTAAGTTCCTTAAGTTTTGTCAGTTTCGTGTGATAAAATGTTTCCAGCAGGGACGTTATTTGAAAACCTGCATTCAAGAACGTGATTTGAGAGCAAGATGCTAAAAAAGCACTTTGAAATTGCAAAACAGAGAGATTAAATTCAAATTATTTCACAACGTGTTTGATTTTCCTACAACATAGCTCAGAGATTTAATGCTTTTCCATTCATTTCAAATCCACTTTGCATAAGCAAAACACAGCCTTGTTCCTCCGAGATAGTGCAACCTATGAAAAGTTCTGCAAGATAAATTTTTGACCTTGAACATCCTCACAGGGACAGCTTGTTTTTTAAACAATCCGTACTCACAGCTGCCAGAAGAGACAAAATAAAATGTACATTCAAGCATGATTTATTATGGCTGTGGATGACCAAAAAGCATACGGTATCCAGTTTGTACCTAATGGGCTAAAACATGCAAAACCAGAAACTGCGATGAGATTAACTTTGTGTCACCAAATGTTTATTACTGATCTGTAGAAATTGTTATAAAGTTAAAACAAATGTAAAGCTTGCCACCAGCTGATCTGGAGAAACTGGACGACCACACTGCCTGCAACATGACGTTGCATTTTGTACCGTTTTGATTTTTTTGTGTGAATTGTTAATACTCAGGGTGTCATACTGAAAAGGGATGAACCAGTGGTTTCAGTCGTAATTTACGATGAACCTATTTTCACTCTGTTGTTTACATAATTATATAAATGAAGATTTTTTAAAACATTGTTTTATTATTGTGTAATTAGTCTGTTTGTCCATTTAATATGTCTTGCCTTGTTAAAGATGGATTATATGGAGCCCGTAAGGGGACTTTGAAGGGGAAAAAAGATGGGTGGGGTTTTGCATTCTCCCGAGAAATGTGTTCGCTCTGTCGGCGGCTGCATACCACAATAGTATGGCTCGGGAGAACACAAAAGTTTTTTGAGAGAATTCAAAAGTTTCTCAGAAGAAAGAAAAAGTATGTATCTTACTATCCATCCATCCGCTTATCTGGGGCCGGGTCGCGGGGGCAGCAGGCCAAGCACCCCAGATGTCCCTCTCCCCAGCATTGCTCTCCAGCTCCTCCTGGGGGACCCTAAGGTGTTCCCAGGCCAGACAGGATATGAGGTCCCTCCAGTGTGTTCTGGGTCTGCCTCGTGGCCTCCTACCAGTGGGATGTGCCTGAAACATCTCCAGCAGGAGGCGCCCAGGAGGATCCTGATCAGATGCCTGAACCACCTCAACGGACCCCTTTCAGTGCGAAGGAGCAGCAGCTCTACTCCGAGTTCCTTACCCTATCTCTAAGGCTGAGCCCAGCCACCCCACAGAGGAACCTCATTTCAGTAACTTGTATCCGCGATCTCATTCTTTCAGTCACTACCCAGCACTCATGACCATAGGTGAGGGTTGGGACGTAGATGGACCAGTAAATCGAAAGCTTCAACTTCCAGCTCAGCTCCCTCTTCACCGCGACAATCTGCGTATCCATCTCACGCTCCATTCTACCCTAACTCACGAACGAGACCCTGAGATACTTGAACTCCCTTGCTTGAGGCAGTAACTCTCTCCCAACCCTGGGGTATTTTTACCCATCTATAGTTTTTCTCCCCAACGATCCCTTAGGGTCTCTGTTGAATAACTCGTTCAATGGGTACCAGTTCGTCAAAGTATTTGAGAGCCAGGGGTTAGTGTTGTCTTGGTATCTGTGTTTTCAGTAAAGTATTGGTGATGGTTTACATGTTATACAAGGGAGAGTGCAAAGTCCAGCAGAGTTATTCATAAAATCCCCTTTTAAACTTAAACCACAGATTTTGCCACTGTCTTTCATTTATCATCTAAGCCTCCGATCATCACAGTCAAGTTCCTACATAGCAGATTATACATGAACAAAATAAAACACTTGACTGACCACTTTCATCAGGGCAAATTTTCTTGTACCTCACATCTTATAATGACATTAAATAAAGAGCACCTGGGAAGTGGAGTTCGCAGTGTGGTTTCCAAGGTCCACATGTAGGGGAACCTTCGCCGATACAACACAGGACTCAATACAGTGACACAGGAAGCAAAGACATGGAAATACATATAAGTACAAGGAAGGTCATTGTTATAAATTGTCACGAATGCTTTTTGAAAAACAAGGAAGTAAAAACTATAAAGATGTTTTAGGTTGACTGATAGAAACATGCACAGGCACACTATCACAGTATTCAGAGACACCAGAATCTGTATTAAGAACAAAAATGTCTGATTACTGTAAATATTTTATAACCTGAACTCTTTTAGGAAGCCTCAACCCTCCAGATTTGTTTGCATTATGTATGCAGCTGAGTGCACTTTTACTCTCTCTCTCTGCCTACGGTCCGCTCTCTCTTTTCACTCACATTTCCCATACATACATACATACATACTGTACTGTTACATCTGCAGACACACATACACATACACACACTCATACTGCATTCAGCCCACAACTGCAGTGTCCTTTGGGACTGCCAGCAATGACATCACCGGTGTAGGGCTGTCCCAGCGTGGCACAGATCCATAAAAGCTTCTAATCTGCTCTCTGATGCACAGGAAAAAGGAACATGTTGGTGTATATCACAGTTTATGGATATGGGTTTGAAAAGCCAATAACTAAAGAGGTGTAAAAGAGGAATAAAACCCCTGATATATTACGTAGACATAATACAAATTAATAATATTTTAATGGTATTAGAAGTCATATCAGATCTCCTCACATGCTTGGCAACCATGCTTGGTTGAAAAATAAGTCTCCCAGCTTCCTTCTGCTCTAATTTAACCCTTTCTGCTCCCCTCATGGCCATGCAGCAGCGTCAGCAGCCTCCACAGTCGCCAGTGAAGGTCAGAGAATGACCCCACACAGTAAGGAGCAGGAATGAGGAGTGGTATGCTTTATAAATAGCCTGCCTGTGTGGCACACCCAAACCACCACCACCACCGGCACCAGGGACTTTTCCATTTTGAAACAACCTCAGATTGTATTTCTGATTAAACAGAAAAATTATTATTCATCACACATTTTACTACCTTTCACAGCCCATATCATTGAAATTCAAAGCCAGTGAGAGCAGCGATGGACCAGCGACAAGTCGGTACCGTCACTTACGCTATTAATAGACTGACATTTATTGTTCCAGGAATAAAAAGCGGTTTGATTCAACACAGAAACTGGGATGAATCAAGGACAGAGTCGAAGCATGCTGAGCAGTTATAGTTAGATGCAAGTGTTACGCCAAAGACAGAATAAAGTACAAATGAACACACACACACACACACACACACACACACATGGAGACATGTACATTGATCTTATCATGTAATCCCCCTGGGTCAAAGTTCAAGTGGAAAGCTGCTGCCCGCTCTGAGTGCTCAGCTTCTGTAAGAGGAGACAGCAGACTGAACTGTAAGAGAATTTCACACTTGGCGGTCCAAGTCAGACTAAAGGATCACTGCGTGTTTCAATGTACGAGGCAACAATCTGCTGCTATGTGGAGCAACAGTTTGATCACTTCCTCCCAAATGGACATAAAATTTGGTATGGGACCCTTTTAATGACTGACCGTCACTAACATGTCATGTCATTTCAGACCCAGCCACGCCCACCTGCCCTCTCATAACCCCTTTCCCTCCAGTTTAACACCTTGGTTGGCTCCTCCCACCAGCTCACCTGCGTGTCATTTCCCTGATTGCCCACAGCAGCAGCAGCCTTTATACAGCATAGTGCTTCACGCCACTTGTCACTTATTGTCTTTTGTACTATGCTGAGTTAGCAAGCTGTCAATTCACCATTGAAAAAATGTTAACTTTATACACATCCAGTAGTTATGAAGCAACATTGTTAGTCATTTGGAGTCCTGTTTTTGACCACCTGGTCCAGTATTGAGCCAAAGCACTGCAGCCAGCAGCAGCAAAACAGGCTACAACCACTCCTAACCACTCAGGCCACGTCCCCACCCTCAATTTACGTCCACTAACATTGTTTTGCCACTGACAGGTTCCAATTATTATTAAAGTGTCTGACAATTTATAGAAAGGATCCCTGCAGAGATAGGCGTTTTTGTTCAAGAGTAAGATCCTTTATGTTTTACCAGAACCAGCCCTGAAATTGCCAAAGACAGTTCCACCAGATTCCATTTAAATAATTCATTTAAGTAATTTTTGTCATCGCAAAACACACTTTATGCAAAGTCCACAGAAACAAAAAAACCCTCACAAAATTATACTGGTTCATCTCTACGCAGTTCCAACAATCACCACCTCTGGTTTAGTTCAAATAAACCCTTAATTCACCCAGTTAGATGTGAGAATATGCTGGGTCTATACGGCTAAAATTACTGTTGATTCAAATGGAGTCTGGTAAGTTTGGCGATGGCAATTTCAGGTCTGTTTTTGGTTAAACAAAAGGATTATACTCTTTGACGGACAACAAATTCCCTGAGAGGTTGTCCGTCAGTGGTCTTGCTCAATACTGGATATGTTTCAAAAAATAGGAAAAAAATGGGGAATTTGCAAAAGGCAATTCCACCAGACTCCATTCAATTCAATAGTAATTTTAGCATGTATAAATTCAGTGATTTTGAACGTCTAACTGGGTGAATTAAGGGTTTATGTTGACCAAACCAGAGTTGGGGATTGACAGAACAGTGGAAACATGAACCAAGATGGTTTCTGTGAGTTATATTTTGTTTCTGTCAATTTTGAATGAAGGGTGTACTACGATGATAAAATTACTGATTACCAGAGTCTGGTGGGTTTGGCAGTAGCAATTTGTTGGCTATTTTTAGTTGAACAAAAATGGTCTTAAGGTCGATTTCTGTAAGTAAACATGTCGTAAACTGGGGTGCAAACATGCCGCAATGGTTACATTGCCGCGGCTGTCTGGACTCATTTCAAAAAAGTATGTTCCTATTGGTCATTTAGACATAAAAACATGGGAAAATAAGGTTCAGGTTGAAAATAAAATACTGAACTCACCCTTTAATGGCCACACTTTGTTATTGTAGTCTGTGATGAACATTGTAGCCTTCAGACTTACAGTATTATTATTATTTTTTTGATTGACAACCAATTATTTACCATCCACAACAGCTGAATAACCATCAGCGTATTGAGGCTTTGTTCTTTTTAGACAACCTGACTGACAGCAGGGTGTTTCCTCATCAGACCGATGACTCAGTGTTAATACTTTAGCCTTAACAGTGATCAGACAGCAGTCCAACAGTGGCTTAACTGTTTAGCTGTCTGACAAATGGTGTGTGCGTTTAGGTGTACTTGTGTGGAGGTCTATGTGAGCTACAGGGCGACACACAAAGAGAGGGAGAGTTATCTATAAGTAGAGTATGAGTGGTGTCAGTTGTAAGCCCCGGGTCTAAATAAAGGATTACCTTCAACCTTAGAAAGTGCACACACTCTCAGCTGCCGCATTAGCACAAGTGAGGGGGGTTGCTGCATCTACACACCACAAAGCTAACACACATGACCTGGGGGATCATGTTAAAATTACCAATAACCTCTGCTGGCTTCCTGTCATGGTGTTTCATCAGGAATTCTGTCCAAAACTGGCTAGTCTGGTGGGGTTAGTTACACAGTAAATATTTCGGACATCTGAGGCTTGCAGTGTAAACATAGCCTCTGTATAACATCATCTTTTGTTACATTTGGCTCTCTGTACAGGGGCAAACAGGCAAAAGTTCCCTGAACTCCTGTTTTGAAATAGAAATGAC